TCATCACTTTTTGCCACCTTCCCCCGGTAAAAAGTATTTCCTCACTATAAAAGCGGTTTATCTCGACAACAAACACTCCAACTAGCCTTCAGTTGTACCAGTTTACTTGCATTTAGTCAACGTACATTGTGTTATAACTTCCAGTTTGTTGGACATCTTTTTCATATTTTATTGAATCTCCAAAGTTTGATAGAATATTTTCAGCCATGCTCAACAATAATCAGCAATCTATGGATTTGAATCAGCTCATCCAAACTGTTCAACAACAACAGCAACAACTGGTCTCTCTCACCGAGCGAGTACAGCAACATGACAATCTCCTTGCTCGCCTGGACCTTTTGGAAAAGGAAAATGGAGAATTGAAAAATCAGTTACAGGCCAAGGACCTTGCAATTGAAAAATTACAGGGCCAACTCTCATCCCGCCGCACCAATCAAGGTGCTCAATCCAGCTCTCAGGTAACACCAACCCAAGAGCTTGTTACTATTCACCAACCCGATGCTACTCAAGGTAGCTACGCATCTGCTGCCCGTAAAGGTGCCCAACATCGTGACCCTGCCCGTACTACCAAACGACGTCTTGCTGCAGGTCGTATGTTCCAAACCGCCACCACCAAAGGTCAACAAGGATACCAGTATGTGTATCTAGGCCGCTCTGGTAAAATCCTGCGCTCTGAGGTTCGTTACCAACTTCGCCGAGCTGGTATTGATACTGGCCGTGTGTTAGACATCTGTTTCCCTGCCACTGGCGTCATTGGCATCTTGCTCCACATCCAATATGTAGAGGAGTTTCTCGCCTGTATGCGCAAATGTGAAGCTGATCACATTGAAAACTTTCAACCCTTGGATCCCAACAACATTGCTGATCCCAAATATGCTGATCTTGCCATTGAAGAGCGTGAGCAATTGATCTATGAATTCACCAACACCCGTGCTCTGCAAACCCTCTCTTTCCTTCGTCCACTCAACGTTAGTGGCGTTGGCAAATACTTTGTCTCTGCTGGCTGGATCTCTCAAGAAGAGCTAGATATAGCCGTCTCTGAAGCTATCGGTCGTCTTGCCGAGAAGGAGCCCAAAAAGGCTAAATTCTTGTTCAAGCGTCAAAAGGAAGATCATGACAGCAATGGCTCTGCTATGGAACTCTAATGAGTAACATAGCTACTAGTCATACTCCCAATAACAACCCAGTCCACTCCTTTCAAGTCTCTCTCTCCCTTTGGAATGCCAATGGTCTACGTCAATCAACGGTACATGATGTTCTCCATCATGTTCAGAACACTCATGTACTGCTTGTCACTGAAACCTGGCTAACCTCTGGTTCTTTCCCTACTAACTGGTCTCAATTCCACCTCTATGGCTCTAAAGTACCTGGTGCATTTAACCGTGGTTCTGGTGGCATTACTGCCTTTGTCTCTCCTTCCTGTCCTTTCTCTGTCTCTCAACTTCCGTCTTACAATGCACACACTTTGTCCCTTAAGGTTGGCACCCTTACAGTTCATTGTGTGTATCTGCCTCCACCCTTATCTTCGGATAAGGTGCTCTCGCTTCTTCGCTCGTTACCCGTAACCAGTGATACCATCCTTTGTGGTGATTTCAATGCTCGCTTTGGATCTCTACTGGGTGATACTAATGCTAATCCTCGTGGTACCTCACTACTTCCATGGCTGGAGGAGTCCTCTTTTTCCATTCTCAATGAGTCTTTAGCATTTGGTACACCCACATTCACAACTTTTCGACGTCAACAAGAGGTTCATAGCATCATTGATCTGTTTCTTACAAACATTGGCGAGGCTGCTCTGTTACATCCTCAACTGGTGGTTGAATCTGATCTGTCTCTTGGCTCTGATCATCGGCTGATGGTACTTACTTTCGAGTATGTGCCCCCTCCTGATGATACTCTTGGTTCTGGTAGCTCTGGTGGTTTGGCCCCTAGACGGCAATGGAAGCTCTCGAAATTGAGGAAAAAGCGGCCTTTGGGCTTGCTTCGTGAATCCTTTCGATCTTCTGTTGCTCCTTTGGTTGGTTCTCTCTCTGGTTTGGTGTCTGCTCCTCCTGGTGTTTGTCCAGATATTGATGCACTCAACGATTCTTTGAATCAATGTTTGTATGAATCTCTGGATAGCTCAATTGGTGTGAAATCTGGTCGTCCTGGCCACTGGAAAAAGTACTGGACACAGGAAATTGAGGATGCTGCTCGTGAAAGAGATACTATGTATAGTAGATGGAGGTGGGCAAGTCGTTTTGCCAAAGTCGAAACATGGAATCTCTATCAAGCTGCTCACAGGCGTTTTCGTTCTCTTGTACAAGCTGCTAAGCGTCGATCGTGGAGTCAGTTTTGCTCTGATTTGGAAAAGGATTTTTCGAAAGCTACTGCCGCAATCAAGCGCATTAAAAGAAACAAGGAATGCTCTGCAACGTACAGTCATCCAGACGGTCCAACTGCCTCTGTCAACACAATGGCGTCCCATCTTGCCTCAGTCTATGATGGCTCCTTGTTGAATAATGCGTCTCGCCCTACTGCTCCCCAAGTGAACACCTCTGATTTGCCTTACGCTGTGCCTACTGATCTGTCTCTGTTTGATGCTGATATACTTGTATCTCTCATTAAGCGTTTGCCAAATGGGAAAGCTCCTGGCCCTGATCATCTGAAAGCTGAAATGCTCAAGGCTTTAGCATCTGACATTGCACCCGTATTGTCTCTGCTCTTTACACTCTGCTCTCAGTGGTCGTATACACCAGCTCTATGGCGACATGCTCAAGTCTTTCCCATTTACAAGAAAGGTGATGTATCTGATCCTGCAAACTTTCGTCCAATTTCGCTCACTTCGGTGATGCGTAAATTGTTCGAATTCTCTCTGATGCCTGCTCTCGATGAGCATTCACTGGCACTGGATGTTGCTCAAGGTGGTTTTCGCCCACAGCGTAGTCCTCTGGATCAAGCCCTCTGTTTACATGACTTGATGCACGACTACTTCCTCACCCACCATCACTATCCTGTGGTTGCTTTCCTGGACATCAAATCAGCGTATGATACGGTGGATCGTCGAGTGATTTGGGATGCTCTCTCTCGTTCCTCTCTGCCTCGTTCAGTTCTCAGTTTGCTCATCCACATGTTCGATGATGTACTCGTGTCTGTGTTGATTGCAAATCACACCTCTGTTCCCTTTTCGCCTGCTACTGGCGTATTACAGGGTTCAGTGCTCAGCCCTCACTTGTACTCTCTGTACATCAACTCTCTGCCTGCTGTTCTTCGTTCTGCTGTCAGTCGCGGTACTATGGTATCACCACCTGGGATGCCTAGTGTTTGCGTGAATAGCCTGCTCTTTGCTGATGATGTGGCCATATTTGGCTCTCGTACTGATGTGCAAACCATGTTGGATGTCGCTTCAGATCACTCGTTCTCTCTTGGCTACAGATGGAAACCATCAAAATGTGCTGTACTTTGTGCTCCTACTGCCTCTACTCGTCATCCATTGTCTCTATACGGTGAACCTCTTCCTGTGGTAGAGGAATTCACGTATCTTGGTATGCCGTTTAGATATAAAGGTCTGTATGCCCCTGGGATTCTCAATCTGCGTGCTTCTGGTGCTATCAAGACAATGGCATTGTTGAATTCGGTTGGTGTCAATCGAAATGGTTTTTCTCTGTTGCTTTGTGCTCGTTTGTATAAAAGCTTTATTCGACCCAAGCTGGAATACGGCTTAGCAATATCGCATCTCTCTTTCCGTGACTTCAAGGCTCTTGATGCTCTGCAAAATCGATTGGTTGGTATGTTTGTTGGTAGTACATGGTACAATGTTGCCAAACATTTGACCTGTATTCCCAGCATGAAGCATCGATATAACGTTCTGGCAACACGTTATGCTCTTCGTGCTGATACTCTTCCTGATGATTGCTTGTTGGTTCTGCTTCGTCGTGGCTTACTGTACACTCGTCTAGACAGATTTATTTGTCAAAACCCGTTGTATCTGACACTACCTGATCCGCCGCCATTCACCACTGCTGGTCTTACTGAAATCTTTGATTCGTATTGGCAAGATCAAGTGGATCGTCAACTTGCTACCGCTGCTGCTACTGGTGCTCAGACTCTCCTTCGTGCTTGTCGTCCATCTGTCTCTCGTCCAGATCCCATTCTCTATCTGCCTATTGGTCGATCTGCTCGTAGTCGTCTTGTGCGGTGGCGTCTTGGACGTTTCACCAATATGCGTGAAGAATGTCCGTGCACTACCGGTGAGTTTATCTCCCGAGATCACTTTCTGACATGTCGTGCTCTGGATCGTACCTTTTTTGATGCTTTGCCACCTGCTCCACCTGGTGTACATCGCATTGATCATGCTCTGAACTGTCTTCCAGACAAAGCTTCAGCTGGTCCACCGTACTTTTGGTCTGCTTTGCTCCTTTTGTTGCATGCCATTGATTGCCTTGTGCATCCTCTGGCTGTGATCCCACCAGATCCAGATCCTGGATCGCTCTGGTTTTCTGCTCATTGATGAACGTTTGTTGTTTTTGCTTTCTCGGTGCGATGCCACGGTGGTAAGTAATTATCAAAGTTCCCATCCGTTGGTCATTCCTCCAGATCAAATCAACAATACCAGTATTCATGCCGTTCCTCTGCCACTACCACACTTTCCTTTTTCCCTTTTTCTTAGTTAGTGTCCCCATAAGGGTTTTTTGTACCTGCTACTCTTTTGTTTCTAGAATTCTAGGCTAATGCTCCCATCGAGTGCCCATTGAATTCATGTATATAATAAAAATCAACGTTAAACTGAGCTACATCCCCATCTCTTTCCGTTTTTCATCACTTTTTGCCACCTTCCCCCGGTAAAAAGTATTTCCTCACTATAAAAGCGGTTTATCTCGACAACAAACACTCCAACTAGCCTTCAGTTGTACCAGTTTACTTGCATTTAGTCAACGTACATTGTGTTATAACTTCCAGTTTGTTGGACATCTTTTTCATATTTTATTGAATCTCCAAAGTTTGATAGAATATTTTCAGCCATGCTCAACAATAATCAGCAATCTATGGATTTGAATCAGCTCATCCAAACTGTTCAACAACAACAGCAACAACTGGTCTCTCTCACCGAGCGAGTACAGCAACATGACAATCTCCTTGCTCGCCTGGACCTTTTGGAAAAGGAAAATGGAGAATTGAAAAATCAGTTACAGGCCAAGGACCTTGCAATTGAAAAATTACAGGGCCAACTCTCATCCCGCCGCACCAATCAAGGTGCTCAATCCAGCTCTCAGGTAACACCAACCCAAGAGCTTGTTACTATTCACCAACCCGATGCTACTCAAGGTAGCTACGCATCTGCTGCCCGTAAAGGTGCCCAACATCGTGACCCTGCCCGTACTACCAAACGACGTCTTGCTGCAGGTCGTATGTTCCAAACCGCCACCACCAAAGGTCAACAAGGATACCAGTATGTGTATCTAGGCCGCTCTGGTAAAATCCTGCGCTCTGAGGTTCGTTACCAACTTCGCCGAGCTGGTATTGATACTGGCCGTGTGTTAGACATCTGTTTCCCTGCCACTGGCGTCATTGGCATCTTGCTCCACATCCAATATGTAGAGGAGTTTCTCGCCTGTATGCGCAAATGTGAAGCTGATCACATTGAAAACTTTCAACCCTTGGATCCCAACAACATTGCTGATCCCAAATATGCTGATCTTGCCATTGAAGAGCGTGAGCAATTGATCTATGAATTCACCAACACCCGTGCTCTGCAAACCCTCTCTTTCCTTCGTCCACTCAACGTTAGTGGCGTTGGCAAATACTTTGTCTCTGCTGGCTGGATCTCTCAAGAAGAGCTAGATATAGCCGTCTCTGAAGCTATCGGTCGTCTTGCCGAGAAGGAGCCCAAAAAGGCTAAATTCTTGTTCAAGCGTCAAAAGGAAGATCATGACAGCAATGGCTCTGCTATGGAACTCTAATGAGTAACATAGCTACTAGTCATACTCCCAATAACAACCCAGTCCACTCCTTTCAAGTCTCTCTCTCCCTTTGGAATGCCAATGGTCTACGTCAATCAACGGTACATGATGTTCTCCATCATGTTCAGAACACTCATGTACTGCTTGTCACTGAAACCTGGCTAACCTCTGGTTCTTTCCCTACTAACTGATCTCAATTCCACCTCTATGGCTCTAAAGTACCTGGTGCATTTAACCGTGGTTCTGGTGGCATTACTGCCTTTGTCTCTCCTTCCTGTCCTTTCTCTGTCTCTCAACTTCCGTCTTACAATGCACACACTTTGTCCCTTAAGGTTGGCACCCTTACGGTTCATTGTGTGTATCTGCCTCCACCCTTATCTTCGGATAAGGTGCTCTCGCTTCTTCGCTCGTTACCCGTAACCAGTGATACCATCCTTTGTGGTGATTTCAATGCTCGCTTTGGATCTCTACTGGGTGATACTAATGCTAATCCTCGTGGCACCTCACTACTGCCATGGCTGGAGGAGTCCTCTTTATCCATTCTCAATGAGTCTTTAGCATTCGGTACACCCACATTCACAACCTTTCGACGTCAACAAGAGGTTCATAGCATCATTGATCTGTTTCTCACAAACATTGGCGAGGCTGCTCTGTTACATCCTCAACTGGTGGTTGAATCTGATTTGTCTCTTGGCTCTGATCATCGGCTGATGGTACTTACTTTCGAGTATGTGCCCCCTCCCGATGATACTCTTGGTTCTGGTAACTCTGGTGGTTTGGCCCCTAGACGGCAATGGAAGCTCTCGAAATTGAGGAAAAAGCGGCCTTTGGGCTTGCTTCGTGAATCCTTTCGATCTTCTGTTGCTCCTTTGGTTGGTTCTCTCTCTGGTTTGGTGTCTGCTCCTCCTGGTGTTTGTCCAGATATTGATGCACTCAACGATTCTTTGAATCAATGTTTGTATGAATCTCTGGATAGCTCAATTGGTGTGAAATCTGGTCGTCCTGGCCACTGGAAAAAGTACTGGACACAGGAAATTGAGGATGCTGCTCGTGAAAGAGATACTATGTATAGTAGATGGAGGTGGGCAAGTCGTTTTGCCAAAGTCGAAACATGGAATCTCTATCAAGCTGCTCACAGGCGTTTTCGTTCTCTTGTACAAGCTGCTAAGCGTCGATCGTGGAGTCAGTTTTGCTCTGATTTGGAAAAGGATTTTTCGAAAGCTACTGCCGCAATCAAGCGCATTAAAAGAAACAAGGAATGCTCTGCAACGTACAGTCATCCAGACGGTCCAACTGCCTCTGTCAACACAATGGCGTCCCATCTTGCCTCAGTCTATGATGGCTCCTTGTTGAATAATGCGTCTCGCCCTACTGCTCCCCAAGTGAACACCTCTGATTTGCCTTACGCTGTGCCTACTGATCTGTCTCTGTTTGATGCTGATATACTTGTATCTCTCATTAAGCGTTTGCCAAATGGGAAAGCTCCTGGCCCTGATCATCTGAAAGCTGAAATGCTGAAGGCTCTAGCATCTGACATTGCACCCGTATTGTCTCTGCTCTTTACACTCTGCTCTCAGTGGTCGTATACACCAGCTCTATGGCGACATGCTCAAGTCTTTCCCATTTACAAGAAAGGTGATGTATCTGATCCTGCAAACTTTCGTCCAATTTCGCTTACTTCGGTGATGCGTAAATTGTTCGAATTCTCTCTGATGCCTGCTCTTGATGAACATTCGCCTGCACTTGATGTTGCTCAAGGTGGCTTTCGCCCACAGCGTAGTCCTCTGGATCAAGCCCTCTGTTTACATGACTTGATGCACGACTACTTCCTCACCCACCACCACTACCCTGTGGTTGCTTTCCTAGACATCAAATCAGCGTATGATACCGTGGATCGTCGAGTGATTTGGGATGCTCTCTCTCGTTCCTCTCTGCCTCGTTCAGTTCTCAGTTTGCTCATCCACATGTTCGATGATGTACTCGTGTCTGTGTTGATTGCAAATCACACCTCTGTTCCCTTTTCGCCTGCTACTGGCGTATTGCAGGGTTCAGTGCTCAGCCCTCACTTGTACTCTCTGTACATCAACTCTCTGCCTGCTGTTCTTCGTTCTGCTGTCAGTCGCGGTACTATGGTATCACCACCTGGGATGCCTAGTGTTTGCGTGAATAGCCTGCTCTTTGCTGATGATGTGGCCATATTTGGCTCTCGTACTGATGTGCAAACCATGTTGGATATCGCTTCAGATCACTCGTTCTCTCTTGGCTACAGGTGGAAACCATCAAAATGTGCTGTACTTTGTGCTCCTACTGCCTCTACTCGTCATCCATTGTCTCTATACGGTGAACCTCTTCCTGTGGTAGAGGAATTCACGTATCTTGGTATGCCGTTTAGATATAAAGGTCTGTATGCCCCTGGGATTCTCAATCTGCGTGCTTCTGGTGCTATCAAGACAATGGCATTGTTAAATTCGGTTGGTGTCAATCGAAATGGTTTTTCTCTGTTGCTTTGTGCTCGTTTGTATAAAAGCTTTATTCGTCCCAAACTGGAATACGGCTTAGCTATATCTCATCTCTCTTTCCGTGACTTCAAGGCTCTTGATGCTCTGCAAAATCGATTGGTTGGTATGTTTGTTGGTAGTACATGGTACAATGTTGCCAAACATTTGACCTGTCTTCCCAGCATGAAGCATCGATATAACGTTCTGACAACACGTTATGCCCTTCGTGCTGATACTCTCCCTGATGATTGCTTGTTGGTTCTGCTTCGTCGTGGTTTACTGTACACTCGTCTAGACAGATTTATCTGTCAAAACCCGTTGTATCTAACACTGCCTGATCCGCCGCCATTCACCACTGCTGGTCTTACTGAAGTCTTTGATTCGTATTGGCAAGATCAAGTAGATCGTCAACTTGCTGCTGCTGCTGTTTCTGGTGCTCAGACTCTCCTTCGTGCTTGTCGTCCGTCTGTCTCTCGTCCAGATCCCATCCTGTATCTGCCTATTGGTCGATCTGCTCGTAGTCGTCTTGTGCGGTGGCGTCTTGGACGTTTCACCAATATGCGTGAAGAATGTCCGTGCACTACCGGTGAGTTTATCTCCCGAGATCACTTTCTGACATGTCGTGCTCTGGATCGTACCTTTTTTGATGCTTTGCCACCTGCTCCACCTGGTGTACATCGCATTGACCATGCTCTGAACTGTCTTCCAGACAAAGCTTCAGCTGGTCCACCGTACTTTTGGTCTGCTTTGCTCCTTTTGTTGCATGCCATTGATTGCCTTGTGCATCCTCTGGCTGTGATCCCACCAGATCCAGATCCTGGATCGCTCTGGTTTTCTGCTCATTGATGAACGTTTGTTGTTTTTGCTTTCTCGGTGCGATGCCACGGTGGTAAGTAATTATCAAAGTTCCCATCCGTTGGTCATTCCTCCAGATCAAATCAACAATACCAGTACTCATGCCGATCCTCTGCAACTACCACACTTTCCTTTTTCCCTTTTTCTTCGTTAGTGTCCTCATAAGGGTTTTTTGTACCTGCTACTCTTTTGTTTCTAGAATTCTAGGCTAATGCTCCCATCGAGTGCCCATTGAATTCATGTATATAATAAAAATCAACGTTAAACTGAGCTACATCCCCACCTTTCTTTCCGCTAAAGAATTTTTTATATACTTTCATAGCCCGAATTATCTCGAAGATTCCTATAACCCATCATCTCCCATCAAGTACTTGCTATATCAATACCATAACCGAGCAAAACACTTTTAACAAGATTACACCTGCTGACACCCTTTCGTCCGGTCAAAAAAGGCCAATTTCAACCCTCTCTCCACCTTTCTTTGCTGCTGATATCTCTCAACATTTAAAAGCAAAGAAAATGCAACCTCAAGACCTCTCCAAAGCATCTCATTTCACATCCTCGATCGATGTTGACCCCAACTCGATTGACTTTGGTCTCACTTCCCTCCCACCTGCTTCGCCCACTGATCAAACTGCGTTGTCGACCTTTATGGTTGAGGTCAGACATCGTTTGAGCAGATTAGAATCTGCCCATGCTGAAATTGCGCAGTTGAAAACAGCCCTGGCTGAATCAGAGGCTGCTAGAGACGCCCTTGCGGCTCAATTGGCAGCTATCAACGCTCAATCCACCACCAATGTTGCTCCCACCACCATAGACGCTGTATCGTCGAACACTCCAACACCACCATCAACAACATCTGCCTCCAAGTCTACCCCCAGCTACTCCCAATCTCAAGTTACAACGCAACCATCTTTTGCTGCCGTCGTTGCATCCAGTGCAGGTACAAAGCGTAAGAAGAAGCCTGCTGCTCGTCCTCCTCCATCTGCCACCAAGGCATCCGCTACTCTTGCTCGTCTTTTTGCTCCTCAAAGTGATATACCATCTGGTTATCAATTTGTGTACTATGCTACTCCTGTCCGCCGTCGTCTTTCTGAGCTGCGTCGCCTTGTTCAAGGCGTAGGATTGAATAACTCTCGTGTGCTGGATATTCAATATCCTGTACAGAATGTGATTTCTTTCCTTGTTCACAACGACTATGTTCTCACCCTCACCAAAGCCATGCATCTACATGGTCGTGGCTCTTCTCCGTTGATTGACTTTGATCCATGTGATCCAGTCAATCTCAAAGATCCCAAATTTGCTTCTCTCTCTCGTGATCTGCGTGTCCAAAAGGCCATTGAGGTCGAAAACCTTCGCTGCCTTCGTTCGCTGTCTTTTGTCCGTCGCTCTGTCCGTGTTTCTGTTGCTCGTTCTTTTCTTTTGTATGATCGCATCAACCAAGCCCAATTTGATGCCATTTTGAAAGAAGAAATGCCTGCTCGTTCCTCCTCCTCTGCTGCTGCTAAACCACCATCCCGATCCTCTGATCAAGAGCGTTTAGCCAAGAAACAACGTTTGAGTTATCTTGGCTACCTCTTGCATCATGATGCTGAAACTGCCTCTCTCTTGGCTTATGCTGTCTCCCCCACTCTCTCTGCTACCAAGGATCTTGAAATGTCAGAGCCTTCTGATAACTGATTGACACCTTGTTGTTAAAATCGTTTTGCTCTCTCATTCCCACTCTCATTGTTTCTGTTTCTGCTGCCTTTGTGGTAGTGTCCGTATTCACTTTGTCCTCCTTCTCTGCTTCTTTCTCGTTTGGTCTTTGTCTCTCTGCTCATTTTGCTATATGCAAATGCCTCGTTTTCTCCTTTTTTTTCTTGCTTTTTTTGTGCCACTGAGGTCTGTGGGTTTATTTTGTCTGTGCTGCTGTCTGAACATCGAGGTATCCCCAATTGCATGTCTCATACACCATAGCTTCTTATTCTCTACCCTTTTATCTCACTTGTTTTACTCCTTTTTCCTGCCTGTACTTCTTTTTTACCAGTTTAATTTTTAGTTTAGGACCTTTTTTCCCTTTTCTGGACACTTGCATGTTGTTCCTGCATGGAGATCAAACTATTAATTTAAGCTTTTTTGCTGTACGTCGCTTCTCAGGACTTGCAACTAATGATCCAAAGATCGCATGCATATAAGTCTATATTTTTTACATTGCTAATTCATTGTAATCAATAAACAACCATAAATTTTCGCCTGAGCTACATCCCCATCTCTTTCCGTTTTTCATCACTTTTTGCCACCTTCCCCCGGTAAAAAGTATTTCCTCACTATAAAAGCGGTTTATCTCGACAACAAACACTCCAACTAGCCTTCAGTTGTACCAGTTTACTTGCATTTAGTCAACGTACATTGTGTTATAACTTCCAGTTTGTTGGACATCTTTTTCATATTTTATTGAATCTCCAAAGTTTGATAGAATATTTTCAGCCATGCTCAACAATAATCAGCAATCTATGGATTTGAATCAGCTCATCCAAACTGTTCAAGAACAACAGCAACAGCTGGTCTCTCTTACCGAGCGAGTACAGCAACATGACAATCTCCTTGCTCGCCTGGACCTTTTGGAAAAGGAAAATGGAGAATTGAAAAATCAGTTACAGGCCAAGGACCTTGCAATTGAAAAACTACAGGGCCAACTCTCATCCCGCCGCACCAATCAAGGTGCTCCAGCCAGCTCTCAGGTAACACCACCCCAAGAGCTTGTTACTACTCACCAACCCGATGCTACTCAAGGTAGCTACGCATCTGCTGCCCGTAAAGGTGCTCAACATCGTGACCCTGCCCGTACTACCAAGCGACGTCTTGCTGCAGGTCGCATGTTCCAAACCACCACCACCAAAGGTCAACAAGGATACCAGTATGTGTATCTAGGCCGCTCTGGTAAAATCCTGCGCTCTGAGGTTCGTTACCAACTTCGCCGAGCTGGTATTGATACTGGCCGTGTGTTAGACATCTGTTTCCCTGCCACTGGCGTCATTGGCATCTTGCTCCACATCCAATATGTTGAGGAATTTCTTGCCTGTATGCGCAAATGTGAAGCTGATCACATTGAAAACTTCCAACCCTTGGATCCCAACAACATTGCTGATCCCAAATATGCTGATCTTGCCATTGAAGAGCGTGAGCAATTGATCTATGAATTCACCAACACCCGTGCTCTGCAAACCCTCTCTTTCCTTCGTCCACTCAACGTTAGTGGTGTTGGCAAATACTTTGTCTCTGCTGGCTGGATCTCTCAAGAAGAGCTAGATATAGCCGTCTCTGAAGCTATCGGTCGTCTTGCCGAGAAGGAGCCCAAAAAGGCTAAATTCTTGTTCAAGCGTCAAAAGGAAGATCATGACAGCAATGGCTCTGCTATGGAACTCTAATGAGTAACATCGCTACTAGTCATACTCCCAATAACAACCCAGTCCACTCCTTTCAAGTCTCTCTCTCCCTTTGGAATGCCAATGGTCTACGTCAATCAACGGTACATGATGTTCTCCATCATGTTCAGAACACTCATGTACTGCTTGTCACTGAAACCTGGCTAACCTCTGGTTCTTTCCCTACTAACTGATCTCAATTCCACCTCTATGGCTCTAAAGTACCTGGTGCATTTAACCGTGGTTCTGGTGGCATTACTGCCTTTGTCTCTCCTTCCTGTCCTTTCTCTGTCTCTCAACTTCCGTCTTACAATGCACACACTTTGTCCCTTAAGGTTGGCACCCTTACGGTTCATTGTGTGTATCTGCCTCCACCCTTATCTTCGGATAAGGTGCTCTCGCTTCTTCGCTCGTTACCCGTAACCAGTGATACCATCCTTTGTGGTGATTTCAATGCTCGCTTTGGATCTCTACTGGGTGATACTAATGCTAATCCTCGTGGTACCTCACTACTTCCATGGCTGGAGGAGTCCTCTTTTTCCATTCTCAATGAGTCTTTAGCATTTGGTACACCCACATTCACAACTTTTCGACGTCAACAAGAGGTTCATAGCATCATTGATCTGTTTCTTACAAACATTGGCGAGGCTGCTCTGTTACATCCTCAACTGGTGGTTGAATCTGATCTGTCTCTTGGCTCTGATCATCGGCTGATGGTACTTACTTTCGAGTATGTGCCCCCTCCTGATGATACTCTTGGTTCTGGTAGCTCTGGTGGTTTGGCCCCTAGACGGCAATGGAAGCTCTCGAAATTGAGGAAAAAGCGGCCTTTGGGCTTGCTTCGTGAATCCTTTCGATCTTCTGTTGCTCCTTTGGTTGGTTCTCTCTCTGGTTTGGTGTCTGCTCCTCCTGGTGTTTGTCCAGATATTGATGCACTCAACGATTCTTTGAATCAATGTTTGTATGAATCTCTGGATAGCTCAATTGGTGTGAAATCTGGTCGTCCTGGCCACTGGAAAAAGTACTGGACACAGGAAATTGAGGATGCTGCTCGTGAAAGAGATACTATGTATAGTAGATGGAGGTGGGCAAGTCGTTTTGCCAAAGTCGAAACATGGAATCTCTATCAAGCTGCTCACAGGCGTTTTCGTTCTCTTGTACAAGCTGCTAAGCGTCGATCGTGGAATCAGTTTTGCTCTGATTTAGAAAAGGACTTTTCGAAAGCTACTGCTGCAATCAAGCGCATTAAAAGAAACAAGGAATGCTCTGCAACGTATAGTCATCCAGATGGTCCAACTGCCTCTGTCAACACAATGGCGTCCCATCTTGCCTCAGTCTATGATGGCTCTTTGTTGAATAATGCGTCTCGCCCTACTGCTCCCCAAGTGAACAACTCTGATTTGCCTTACGCTGTGCCTACTGATCTGTCTCTGTTTGATGCTGATATACTTGTCGCTCTCATTAAGCGTTTGCCAAATGGGAAAGCTCCTGGTCCTGATCATCTGAAAGCTGAAATGCTGAAGGCTCTAGCATCTGACATTGCACCCGTATTGTCTCTGCTCTTTACACTCTGCTCTCAGTGGTCGTATACACCAGCTCTATGGCGACATGCTCAAGTCTTTCCCATTTACAAGAAAGGTGATGTATCTGATCCTGCAAACTTTCGTCCAATTTCGCTTACTTCGGTGATGCGTAAATTGTTCGAATTCTCTCTGATGCCTGCTCTTGATGAACATTCGCCTGCACTTGATGTTGCTCAAGGTGGTTTTCGCCCACAGCGTAGTCCTCTGGATCAAGCCCTCTGTTTACATGACTTGATGCACGACTACTTCCTCACCCACCATCACTATCCTGTGGTTGCTTTCCTGGACATCAAATCAGCGTATGATACCGTGGATCGTCGAGTGATTTGGGATGCTCTCTCTCGTTCTTCTCTGCCTCGTTCAGTTCTCAGTTTGCTCATCCACATGTTCGATGATGTACTCGTGTCTGTGTTGATTGCAAATCACACCTCTGTTCCCTTTTCGCCTGCTACTGGCGTATTGCAGGGTTCAGTGCTCAGCCCTCACTTGTACTCTCTGTACATCAACTCTCTGCCTGCTGTTCTTCGTTCTGCTGTCAGTCGCGGTACTATGGTATCACCACCTGGGATGCCTAGTGTTTGCGTGAATAGCCTGCTCTTTGCTGATGATGTGGCCATATTTGGCTCTCGTACTGATGTGCAAACCATGTTGGATGTCGCTTCAGATCACTCGTTCTCTCTTGGCTACAGATGGAAACCATCTACATGTGCGATGTTCTCTGCACGGATTACGAATTCGTTATTGTTGCGCTTTATCATATTTCTGTATAAAGAATGATATATATTGCATTTATTTGGCTACCCTTTTATTACAAACTCAAAACTATGGTATTAAATGATAGACCAATAGGAAATCAACTACAGTACTACAGTCTGCAGGTGTCGACTCTTATATCACAGGATTCGCAGGCATCATGAATCTCCGTTTGATCGATTTTGACACACAGTTTTGTTTTTTGTTCCCCACTTTGTGCTGACACCGACTCAACGTATCGGATATCAGCCATTTCACTTTAATATTTATGTGAGTTCAACATATTAGTGCGTACACAGTAAGTCTAGTTTTACGAGTAGTAGATGTGGCATATCTGTTGTGGGCAACCATCAAAAGTGTCTCACTGACCTAATGAGCATCTAGTTTAATTCGAGCAAGTTGTTGGCTGCATATTTGAATAGTATCATTAATGGTCATGCTGTAACATAAACTACTGTAATCGCGCATTCGAAACAGGAAGATTTACATTATAGAATCTAAATAAAGTTCCTAACACTTAAGAATTGAGTCTCATTGAATGCAAGATATCCGGGTCATCAGACAGAGCTGTAATTTACTTACTTCTTTGGCAGCACAACCTACTACGCTCTCTTTTTAGGTCGAATCTTGTTCAAAGATAGCCCTTTTCAAGCACGAATAACTCATGCTACAAAGCGTTTTGGGCGGTTGGAATAGCACTAAACGGCTCCTCTTGACCACGCTTTACTTCCTGATGCTTTATCTCGAAATTTTTTTGGAGAAATGCAAATTCATGAAATTCCTCATTTTTCCATGAGTATTAGCAAGGGAAAATTCTTGAAAATCAAACGATCACGTTTTTCGCCCCAAAAATAGAGACTTTTTCTATAATGCGTATAAGATCGAATTGATTGTAAAGACGGAATGCAGCACTGGAAGCTCCTTGTATGAGATTTTTGCATGTGAAATTTCGACGTTTTGGCAAAAAACATGTTTTCATATTTTTGCAAATTGCTCATTATTTTCGGTCTGAAAGCTGAATGTAATTAGCACCATTCAATACGGATTCTTTAGTCCTCTAGAAATGTATTAGAAAGTTGGGTGTGACAACGATAGTTTTTATAGTCAAATTTAGCAAAAACGTTTAAAGGACGAGAGATCAAGTCAAGTTTGAACACGAAAATACCCACTGCACAATTTCAAATTAAATTGCCGCAATTAAGGCTGCTACGGTACAAGACTGAGACTAAATATGCTGGTCGTGACGTCGGATAGGGTGCCCTCTCATTTTTCCATGGCCCCCATTTTTTACCCTTTTTGCAAAACGCGTTTTGATATCAAACCATGGTGGTTTTAGAAACTGTTTGATTGATAATAACACTCTAGCTTCCGATAGCTCTGTCTTGTACTGTTGGAAGAACTTGATACTGCTTCTTTCAAGTAGAATATGCTAAGTACCATTCGATAACGAGCATTGGAAGGCGTAGGATTAACACTAATTGAATTTTTTATTAGGTTTTGATGACTCTTTTTGACTGTTTGATGTGGGTGTTGCTACCTCTGCTGTCTACTTCTTTGGTTTATTATGTCTGGTGGTTGCTTCTTTGGCCTTTGTCTGGTCTCTGGTGTTGTTCACTCTTCGGTTTTTCTATGGTGCCGGTGTTGCTGCTGCTAATCTACTGGTCTTTCCCGGTTTACTGTATTTGTTGTATTCTTGTTCTCTGGTCTGCCTCTGATGACTACCTATACTCTTCTGGTCTATCTCTGGTGGTGATAAGTGGTAAGTAATACTTTTTGGTCTGTGTCTGTTTTCTGCTAATGGCGTTCATTTTATACTTTTTCTATGGTGCTGGTATTGCTGCTGCTGCTGCTAATCTGGTCTTTTCTGGTCTACTGTATTTGCTGCATGCTCGCTCCCTGGTTCATATCCGGTGATTACTTAATATCTGGTCTATCTCTGGTGGTGACAAGTGGTAAGTAACTTCTTTGGTCTTTGTCTGGTCTCTGCTGGTGGCGTTCGTTCTATAGTTTTTCTATGGTGCTGGTGTTGCTGCTGCCGTTGTTAATCTGGTCTTTCCTGGTCTACTGTATTTGGTGCATGCTCGTTCTCTGGTCTGCCTCCGGTTATTGCCTATACTCTTCTGGTTTATTTGTGGCTGTGGTAAGTGGCAGGTATCTTTTTTCTTCTGGTTGCAATGATATAAAACTTCTTTGAACGCTTATATTATTGCTTCCTTTCTCGTGATAATGCATTCATGATGTTTGCCTTGTTGCGCTTTTTTCTTCTTTTTCTTTTGTTGGTAGTGTTTCCTCTGTAACTTTACATGAAACAATATTAGTCATTATGTTGTATCGCAAACTTATCATACCACTGTTGCTTTTGCGGTTGTGCGTATTTGTGTCATGTTGCTTTACATTGGACTATTACCACCACCATGCGCTTTGCTCATGTATGCATTTTTCTTGCAACAGCAACGAGCTTTTTTAAACATCTTTGATGTTGTGTTTGTTATGCTTTTCTTTGACTCGCTTCGTGTGAGTGTCTCTTTTTTGCCTACATACTACTATACTCCCGTAGTAGTATGCTCTTTTCTTTCTTTTATTATGTTTATGTTTCTTTGAAGCATACCTTTTTTTACGTTGTGTGGATGTGCCTATCGCTGAAGCTCAACAAGAACTTATCCGAGGCTAGGAGGTGGATAGGCTGCCTCCACTTGGTTATCGCTACTTACTTTAGTGATGATTGAGGGTCTCAATGCCAGTATTTAAAGCTAGGTGGTGTAAGTAAGGCATGCTCTAGCACCTGAGGGAAGTTTGATGATAGCAGCGACTATACTGCTATTATAGCGGCGCTTAAAATTTTGCCTCACATCAAAACAGGGGGAAACCCTCGCAATTTTTTTTTAGGTCAGCGGAGTTTTCGAGCAATATGATTGGCCGAGGGATTGAAAGAGAAACGGTTTACAACGGGTTGATTTTCTGTTGATCTGTCATTTATCATGATTTGTCGTTTGTAATAATAAAAGCGTAATTAAATGGAAACAATTTAAGGCCTTTTTTATTCAAGAGTAATATAAGGTGCAATCATTGAGTTCATTATCCAGTAAATAATTTTATGTGAGCAATGTTTTTTAAAATGTACGGGTATTTTCCAGGGAATATTATACAATAGGTGGTACTACAGTAGTACGGTACATTAGGTACAGGGTTCTCCCAGTACCAAATGTCCCGCCAAACATGCGATGTACCTGCAATGTAACAGCCACCCAAACTCAACTTGATTGAAAACCTAAATTCATCGAATAGTTCTCATTCAAATTCATGTTATTTGGATGTATTAATAAAAGCGCTCAAATGTATATCAATAACCATTTAAGCATACTAAAGCAAAGATGCACACTTATCTCTCATATCATGTGAATGAATCACTCCTGGTCACAGTGTACTCAATCACACCCGTGATGGTCGTAATAGGTGATTTATCAGAAATAAATTATTTATAAAAAAGAGTATGAAATTAATCAGGTAAAGAATGTCGTTTATTACATTGGAAATAACAGGGTTTATATACTATTCGAATTGAGGGATTTGATGTGAGGATAAGGTATTAGATGGGTTGATTTGGGTGATAGGATAATAGATCCAATCTACAGTGCGCGAAAAAAACGTTCCAGTGTTTTGCCAATTCGTAGTTTTATACTTACAGCTCTGTCAATTTTTTCCAGTTTTAAAACTAAAGTAAGACTACGAAAGCTTGGGTTTTTAGCCACAAAATGAGCTACTAAAATAATTGATACAGTAGATATTGAGCAAGTGCAACTGACGTAAAGTAAAAAATTTCGATTTTGTAAAATTGGAAATATCACTTGATGACCTTATTGTTTGTATACATTCCACGAAAGTGACCCGAGAGCCGTAATTTTTTATATCATTTATGTTTAAAATGTTAGTTATCCGAAGAATGCTTAAAAAAGTATAAAGAAGCGTGAGATTTTGGTCTTTCCCCTCATTATATTTTACCATCTTTACTTCATCACTTTTTTTAACATGACACGTCCCATTCCTCAGGAGGTTCAAGGATCTGTCAACGCTCTTTTCAACCAAGGTTGTTCCCTCCGTGCCATTCAAAAAATCTTCCCAGATTTGTGCGTCAGTGTACTTTCTCGCCACAGGAAGAAGTTTCTTGGTCATTCAAAACATGCCAAACCCGGAAGACGCAGCAAAATCACTACGCAAAATATGAACTACATTGAGAGGAATCTCCGCAATGGTAATTTAGACGGCCCCAAGGGTGTGCAGCGCTACCTTGCTCATATGGGAGTTCAGATGACTTTGAGGAATATACAGTATATACTCAAGCACAAAGGGTTCAAGGCTAAAAGAAAGGTAAAGACCAATTTCGTGTCTGCGGAAAACCGGAAAAAACGTCTTGTGTGGGCCAAGAGACATCGACATTTGACTGCGGACGATTGGCGTAAATGGGGATTTTCCGATGAAACCAGGGTCAACATGTGGGGATCTGACGGCGAATCTTTCTACTGGACTGACAGGCCCACTGAGTTGATGCCTCATCAAACTGAGGCTAAAGTTCAGGGAGATGGTGGTGGCGTTGTTTTCTGGGGCATGATAACAGCGGAGGAACCCAGCTATGGCTCTACCATTACCGAAGGAACTGTTAACTCAGAAGTTTATGCTGAAATTCTGGACTCATCTTTGCTAGACACTATCGAGTACTATGGGCTGGACAAGAAAACGTTTAGATTCCAGCAAGATAACGCAAGACCACATACTTCTGGTCCCATTAAAAAATGGTTCACGCATCACGGATTCTCTGTTCAAAATGCCCTTGATTGGCCTCCCCCCAAAGCCCTGACCTAAACCCCATTGAACATGTCTGGCATCAACTAAAACGTCGTTTGAACAAGTACCCTACTAGGGCCACCAGCATTTCTGAGTTAGAAGACAGAATTGAACAGGAATGGTATAAATTCACAAAAGAAGACTGTCTTAAATACATAGGCAGCATGCCACGCCGAATCAAAGCGGTTATCAAGAGTAAAGGTGCTCCAACTAAATACTGAGCTTTTTTATAAAATTTAATAAATTCGACTTTTCACTTTTCATGAGGCTACCATTCTTTTTCTAATTACGTGAATAAAGTGCATAATATATCATCTGATAGCCAACTACTTAGGCTATTTATGAAACTAAGCAAACCCCAGTAGCTTTGATATTTGCAGAGAAAACTGGCTATAAGTGCAATTTGGCAAAACACTGGAACGTTTTTTTCGCGCACTGTATTATCCTGAACATGCCATGATAAGGATCGTAACTGAATCCTGTTTCATGTCAAAGTTTATGATCTGATGTGGTCGGTGCTTGAACTGATTGTTTTTACGCATTTGGAGATCCGGTTTAGAAACGATACATCAATGATGATAGTTCATTACTAGTAAATTATGATTTTTTCTCCATGTTGCATACAAGCATGCATCTTAGGCTACATTCACTTTCTCCTCAAGCCACCTTTTACAGTGTAGCAGCATAGATGATGTTTATCGTATCACATCACATCTATGTTTACAAGTCCAGTCAATTGTGTGTGCACAGGTGCCTCAGGAACTACAATACATTCAATCTCCCCAATGTCAAAATATCGAGATCCACCTACACTACATGAAACATACCGACTTAGGTGGCCTCTCAACAAGCTATACCAACAATCCATAAGGCCCCAGTGGCCTGCTATTTATATACCATCTCAACGTAGTAGTCATTGACCAGGGATCTACCATATTTAAGCAAGCTAGATGCCCTGTAATAAAGAAGCTCTTTGCTTTCGTTTTAGATACAGTTGACAACTGATTATTATCATCGACTTATTATTACGAATTCATCACTCCAGTGTATCGATTACTCTCTCAAGATTCAAAGGTTATTGCTGTAGACATCAAGCTAAAAACGAAGATTTCGATAATGGTATTTATTGACTACTCTACCAAATGAACAGATACTTTATAAAAGTGACTGCCCTATTCAAACCGAAATTTAAATCAAGTGGGTACCCCAAATTTCAACTTTTTGTGCGGGATGTATAGAATGTACGATCAGCGGTAAGTATGCTTGTTTAGCAAGAGTGTGTATTAATGAAATGTGGTGGTTGCCTCATTACATTACCAAGTCGAGCTAGAAATCTTTTGCAATTGTTACATGGGATAGTGACGTTTTATTTACCTCGACATCCGACAAGGGACTAATTACACAGTGCTTTACTTACAAAATGCGGTTATTACAAGGACAGCAATGTTACTACTATTAATGATGCTCCATATCATTACATGCGTTCCTCTAGTTTATTTACTCTGTCCAGCATGTCTGAAAAGAAAAATCGTTTCGTGTATCCCACTACTGCTGTAGCTAATGCATTGCTGATGTGTGGATCCACTTCATTCAGGTTGACGGTGTTTGGGACATGACATCCTTGTACCACAGCGGCCTCTGTCACTTTGTGGGTCTCTTCTGGATCATTCAGAAACTCTAAAATCTGTCTGTGGTTTCTGGAAACATTTGCGCTTAAATGCTTGTCCCGAAAATTTATCATTCAGCATGTAACTTACTTTAAAAGCAAATCAATGTGTTCAAGATTTGACATCAAATGTTGTACTGGATAGCTAGTCAAGTTTCTTTCAAACTTTGCTATTGATTCCTTTGCTTCTTTTTCCATTTGCGTTACTTTAGGCACGGCAGCCTTGATCTGGAGTCTTTGATGGCGATGCTTTCTGATTTTTGCTGCCTCCTCTGAGGGTAGCACACTGGGTTTGTTGTCGTGGGGGTATATGGAGCTTAGCGAGTCAATCAGTCGCGAGCCAAGGTAATCCTCTAATTCTTGTTTAGTACGGCTTGATAAATCCAAACTTTTCAAGTGGTCTTGCTTATCCAGAAAAGACGATGCTTGCACAATCTTGTTTGTAGTGTCCATCACCAACCTGTCAATATCCACCTTGGAATTTGAATTGGCGTGCTGTACCTTGAATAAAACCGAGTTGTACTTCTCCTCCAATTGCTCCCTCGCCTTTTTTGTTGAAATCTGAAGAAACTCTTGTATAAGCTGATCTGCATCATCGATGGCATTGCGTACAATCGGCCATTGGGATTTATCCAGCTTGCTCTCTCTCAGTTGTTTGACCTTGTCTTCTGCGGCAGCAAGACTATCCTCAAACCGATCATCTTTGTGCACCAGCTTCCTCAGTTCGCTTTCTGGAGGCAGTTTAATTTCTTTTAGTTTCTGGCTCACATCGGCTGCAGAATATAATTGTTCAACACCTCGACTGACGATTTCTTGCTCTACGGCTCTCAATCTACAGTAGAGTCAGTTATTGATCTTCTACATCAAGAGGCTGTATCCATACTCTCGAATCATGTCACTTTTGATGCTCTCCATTTCCTCCAGACGAATATCTGTCATCGTTTTTTTTTTGTGAATATCTACTTACATGAAATAACCTGCATTCATTACCTAATCTCGCTTCAAGGTTGGGGCAGTTTTCAACCCTAATACGATTTCCTCTGATATCCACTTTCTGCTGCTTATGCCGAGAGTATTCTTGATCAAAAGCACGCAACCTTTTTGCCTGGTTACAAGATTTGACGAGGCTTTGGGGAGGAAACATACCTGGTCAAAACATGCTTGTTTAACGTACGTATTCCATACTTACTCATCCGCACACTTGAATTGTTTCTCATTGCCCTCCTTTATAGCAGTATCCATGGCAGAGAGCAACACTCGGATATGCCAGTCGAAATAGAAAAAAAAAAAAAATCTGGAGAGAAAGAAAGAAGATAAAAATACTTGGAATCAAACGCAGAACAAGGAATTCGCGCGGTGAAAGGCGATCCACTATAATTGTCAACAGTATTGTTTATCAGTTTGCAATTAGCAGTTGATTAGTTCTGGGATGGGTAGTATCTGCCTTTCACTCATTTGCCCATCAAGAGTATCAGGGATATCTCTATAAATCTCAAATGTTGATACGATGTGTACTGTGAAAGATCTTTCAATGCATGCAGCAAGAATCATGCTTCATTTCTTGAGCCACTCCAGCAGACCAAAATCATCACATACCAGAATTTAGCCAACATTCTCAATAGACGGGGCAGTTCTTCAAAGTGCAAGGAAGCTCTCTCTCTCTCTCTCTCTCTCTCTCTCTACTTATCTGGTGTTCTTTACGCAATTTTCATCTACACAGATCAGAAGATTTTATCACCCATGGATACTGCGTTACAAATGATTGCTGATCAACAATCAGCATATTAATGATCCACTGGCTTACAACTCCCCCAGTATTTAGTACTCGAAATCATCTCATTCTGCAAGTTCTAATGTCAATTCATGCTGGATTACACATTTGAGCAGTGACAACACTTCAAAGCCGATTGGCATCTCGAAATTTATGAATCCAACCGTCCCAGAAACAGTCTTGAGCAGAAAAATTTTTCACGTCTATAAAAACCACCATCTCTTGATAGATCATAGCTGCTTGCTTCTTGGTTCAAGTGTCATTTACAAGGTAAATATCAGTTTTTATTGTTGGGAGCGGAAAATGTGCTATGAATCCATTACAATGATGAATTTTAGCTGGCACCAGTCCGAGCTTCATGATGGAAAACCATAAAGTGGGGTGTCAATATACGCAAGACATCCCTGATTTTTGGATTCATATAACATTTCCATTTTCCTGTTTATCTTGTATGATGAATTTGTTGCTAACATCTAGCTTCTCAACTTTAGGTCATCTCTACTATTGAAATGATTTTATAAATAAAGCTTTTTTTTAATCCATAACGCATATGTATTTTTTTTTTGCTGTAAAATGTGAAATCTTCAAGACCCAAAAAGGGCCAATATACCGCATGTTTTACAGACGTAAATTAAATGCTTGACATACGAAAATATTTCGAGTGTGCTTGTGTAAGCCATTCTGTCTCCTTTTTTCTTCCTTTGTTGTATCATAAGGCATCATTTTTGTCTCTTTCTTTCCCTTTACCTTTCCTTTTTTCTGTAACTTGTCTCCAATTTTCACTATCTCTTGAATGGTGTCGCCTAAAACTTTTGCACCATCATCATTGCTACCAGCACCAGCGCCCAACGAAAAATCATACAAAGTTGCTATTCGTGCAAATGATCTCTTTGAGCGTGGCCAGTACAACGAAGCCATCATCGACTACACCAAAGCTTTGCAACTGTCAAAAGATTGCAGCGAAACAGACCAAACCTTTGTAGCCTTGATATACTCAAACAGAAGTGCATGCTACATCAAAATCAGAGAGTACGAAAAAGCCAGACGAGATGCTGTGCAAACCATCGATTTGGCTAGTACGTGGTCCAAGGTATGTAGGTAGTTTGTAGGCCCTGGATCTGCTATAAGCTGTTTACACAAGGCAATGTCAGGGTTATTTTCGTCATGGCGAAGCTCTATTGAAATTGGAGCAATTTGATGAGGCTCTGGAGGCTTTTCAGATGGCAATGGACAGAGAGGATGCCGCGAATATCAAGGAAATATCAGCCTTTGTCGCAAAGACGTTGATCGAGAAGGATAATGCCAGGATGGGGATCAAAATCATTCAGCTGATTTCAGGACAGGACATTGCTGTGGAAAAAAGTGTGTTGAACCCAATTCAAAGCAAATTGTACGAGTTTGCTGCACACATGAAAAACATTATACACATCATTGTGGACATCAAAACAAACAATTGTATTCTCATTGATGCGGTAAGGTGTAGAGTGCAAGGCATAGATGCTTAAAGTAACTGATATTTGTTCTAGTGCTGGGATATTGATGGCATACTAAAGTACATTGATGAGCAAGGTTATACCGTTGTAGCCACTGTAGTTACACATTACCACTTTGATCATATTGGAGGATCTCCACCAGCACCCTACGACACCTTACCCATCAAGATATCCGGCCTTTCTAGCCTTTTGAAAAAGATACCACACATCAAAGCCTACATTCACCCGCTTGAAATACCCTTCATTCAACAGACCAACTCTAGTATCCAATTCAATCGTCTTGTGCCCACGACCACTGACATTACTACTCATCTCAACATTGGAAAGATACACATTGAATTTTTACATACCCCAGGTCATACCCCAGGATCGCAATCTCTGTTGGTCAATAAATCAAGGCTGATTGCAGGAGACACTCTGCTGTGTGGAGGGCATTGTGGCAGGACTGACTTGCCTGGAGGCAACCGTAGAGCCATGGAAAAGACACTTCGCCATGTGTTGGGTGGTCTGGACAATCGCATTGTTGTGTATCCAGGACATTACTACGGCTCTACGTGGTCCACTATAGGCATGGAGCGAGAGAACGGTTGCCTAGGCGACGAGCTGGTGGGATTTGGCATGGAAACCACAGTGTAATAGCCTGCTAATAGTAAAAGCCACCGTATACTTTTTTTTCGGTTGGTTTCAAAAAAATTAGACTAATTTGAATAAACAAGGCTCCTCCATTTTCGTTTTTCCCTTTTTCTCTTCTCTTCTTTTCTTCTGTGTATACACAACGCTCATAAAGAAACATGTCATCCACACAGCCAACTGACACCACCGACGAAAATGTTGAGATCTGGAAGATGAAGAAGTTGATCAAAAACCTCCAAATGGCCAGAGGGTAATCCACGATGTAGCTTATATAAGAGACTTGTCTGACTTGTGTCGTTTATAATAGTAACGGTACTTCTATGATCTCCCTTGTTATCCGTAAGTAGCCGGACGATGCGAATGCGTAGTATGTGCTGACTGTGACATTAGCCCCCAAGGATCAGATTTCCCGTGTAGTCAAAATGTTGGCTGATGAATACGGTACTGCCTCCAACATCAAATCTCGTGTCAATCGTTTATCAGTCTTGTCTGCCATTACTTCTACTCAACAACGTTTGAAGTTATACACCAGAGGTTAGCATACAACCTGCCGCAGAGCATCTATGCATCGACAGAACATAGGCTAATATTACATACATAGTTCCTGAGAATGGTTTGGTTGTTTACTGTGGTACCATTATCACGGACGAAGGCAAGGAAAAGAAGGTCAACATCGATTTTGAGCCTCACAAGCCCATCAACACCTCTCTTTACTTGTGTGATAACAAATTCCATGTTGAAGCTTTGTCTGAATTGTTGGATAACGATGCCAAGTTTGGTTTTATTGTCATGGATGGTAACGGTACCCTCTTTGGTACTGTGTGTGGTAATGTACGCGACGTTATTCACAAGTTGTCTGTTGATTTACCCAAGAAGCACGGTCGTGGTGGTCAGTCCGCACTTCGTTTCTCTCGTCTCCGTGAGGAAAAGAGACACAATTACGTCCGCAAGATTGCTGAACTCGCTGTCCAGCTCTTCATCACCAACGACAAGGTTAACTGTGTCGGTTTAGTTTTGGCTGGTTCTGCTGATTTCAAGACTGAATTGTCTCAGTCCGACTTGTTCGACCCTCGTCTCCGTGCAAAGATTGTCAAGATTGTCGATGTTTCCTATGGTGGTGAAAACGGTTTCAACCAAGCTATTGAATTGTCTGCTGAAGCCTTGTCCAATGTCAAGTTCATCCAAGAGAAGCGTTTGATCGGCGATTATTTCAGTGAGATTTCCCAAGATACTGGTAAATACTGTTTCGGTATTGATGATACTTTGAAGGCACTTGAGATGGGTGCTGTCGAGACATTGATTGTTTGGGAGAACCTTGCTGCTAACCGTTATATTCTTCGTGATGCCTCTGGTACCGAAACTGTTGTCTATCCTACTGCTGATGAAGAAAAGACCAAGTCCTTCTTGGTCGACAAGAGTCCTGACGCTACCACCAACGCTGAAATGGAGGTTGTCGAATGCATGCCTTTATTAGAATGGTTCACTCACAAGTACAAGGAATTCGGTGCCGTGCTTGAGATTGTCACTGATCGTTCTCAAGAAGGTTCTCAATTCGTTAGAGGCTTTGGTGGTATTGGTGGTATTCTCAGATATCGTGTCAACTTTGAACAGCTCAACTACGACTCTGATGAATTCATTTCTGATGATGACGAGGAATATATCTAGATTTTTTCACCCCTTTTTTTAATCAACTTGAATTATTACGCTACACCTACTCGCACTCCTTTGCAAATCACCTACTCCTAACGCAAGCAATATCGAATTGATGTATAAATTTATATAAATTTGACAAATGTATACAGATATCATGTATAATTGTGATTCACTTGCTCTGATCAGTAGTAGTATCTGAATTGGCCCTAAAAGAGATGTGCGCCGCATGTTATAAAATACGCCTAAATCACACATGTTTAAAACTAACCTCTTGTCCGTCTTTCTCGTTGCTATTGTCCAGTTTGCGATTCTGTCGGTACAGTAAATAGCTTGCTAATCCCGAAAACAATGCTCCCACGACTGCACAGCATAGATTGAAGGCATTTCCGAAATCTAGGGCATCAGTGCATTAGTATCGGTGCTCAGTTTGCATTGTAGCTCAACTTACAATAATGAGGGCCATCTGATACAGGATATAGATAAGAAGCGATGACACCTCCGCTGTTGCCTATCATAACAACCACTGCAACTGCAATGACTCTGATCTCGAGATTGGGGAAGTTGATGGCAGACCAGCCAATGTTTGCAGGTGCTATTATGCATCGCTTGTCTGTCAGATATGTCTGCTATCATATGCTGGTTTCGATGACTTACCTTGCAATCCCAATCCTGCTGGGATGACAAACAGGGCTGCATAACGTGCTAATTTGGGCCATGTCAGCCTTGGATCTTTGATTCAACAACTGCACACACACACACACACACACACTTACCCCATCTACCCTGAAGAATAATGAGCAGCATGTAGCCTATAGCCCCAACACTGAAGCCAGTAACCATCAAAGCGCCTCGTTTATTCTTATACTTGTCAGCCAAATAACCGCCTAGGACAATGCTGATAGTTTGAGCTACATTTGGAGGAGCAGATAGTAGCTGCGACTCCAACACAGGAAATCCAAACCCGTCGATGATGGTTGGCGCAAAAATCTGGTAGCTGGTGAGATTGACTACAGTCAAAAGGTACGTTGTCGCAAACAAAAACGTCTTCCAGTCCAGGATTGCCTTCAAGAAGGTCTTGAATGATAATGCAACCTCCTCCTCAGGTGCATTGGTGCATTCTCGATGCAACGCCTTCTGAGTGTCTGTCAGCCATGGCACACTCTTGATATCGTCAAACAAGTAAAAATAGGATACCACACTGAGGCAAATCGTGGGCACGCCTTCCAATATGAACAGGTATTGCCAGCCGTGCAAGCCTCTTTGTCCCTCTAAAAACGATGTGCCGTACGCAATGGGACCCGAGACAATGCCCGAGACGGAAGACATACACAGTAAAAGAGCTAGGCGTAGACCAAAATCTCGAGGACGGTACACTCTGGACATCATATACAATATACCTGGGATGTAGCCACTCTCAGCAGCTCTATATGCGTGCACAGCAAACAATTAAAGTTAGTGCAAGGAATAGCTTATGCACTATGATACCCTTCTTACCCAAGCAAAAGTCGACAAGCTAGCAGGCTATGAAAGTTTTTCGAGAATGCCATCACTAGCGTCATTGTACCCCATAAGAGCATGATCAAAGATAGCCACATTACGGCACTTGTGCGCTTGAGAATGATATTGGAGGGCACTTCGAATAAAATCTAATGAAAAAAGACAAGGTGTTGATTGCATGCAAGTAGCTACAATTAGATGATCCTCTTACGTAGGTAATATAAAATGCTGATATTGCTGTACTAAGCTCGCTGTGTGATAGCTATACATTCATTTCATTAATGTTGCTGTTCCTCTTTCTTTCTTTCCTTTATTGACTCACATGTAAATCATCCTGAATTCCAGCTAAACTGTGATTGTAAGACGGAATCAGCGCAAAGGGCCGCCCTTGTGAGCAAAAGATACTTACGTTGCATTGCCAATGTTGGCACGATCAAGGAAATCTACAAAGTAGAATATGCAAAAGAGAGGCATCATACGGCAATCAATGATTCTAGTAATCTTCTTTTCTTCAGTTGTCCTGTCTACAATATGTCCAATCAGCTCTTGATCGCTTGATTTCATGTTATCCTGGCTGTCGTATTCTCTCTTTTTCTGCTCAAAATCATCGCTGTTGCTTCTGCTGCTGCTTCTGGCAGTGTCCCCAACGAGTGTTCTGGAAGTGGAGCCTGTCATGATCAAGTCTACATTACTTCCCAAATCCTGTTCGTAGTGTTGTGTATCATTTCTGTCAAGCATTCTATTTGATTTAGAGAGAACAAGAAGAAAGAGAGAGAGAAGACCATGCACAATGAAGATCAAGTATCATTTTATAATTTTAAGATCATGCTGTCTAAATTAATCTAAATTCATTCAAAGCGCATCCAGAGGTGTATTTGGAATTAGAATTTTTTTAATGATTGCTGCCAACTGCTTTCGCATACAACCGAGAAAACCGAAAGGCTAATTCGAGTCATGGCTTTGGCTGCATGTGGTAGATAAACTCTCAAGAAAAAGACATTACAACCACCCACCGTGTGCTCAGAATGCACAATGCATGAATTTAGGTACACACATGCATGAAATGAAGAAATTGTGTAGATCCTCGCCTAAAGGAGTTTATCTGTTCAAATCGCAAGTATTTAAATAAAGACTTTATCCAAGAAATACGTTTTAATATAGTTTGGTTACTCCTTGAAAGATGAAGATTACTCATTTTGGCTGTTCTGATGGTACTTAATAACTCTAGTTGTTAGGCTCTTCCCGCGTACTCAGATTGCGCGCAGGTGCTTACTGCAATTTCATGTATAAAAAAAGTACAATCTTTTAGTATTTATTAAAGGGATGTGTTGATTCAAAGTGGATGCTTGCAAAGAATATATATGTTAAATAGGGAAGCTATATAAAAAGGTTGCTGTTTGTCTAAATGGGGGGGGGGTGAGATAATGGGATGATGTTGTCTACAGGAAACGAGCTAAATCACTGTTGGAAATACCGAGTGCAGGTGATTGAGTGTTCAAGGCACGTAATAATTCTACAAGTTCATTGCGAGTTGACTCATTCAATTGGTCTTCGTTGCTCAACACATGGTGGAAGACGGGGAGAAGACTGGGAATTTGACTTTGAATCTACAGCAACAGTTAGTATCAACATGCGATAACATGACATGGGCTACTTACAAAGGTATTATTAGCACGGAAAAGAGAGAACAAGCAGTTAAAGACGGGCTCATTCTCAGCGAAATCAGCCTTGAGAGGAAGTACGCTGGTGAAGACGGGCAACACTTGGTCAAGAGGGACAGCGTCTGGACGAGCAAGAATCAATCTAGCAACAGCGCCAGTGGCATTATCAGTGATATTAGGTACAGGCTGGTTTTGGAAAAGAGGGTGCAATGCAGTCAAGATGACAGGGTATTGAGAGCCAAGATCGATTTGTGAGTTACCAGTGAGGATACCTAAAGCATAGGCAGCATTGCTTCTGACAGATTGGTCTTCGTCGGCACAAGCCTTGACAAAGAGCTGAAGCAGACGCTCAGTATGAGGAGTGACAGCAGACTTGATGCCAGTGATGCATTCACCAAGACAGCCAATAGCCATAGATCGCTCAGCAGAAGACTTAGACTTTTTGTAATACTTGGCAATCAAGGGCATGAAGACATCAAAGTAGGAAGAGTAAGATTCGCCTACTGTTTCACAGATGGTGGCAACAAGATCGCCGGCAGCATTGATCAAAAGGGACTCTGACTCGGCTTCTTCTTCCTCATCGACAAAGTCCTCCTCGTCGTAGCTTTGCTGGCATATGGATCTCTTTTCAAAGATGTCGAGAATATTGCGAGAGATCTCCTCAACATGGTCAGCAACGATACTGGGACCCATCAGCTTGAGAGATTGGATCAGCTCCTGGCAGATTTGCACAACCACCATTTTGTCGTCCTCATCCTTCCACATGGCCAAGACAGTAGGAATGATGATAGTAGTCATGTTTTGAACGTTCTCGTGCACAGGGTAAGTCAGAGGCAAGCCAGCCTTCCATTCTTCGGATCCAGACATGAGATAGAATGTCTTGAGGAAGCTAAACAGACTGCCAACAACCGCCTTACGGACACCATCGAACAGATGGAAAGAGAGTTCAGTCAGTTCTTGCACGGCAGATTCGACATAGGGCAAGAAGTGGGTTTGGGTGCTTTCAAAGAGCTCTCCAAGAGCATCAGCAGCGAACTCCTTCTCATCAGCAATAGCAGAGTTGAAGTTGAAGGCACTGTCATCGTCCTCCTCGTCACCTTCGTCCAAAGTAAGATCGATTTCGCTTCCAAAGTTAGCCTCGTCCTTTTCCTCGGCCTTGCAAGAAGCAATGATAGGAGGCATCACAGTAGGAAGATATGGGGCAAATTCCTCTCCAAATACACGAGCCATGATAGAGAAAAAGGCATAAGAGCATTCACGAAGACGAGGTGAGTCCAATGTCAATTGCTCGATAGCTAAAGCCATCAAGTCTTGAGTAAAAGGTCTAAACTTGTCAGCACCAACAGCTTCAGCAATGGCACCAGCAGAATCAGTAGCAACACCGCGCAGCAGGGCCTCATCAGAACCCTCAGTCAAAGTCATCAAATGGCGAATACGGGGCATGACACCACCAAAGTAGGGCTCAAAGCCCTCGCCAGCAGCGTGTGCAGCACTACCAATAGCAGCCATGACAGTAGCTTTCGTTTCAGTTTGAGGAGCATTGTCCAAGAGGAACAACAGTTTCTCCATCAACATGGGCAAATACTGCAAGACTTCATCACCCAAACTCTCTAAAATGGCATCAAGGGCGTTACAGGCGTGCTTGGTGACTTCAGGGTTAGTGTCATTCATCAAGTTGAAGACAAGAGGTAACAACACTTGATGGCTTTCTGAAATCTCCACAGGCATTTCTTCAGCAAGACAGCCAAGAGCCATACAGGCAGCACGACGAACGATAATCTCGGGATCCTGCAAGCCAGAGCAAACAAGGGGCAAGAGATCGCTGAGCTTGGGGCTCATGTATTCAGCGCATCCCTCAATAATGACAGCAAAAGACATCATGGCTGCTTTACGGAAGTTAGGGTCAGGGTTCTGCATGTAGGAAACGACAACAGGCATGACAATAGGGAACACTTGTTGAGGAGGCATGTTGGTGGCAAGGGCGTTCAACACCTTGAATGCCAACTACAGAGAGAGTGTGAGTGCAAGTCAGCACTTGATACAAGGGCACCTCAATGTCAGCTACTTACACGAGAAGGAGAGTCTTCATCCACATCTTCGGGGTCTTCCTCTGAACCGATAGGCATTAAACCCTCAACAATGAATCCAACTAGCTTCAAACTTCTAATCTTGTTTTGCTTACTATGAGGAAGAATGAGTTTCAAGCGTATTCTCTGGTCTGGCAGGGCATCGACTTACTATACAGCAGCCCACATGAGGAAAGAAAGAGCCATAACACGGAGCGAATCGTCCAATTCACGGTTGGATCCAATGGTCAAGAAGAATCTAATCAAGTCGACCAAATGGTTGGACAACAGAGGAGCATCCTACAAGCACATGTCAACATCCAGCAAAGCAACCCTCCGCTGCGAATCTCAGCTTACCAACATCAAGAGTGTATCGAATACTTCGAAAATCTCGCCTGCACTCTCCTCATCCCCTTCGGTGAGACATTGCTCCAGGACATTGACCATACCAGGAATCATGTTTCTGAATGATTTCTATTTCAATGGCACATGAGCACATGCCACACAACACACTCTAGACACCCAAACTTACAATGTTCTCCTTGTCGTCGGTTTCGATGAATTCAGCAAGTTTACCCAAAGTCCTAACATCCAACTGCTATTAGCCGCTGAAGATCACTCTAAACAACACCCACTTACAAAACAGTAGTAATTCGGACACGTTTGCTCTCGGGATCGACAATTGCCTTGGAAAACAGGTCATACAGAGGAGCAGTGTGGTCCATGAAAAAATCTGCAATCACTTCAAACAGCGTGTATAAACAATAGGTACCAACCTCACGATGAATAGCAGTGTTGCTAGCACACGCTTGATTCAAGAAGCCTAACAGCTCAGGCCATTTGTTCTCGGGCACATCGATACGTGCAATAGATGAAATGACACGAGCAGTCGAATGGCGCACAATTTCACTATGAAAGAGTATAAGCTTTCTGATCTGCAGCTGTACTAGCATCCCACATTTACTGTTGTTCATTCAAGGCCATCTGCAATAGTTGAGCACGGATTTCGACTTGTGCCTCGTCAGGGATCTCTTGCCATTTCTTTGAGATACGCTTTCTCAATTCGACTGCTGCAAGTTGACGTACAGGATGGTGGGGAGAGCGACTGATGATCTGGACAAGAGCAGGGATACAATTTGCTGAAACATAAAATTGAGTGTTTAATGTCGAAGTAGCCTGGATCCATACGATCAATTTCATGTGCCATGAGGAAAAAATTTTCAGTGCTTACTTTTCTAATTGTATCAGAATCTTGAGCAGATGCAAGCTTGGTTAAAAGCTCTTCGAGGCCCGTTACAAATTGCTAGATCAAAATCAGTTCAGTTCCTGGTATTTTGATTTCTAGGCAATCATTGCCTTGTGGATTTACCTCCATATTGACTGTAAGAAATCACAAAAGTGAAAAAGGGTTCAAATGACTACAATGGCACCTAAAATACAAGGCAAAAAAAGTTTATACATTGAATGTCCGTGTTCAAGAAAAGTGATCCTCTCTCGCTTCCAATTGAGCATATTTGTTCAGCCACAGGACAGGACAGGACAGCACATGAATTTGAAGAGGAGGAGCTGAAGGTGGTGGAGCACAGATGGTAGGCCATTTTCGTACGTCATCACCACCATTTGAAAGCAACACGCGTCTTGAGGCAGAATCTTACGTTTGCAATATTGAATTTAGAAAGCTCATCCAGTGCAATATCTCTTTCAATCTTTTCTTTTTCTCTATATAATACATAATCCACTATGGCTGATCGTTACAGTTTCTCACTTACTACCTTCTCTCCTTCGGGAAAACTTGTCCAGATTGAATATGCCTTGAATGCTGTCTCTCAGGGTGTTACATCTGTCGGTATCAAAGGTAACATTCAGTAGACGAGCATTAATTTTTCCAATTATTCAACAATTTTGGACGTTATAGCTACCAATGGCATCGTTATTGCAACAGAAAAGAAATCAGCCTCCAGCCTTGTCGATGATTCCACACTTGAGAAGGTGGCTACTATTTGTGCCAACATTGGTATGATCTACTCTGGTATGGGACCTGATTTCCGTGTGTTGGTTAGTAAGGCACGTAAAGCAGCACAAGCCTATAAAAGAGTGTACATGGAAGAGCCTCCAGTACGTATCCTCGTTCAAGAAGTAGCCAGTGTCATGCAAGAATATACTCAAAGCGGGTAAGCATCCATAGACATGCTTCATCATTTCATGTCAGCTCAACATTTCGCCTCTAGTGGTGTCCGTCCCTTTGGCGTATCCCTTTTAATTGCAGGCTATGACGAAGTGAATGGACCCTCTCTCTATCAAGTTGATCCTTCTGGTTCCTATTGGGCTTGGAAGGCCAGTGCTATTGGTAAAAACATGATCAATGCAAAGACCTTTTTGGAAAAGAGGTGAGTTTGTTTATGCAAATCGCTTGGCAGTAATGCTGATGAATCGTGTCTAGATACAATGAAGAGATGGAATTGGAAGACGCAGTACATACAGCAATTTTAACCGTAAGCATCCCACCTGCCGCTGTAGTAACATACTGACATACCATTCATCCTGTAGCTCAAGGAAGGTTTCGAGGGACAAATGACAGAGAATAGCTTAGAGATTGGTATTATTGGAAAGAGCACTGTTGGTGTTTATGGTGGCGAAAGAAAGGAGATTCCATTATTTAGAAAATTGAGCTTGAGTGAAGTCAAAGACTATTTGGCCAACATTGCTTAAATTGAATAAATTTCATGATATTCTTATGTATGACAACAATGATATGATTAAGGGGGAGGGAGGGGAGGGGGGCAAGGACCATGGAAGACTAGAGACAATATGAAAAAGGAGTTGTGTGCGTCTATTTGATGTTGCAGTGGACATCCCCTTAAAAAATATGCTATTAGATTTTGTTTTCTTTTCCCTCTTCTTTGTCTCTCTTTTTCTCTCTCACTCTTACTAGCACAACCCATTGACAACCTGAAAGATCACATCAGACGCATACAACATGTGGTTTGCCAAAAAGTTGACTCACAATCAACGGGATGACAAGTGTTTGACCAGAGCATCTGCATTGATGGATAGACTGAACAAGCCTTTGCCACCCATCATTGGTGGCCAAAAGTGCATGACAAAAAACGTACGCTTTACATCTCAGGCTTAGACGCTAGTTTATTGATATTAAGCATAGGCAGAAACACTTGTCATTGCTGTATCAGGAGGACCCAATGTGGGGAAATCCACATTTATCAGATTTGGCTTGCAAAATTTGATTGCAAAACACGATTCCAATCGACCAGGTATGAAATGAAACTCCTTAATCCCATCAAGACCGAGTTTGCTAAATGATTTGTTTCATTACATAAAAAAAAAAACAAGATCTTCAGTGCCACCATGCAAAGATCCTGATTGAAAGAACCAATTACCCAATAGACGTTATAGAACTGGACGGATCAAACATAACAGACTGGATCAATGTACGTTGTTTCTACTATGGTTACTTGCCGATTGCTCATTAAAGTCCATATATAGCATAAAATCCCCTTGATCCATGGTGGCATCGTATGCTATGACACAACCGACAGAGATTCATTGGACTGTATACCCGATTTATTAGGTAAATCGTCATTGCCGTTCCCCTTTTCACATGATCTTGATATTGACCCTCCTTAAAAAAAAAAAAAAAAAAAAAAAAAAAAAAAAAAAAAAAAAAAAAGACTTTTACCTCTCTCGTAGTATACCTATCAAGCTTGTTGGATTGAAAGCCGACTTGCCTGCAGCAACAACCTGTCAAATTGATCCGAATCTCATCCAACAGATAGTCAACTTGTTTGCTTTGGAGCATTTCATAGTCGATGCGTTTTCAGAAGGAGGCGTCCAGCAGATGCAAAATGTTTACAAATCACTCTTGAAGCTAAATTACCCTTTGCTAAACCAGAAAGAGGAGATGCTCGAGGAGGAGGAGATCAAAACCAGCGCCTGTCTGAATGACTCCCCAGGCTTTGTGTATGCCCCTACGACTGCCACAGCGTCTGAGGCAGTGGAAACAATAGAAGCTGGTACAACATCGGCCAGTGAAGCCGATCCCGATAAAGAACTTGCTCGACACAATCACATTGCATCCACTTTTTCTTCCTCTCAGCATATGGTCAACAAGAGGGCAACCAACACATCTTACCATGCCTATCTTGGCAACAGGCGTGGATCAAAAGACAGCAGGTAACTTTTTTTTCTGTGTTCATGCACTTCTTTTCTCTTTACATCTTTTTTTTTTTTTTTTTTTTTTTTTTTACTCAATGCTCATCTTGAATCAATTGTTTGGATCTTACTTTAGTGAGTCTTTTGGTATTGGCTTGACATCTGAGGATGTTGTGGACCGACTGTTGTCGATAGAATACAACAAGACAGGTAAATTTCATCAACAAATCGACATGACAGGCGCATAACATGATTCTGCAGACGAAAACATCATACCTATATTCTTGACATTTTTCAGAAAGTTCATGAAGCCATATGAACTGGTCAAAATGCTAGTCGATAGGTAAGCATTTCGTAAGCGGCATCGCTTTCTGTCAGTATCCCAACACCCTGTGTAGATTCGAGAATGATGGTCTCGCTTCAGATGCGTCTTCACCGACTGATTTACAAAAGAGGTTTGTCATACTTGAACCATACAGGACCCGACAAAATGTGTAACTAAGAACGCATGTGTGTGTTGCGGAATGACAGAATTCATAGCATCTTTTCGTTGTGGTTATCACATTATTGGAATGATTTCTATGGCCCTCACGCAAGGAAGCACATTATTCTCTTTTTAGATCGCATATCAAAGTACGAATACCTGACCCCCATCTGCGATTCTTTAGCGCCTCTGGTTGTGCGTGAACCACCATCTTATGACCCAGACAAGAGTTGGGGCCTCATTGACGATGAAGATGACAATAATTTTGATTCTCTGGATGATAGTAGATTGTCTTGGCCAGCAACACATGTTGCAACTAAACGAAGAAACGAGAAAAAGGATAGCGCGTATGCATCTGGCACATTTAGTGTTTCTAGCTATATTCATCACCATCCACCCACTTCACCCTCTCCACTATCATCACCAACCACAAATGAGCAATTCTTATTGAAACGACTCTCAGGCGCCAACAACAGTAACTACCCCTCTAGAAACAGCCATCAACAGCCATCTTCTACAGCAACTGATGCACCCTTGATTTCGCCAAACTTAAACAGGCTGCTCCGTAGCTCAAGTCATCGGAAAGTTGTTACACATTCAGAGTCTCATCCCAATCTCAGATCATCGTATGCCACAGCCGGCAGCAACAAAGGTCCCTTGTCGGCGTCAAATAGTAAGAGTAGTTGCGAGTTACCCAGACGAGCCGAGTTTGCAGGTGGTTTGATAAACATTGACAATGTTGCGAAACCCAAAAATCCCTATACGCCATCTTTCAAAATCACTACGTCTATTGCTTCTACTAGAACCGTTGGCGGCTGGACTTCTTCGTTAGGAACACAATTATTAGCATCTAGCTTCATCAGTTCGTTCAGACAGCACCGATCAGATAAAGACCAATCGAGCTATAACTATAAGGTTTTCATGAAAGCAACGGATGTAACTATAGCGGATCAACTTACTTGGATTGAAGCGGAACTATTTTCTCGCATCAAGGTGAGTATTATGCAATACTTCATACTGTAAAAAGAAGCAATGCACTCATTTATCATTAGCCACGAGAGTTTATCCGCAACATCTGGAGCTCCTCGATTAGTAACGATAGCTCTTCCTTTATGGAGTCTTCTAGCAACAATGCAGTTACCGCATCTATTGCACATTTTAACTTTATATCGGCTTGGGTGGTAACGATGATCATAACTCAGACTAGGTTAAACAAGCGGGTGTCAGTACTGGAGAAGTTCATGTCCATTGCAGTTGCATTGCGAAACCACAACAACTACAACTCTCTGATGGCTATTTTAGCTGGTATCAACAGCGCTTCGGTTCTTAGACTGAAGCAAACACGTCAAGCTGTGTGTACAAAGAAAGTTTTCAAGCAGTTTCAAAGTCTCGAACGCCTCATGAGTACAGACAGATCATTTAGTTCCTATCGCATGGCACTGAAGGCAACTGGCGCTCCCGGAATACCATATCTGTAAGTATACATCCAGATAATCATGTTGTGAGTATAAAATAATGACGCTTTTAATTTGATTAGGGGAATCCATAATCAGGATTTAGTGTCACTTGCTGAAGCAAACAAAGATTTCCGTGCCGATGGTACTATTCATTGGGAGAAGTTTAGATTAATGGGTGAAACAATTATGGCAACGATGAGGTTTAAATATCCTGGCTACTCCATTGAGCCTGATACCCAAATATTGACATTCATTGCTGACAGCTATATTCTATCAGAGGATGTAAGTTTGTGAAATGCAAAATGTATGCTTTGACTGTTAATCTTCCTTGATTTAGGAACAATACAAACGATCTATTCTAATAGAACCGAGGTTAGCTTCATCTAGCACAAACAGAATTAGAGACTTGTGGTTAAGAATGTAAATCTATGATATTGTAATCTACTGTCCTATACGTACAAAGCAATCCTGTATATAATACTACACACCCACTCACATACTATCTCATATATTTATCCCGTATATTCAGAGTTCTAATTAATGATTCGAACCCAATCCATACCTAAACAATTATTATATATTTTCTGTCTAAACACATGCACATATATTACAATTTAACTAATTTTTAATGATAAACAACAAATAAAGCGTAAATTTCATATTTCATAATGAAATAGACAGCCTGAGCCAAAAGTAATGGAATTCATTCTATCAAAATACCTCTCTTGTAGACTTTGTAACGCCAATGACCAAAAGGTATTGCTTCAATCTCAAAATAGCAAACATGTGCTGCACACGGTAGCTGCTATAAAAGTAACTTTTGCGATAAATCCCTCAACCCAGCTGATTTTATTTGCAAGGCCAGAAATGACCAGATGATTGCTACCTTCCTGTTCTATGTAATGTTAGCAATTTTGCGTTTTCAGATTGCTGAAATGATCTTTTTACTTAATAATTTGCTAAGGGAATATACTTTGCGGTCAGTTTCGTGTGCTTTTAGTTCGTCAAACAACAATTTCAATTTTGTCGGAAGTGGTACTAGAATTAGTATTTTCAAACTTCCATATCTTGACATGTAGACCCTTTTGAGCCACCAGAATGACGCCAAACAATTGTACTCGGCTAGCAGTAACTTTCTGACAACTTTTCTCGACTTTTTGATAGCTCAAAAACCATGGTCAAAAATCGACCAAAAACCATGAGGTACCCCTCATGTTTTTCATTGAGAATCAAACGATCGCATTTTTTACCTTGAAAATGAAGACTTTTACTATGGAATATATTAGTTCAAAATGTATCTTTCAATCCAAAGCAGCCCCTCAAGCCACTTTTGTGAGGCCTTCTTATGCAAAATCTGGATATTTTTGCTAAAAGCCACATTTTATATTTTACCTAATTGCTCAATAAGTTTATTCAAAACATTTATTTTGCTTGACACCATTGGAAGCGCCTTGAAAAGTACTCCAGGAATGCATTAGGAAGCATGGGATGATAACCACGGTTCATATAGTCGAATAGTAGGAAATAGATTAAAGAAGTCGACAAGAGACGAGATTTGCCCAATCTTGAGCAGAAATAAGTTCTGGGATTGAACTAATTCTGGCGGGCGGCATTTTGTTCACATACCTCCTTTACTTCAATTTGCAGTTACTTGATTTCCCTTTGGATATCTATCAATGCGAGATCTTGTTCAGACTTGCCATCGTCATTTGAATCAGTGTTACTGCTCAAGTTGCGGTAATAATAGTATAGATTTCTGACAAATATAAAGTGCAAAGAAAGACGAAAGACGAAATTACCATGTATGTAGTATCAAAGACTATTTTTATACTCTGTAAATGTTTCGTTTGGCAATAATCAGAGTTGCCGCCTAAAAAAGATTGACAATATCTCAAGGTACAAACATGGCCTTTGCTGCCTCGCCATCATAAGAAATGACTCTCTCATTGTCAACAACATCAATCGCTGAAGTCCAAATAAAAATCGCTTAGTGGCTGTAGTTGCAATGAGCCCGGTGCTCATTCAAGACTTAAGTTTGCTTTGGCTTACTCCATAATTCTTTATATCGCATCTTATTGAAGTAAATCCACCACTAGCAAACCCATTTGTATCAGCACCATCAAAGTAATAGCTCATCAGAGTATATTAAACAGAATGCTTGTAAATATCATTTGGTTTTTGATTGACAGATACATGGCTATCGAGCCTTTTTTTTATAGCTACTGTAAATGCTTAATTCCTTAAGTTGTTAATTATTAGCAACGTTCAAACGTATGGTTTTCAATAGTAGGTATTGTTTCCGGCTCATAATAAGCTTGTACAGAATTGAAATACGCATTGAATAGACTATTTTAGTGTACTACTGCTGTCCTCATTACTATATGTATTTCCCCGGATAATAAATGTAAAAAAAAAAAAAAAAAAAAAAAAAAAAATTCCTCACATAAAATTGTGTCATGGATTTCAGATCAAATGATCTGTTGTTGCTTAAAAGCATGCATCCTAGGCTACATTCATTTTCTCCTCAGGCCGCTATCACAGTGTAGCAGCATAAATGATGCTTGTTGTATCACATCACACCTATGTTTACAAATCGAGTCAGTTATGTGTACACAAATGCTTCAGGAACTACAATAAATTCAATTTCGCCAATGTCAAGATGTTGAGATCGACCTACAATATATGAAACATATCGACTTAGCTGATCTCTCAACTAGCTATACTAACAATGATCAATAAGGTTCTACTAGCGGCCTGCTATTTATATAATACCATCTCAACGTTGTAGTCATTAAGCATGGATGTATAATAACACTTAAGTTAGTGGGATGCCCTGTCATAAAGAAGCTCTTTACTTTCGTTTTAGACACAGTTGACAACTGATTACTCCATTGATTTTATTATTACGAATTCATCATAATTGCACTTTATCTTATTTTTGAATAAAGAAGGATTTAAATTGTATTCATTTGGTTATCCTTTTATTACAAACACAAAATCATTGTATTAAATAGAAAATCAGCTAGTTATAATCCTTCGGTGCTTCAACCTCTGAGCCAATCAAATCGCTTGAAAACTCCGCTGACCTAAAAAAAATTTGCGAGGGTTTCCCCCTGTTTTGATGTGAGGCAAAATTTTAAGCGCCGCTATAATAGCAGTATAGTCGCTGCTATCATCAAACTTCCCTCAGGTGCTAGAGCATGCCTTACTTACACCACCTAGCTTTAAATACTGGCATTGAGACCCTCAATCATCACTAAAGTAAGTAGCGATAACCAAGTGGAGGCAGCCTATCCACCTCCTAGCCTCGGATAAGTTCTTGTTGAGCTTCAGCGATAGGCACATCCACACAACGTAAAAAAAGGTATGCTTCAAAGAAACATAAACATAATAAAAGAAAGAAAAGAGCATACTACTACGGGAGTATAGTAGTACGTAGGCAAAAAAAAGAACACTCGCACAAAGTGAGTCAAAGAAAAGCATAACAAATACAACATTGGAGATGTTTAAAAAAGCTCGTTGCTGTTGCAAGAAAATGCATACATGAGCAACAACGCGCATGGTAGTAATAGTCGGATGTAAAGCAACATGACACAAATACGCACAACTGCAAAAGCAACAGTGGTATTATAAGTTTGCAATACAACATAATGACTAATGTTGTTTCCTGTAAAGCTACAGAGGAAACACTACCACCAACAAAAGAAAACGAAGAAAAAAGCGCAACAAGGCAAACATCATGAATGCATTATCACGAGAAAAGAAGCAATAATACAAACGCTCAAAGAAGTTTTATATCATCGCGACCAGAAGAAAGAAGATACTTACCACTTACCACAGCCACAGATAGACCAAAAGAGTATAGACAATCACCGGAGACAGACCAGAGAACGAGCATGCACCAAACACAGCAGACCAGGAAAGACCAGAATAGCAGCAGCAGCAGTAGCAGCACCAGTACCATAGCAAAACTAAAGAACGAACACCATTAGCAGAGAGCAAACAAAGGCCAAAGAAGCTATTTACCAGTTACCATTACCACAGATAGACCAGAGAACAAGCATACAACAAAGACAGTAGACAAGGAAACACCATATTAGCAGCAACAGCAGCAGCAACACCAGTGGCAACGCGAGCAGCAACGCCAGCAACAGTAACAGCAGGATAGAAAAGCCGAACAACGAGCGACACCAGAGACCAGCAGACAAAGATTAAAGAAGCAACGGCCAGAAACAGAGACCGAAGAAGCAGCTACCAGACATGATAAAGCAAAGAAGCAGAGAGCAGAGAAAGCAGAGAAGGAATGGCAACAGCACGCATGTCAAACAGGCAAAAAAATTATAAAAATCTAATAAACAAATTCGATTAGTGCTGATTTTACGTCTTCCAGTGCTCGTTACCGAATGGCACCTACCATATTCCGCTTCAAAGAGGCAGTACCAGGTATTTTTAACAGCACAGGACCGTGTCATCAGAAGCGAGAGTGTTATTTTCAATCAATAGGGTTCCAAAACCAACATGGTTTGATAATAAACGCGTTTTGCAAAAAGGGTTAAAAAACGACGGTAGGGAACAGAAAGAGGGCGGCGCCTTATCCGACGTCACAGTCAGTAGATTTGACATCAGCCTTCTGCCGAGGCAATTGCGGTTGCGGCATTTGAACATGGATTTGTGCAGTGGCCATTTCCGTATTTCAGCTTGACTTGATTTTACATTTTCTGAACGTTTTTGTCAAATTCGACTATAAAAATTGTCGTTGTCAGTCTTTACTCTCTAATGCATCTATAGAGAGTCAATTACGGCGCATCGAATGATGTTGGTCGTATTGAGATCTCAGACTGAAAATAATGAGCAATCTTCAAAGATATGAATATAGGTTTTCCGCAAAAATGTCAAGTTTTGGCATATAAAAGTCCTATAAAAGTAATCTCCAATGTTGCATTCCATCTTTACAATCAATTTGATCTCATATGTATCATAGAAAAAGTCTTCATTTTTGGGGTGAAAATCGCGATCGTTTGATTTTCAAGAGTTTCCCCTTGCTATTACTATGTAAAAATGAGGATTTTCATGAATTTGCAATGACCCAAAAAAATGAAGGGAAAGCATCCATAAATAAAGCGCAGTCAAGAGGAGCGGTTTGGTGCTATTCCAAGCGCCCAGAACGCTTTGTAGCATGAGTTACGCGTGCTTGGAAAGGGCTTGTGGAATTTGTGGCTTTATAGACTAAAATTCACAGAAAAAAGAATAAAAAACAGTAAAGTCAACTTGATAAAGGCATGTTTTATTATCAAACTGACAGATGTAAAGTAAACTGAAGTCTCTCTACTGGCCAGGTAGATGATCCTTCTTATATACTATAACAATGGATAAAAGTTTTATTAATTAGATTAACAAATAAGTCAACTTAGATCAACTAATGTCTAATCATGCTAAAAGACAACTCCAGCAAGCTAATCATGATTTAGCTCTGTCTGGATGAATAATTAGACTCTCATCCCAAGTACCCTGATCTATCCTTTCCATAAGGATAATTAATATCGATCTAGTAGCATGTATCCGATAGGTACAGTCTTCTTAGTCTATATTAATAGTACATATCTGAGTGTATATCGCTAAGCATACATCTTTAGCATGTATCTGGATATATGGCATGTCTATAGCATGTCTCATATATAGTACAAGTCTGTAGTACATAAAGTATCTGTAGCTAGTATCACGGATATGAGCATGTGTCTTATAGCGTGGATCATGAAGTGAACATCTGAAGGAACAAGCTCATATTGCATTAATCTTGGTGCCTATCCAGATATGGTAAACATCCGTAGTCAATGTCGGAATACAAGTATAAGTCTATAGTGCCATTCATGTCCGTGGTGCCATCTATAGTCTATATCTTATATAGTATGAATCTTATAGTACTAGCGTATCTGAAGTCCATACCTTCTTAGAGTATAAATCGGTATCGTACATCTAATCCAGTGTACATACAGTTTATATCTAAATCTGGTAACTGGATGAACTGTCGGAATGCAGATCATAGTGGATGTATTCCACAATGAATCATTATCTCGCACATTGTGTGAATGAATCACACTACTTGATCATCACAATGTATTCCATCTCACTCATGATGGCCATAATAAGTGATGTTATCCATTATTACCCAAATAAAATCAAATCAATGACAAGCATATTCAAATATGACAACTATGCCTTGATGCCATAGTTGCACAATACCCCTCGATAAAGGGTTATACACTTCAATAACAAACATCACACCTTAAACTGTCAAGGTTACATTAAATCATTCTTTGGCGATGGCTCATCCAAGCCCATCAAGATGACTCAAATCGACGCTTATTGCCAGTGCTCTTGCATTGATTACCACTTTAAATCAAACATCAACAACTTTTGTCAGATATCGCAATAGCAGCACCTATTGTTTTCTGTCATTACTAATCCTACAAGCTGGTTGCAATTGTATAAATACTCTTCTTTTTTATTCAATTCCAGAATCTTCAGTTCATTTTATACTCAAATAAAATACAGTTAATTTTTGTTGTCTGTTACTATTGCTTTATTTATTTTGTGAAATCCGTGCGTTATACATGATCTTATTGCAACGCCTTAATTTCAGGTCAAATTCTGCTAAAAACAAGCCGTTTTTAAGCACGAATAACTCATGCTACAAAACGTTTTGAGCGCCGGTGTAATGAAATAGCCACCCAAACGCAACTTAATTGAAAACCAAAGTTCATCAAATAGCACTCATTCAAATTCATGCTATTTGGATCTATTAATGAAAGCGCTCAAATGTACATCAAAAACCCATTTAAAAATACTAAAGTAAAGATGCACGCTTATATCGCACATCGTGTGAATGAATCACTCCTGATCACAGTGTATTCAATCACACCCATGATGGTCGTAATAGGTGATGGTATCTTTATCCAAATAGAATTAAATCAATAACAAGCATATTCAAATATGACAACTATGCCCTGCTGCCATAGTTGCACAATATCCCAGATAAAGGATTCCATGCTTCAATAACAAACATCATACTTTAAACCATCAAGGTTACATTAAATCATGCTATGACGATAGCTCACCCAAGCCCATCAAGGTTACTCAAATCGACCCTTATGGCCAGTGCTCCTGCATTGACTACCACTTTAAATCAAACATCAACAACATTTGCCAGATATCGCAATAGCAGCACCTATTGCTCTCTATCATCACTAATCCTACAAGCCAGATGCAAATGTATAAATACTCTTCTTTTTTTTACTCAATTCCAGGATCTTCAGTTCATTTTATACACAAAATAAAATACAGTTGATTTCTATTGTATTTTACCTTTGCTTTATTTTTTTTGTGAAATCCATTAAACCTGATTTCACTGCATTTTTTACAATATTCAAACTATATTTTATTAAACAAACCTTATCACAATGTCTGACAATACCAACAACTCTGGCTCTCCTTCTGTCCCCTCTGCTCAAGATTCTCCTGCTCAACGTCAACCTGGTGACGATACCATTGAGCACACTAGGCAGCAAGTCCAGGCCATCCACTTGGATCAAGGTACTGATGTCGGACAACAACCTCAACCTTCAAACCATCAAGAGGATATTGCCATGATGGATGCTATGCCATTGCGATCCTCTCCTGTTCCTGCTTTGGCTAACCATGCTCCCAATGATGGTGGTGAATCCTCATCTCAAGTTACTTCTCATTTGTCTGCGTCGACATCATGTTCATCAGGTAATGCATCCTCCTCTGCTGCTGGTTCTAGCACGTTGAATTCCATCAAGAAATTGGTCTGGCGTCGGGATTCGTTTGTACGTCTGTTGCTGGACATGGTCGAGGGAACTGATATGAACAATGAGCACAGTCAAAAGCATATTGAAGATATGCGATCCAAGATTGAGGACCTGAATCGTCTGATCTCCACTGTCAAACACTCAGCCAAGCTATCCGAATCTAATGTCACCGCATCACTCACTGGTGACAATGAGGGCATCTCATTGTCCAAGCAAGACCTACCTAAATTCCAACTTCGTTCGCATGCCACCAAGTACTTTCCCAACGAAATCTCCTATGATTCGATTCACCATTTTCTGCGCTCCTTTGAGAAGGTAATTTCGTCTTCAGGCAAGGCTGTCGAAAATGTATGGCGGCGATACATTCCACTCACGATTCCATACGACCTTGATCTCTGGTTGAATCAAGACCTGCTGACAGCAAAGTCGTGGTCCATGGCTAAGGAAAAATTCACGTCCAAGTTCAGTAATGCTGCTCTACGCTTGGATGCTCGTCGTGAAGTTCAAACCGCTACCATGCGATCTGGAGAAACTACGGAGGAGTACTACAACCGTTTCGCTCGGGCTATGATGGAGGCAGGCTACTCATCTGAAGATACCACTCTTGGCGATACATTCTTGCTCGGCTTCCCCAATGAATGGCAGATCCAAATCAACGCTGTTCTCGGTGTTCACTTCCCTGGGTGTTCTAACTTCACCGCCAGTCAGATTGTCACCTGTGCCATGAACGTCCTCAACAGTCAAAAGTGTCCTGTTTCGTTTGTCAACGCAAAGCGACATGGTGGTTCTCGTGCTTCGTCCTCTTCATCCGGTTCATCTGGATTCTCTTCCTCTGCTGCTGCTTCTTCTTCTGCTCCTCGTTACTACTGCTCAAACCATGGAGGCTCTCAGGCCAGACATCACGAGAAGGACTGTCGTCTGAACAAAGGTGGTTCTTCATCAAGACGTGTAGTTGAAAAGGCAAACGTACCCAAGAAAGCCAGCGGAAACACTTTCTGCAAGTGGTGTGGCAAAACTTGGTTCCACGGTCACTCTTGCACTGAGTACCAAGCTATGAAGGGTTCGTTCAAGGTGTTGAGCGTGAGAAGAGAAAATAGTGGTCATCGACCCTATACAACTGGCTCCAGTAGTCAGAAACAAAAGCGTCATTCCCGTAATGGCAAAGGAAAGCAAAAGGACTCCGGGTCCAGCGAAAGTGACCTCTTCCGCGAGGCTATGGAAGACAAAGAATGTAAGTCTTCCACATCAAACAAAAACACTTTCAATTTAATAACACCATTGCTTCTCAATGACATTAGAATCATCGGAAAGGTGGATCCTGGCTCAGATGTTAGCATCATTAACAAATCCGTTTTGAATAAAAAATTCTCTACTATCAAAAATGTCAAAGCATTGGGTGGTTATTTAACCTTTTTGGGCATGAACAAAGATGGTAGTGCATCTAAAGCTGAACGCATTGGAAGCACCGAACCCATCAAAGTAACTTATATGAATGGAATCACATTTGAACATTCCTTTGAAATCATTGACTTCAATGATTCCATGGCTGAAGAGTTTGATGTACTCCTAGGAGTCGACATCTTGCCTCGCCTCAACATCTATCTTAGTGGAGTAGCTCATTGCTTTCCTGACACCGAAAACGAAATTGCTCAATTCAAGAATATAAACTATGACACTGAAAACGTCTATAATCCAGAAAATGCTGATTATGGTACTTCTCAGGAACGTCACATCCTTCTACAACAGATCGAACAATCTCTGAATGCCAACAAGAACATCCCTGCTGACGCAGTATGTTCCATGCCTGAAAGTGTAGTGCATGTTCCTATATCCAATCCCAAGGATTGCTTCATTCGCCAGTATCCATTATCCATCAACTCGCATGCCGAGATTGACAAACAAATCAAAGAATGGCTTCAAAATAAGATTGTTGAACGCTGCAAACCCTCATCAGTGTTCCATTCACCTCTGATTACGGTGACAAAGAAGGATGAGAACGATCAACCCACCAAATTGAGAGTGTGTTGTGATCTTCGTCGCATCAATGCGTCCATTGATGACAATTACCATGAAAATTATGCGGTTCCCAAGATTCACGAAATCTTTGAACGAGTGTCTTCTAGCGCACGCATAATAAGTAAAATTGACTTACACCAAGCATACTATTCGTATGGTGTGCATGAAGCATCTCGCAACGCCCTTATATTCTCGCATAATGGCATTTTTTACAGATGGTGTAGGGCCCCTTTTGGCCTAAAATTTATGAGCTCTCTGTTCGTAAAATGCATGTCAATTTTATTCACTGGTTTATCCGACGAACTGAAATTCGAAATGGAAAAGAACATGGATCCTTCCCAAGTTGATCCAACCAAAGTATGGGGTGGCATCGAACACTACATAGATGACTGTGTCCTGCATAGTATCTGTGAGAAAAGCCACATCAAGCTTATCAATCTTGCCGTTAATCGCTTGACATCCGTCAACCTGCGCATCAATGTGAAAAAATGTTCATGGTTCCAGACATCAGTCTTTTTACTAGGCTTTGTGGTTGGACCTGGCATACAAAAGATTGATATGCGTCGTTTATCTGACATAGACGAATGGCCCATTCCCAAAACTGCAAAAAAAGTTCGCTCGCTTATGGGTGTCGTTTCCCATCTGCGAAACTTTTGTCCCATGCTGTCCAAGGTTGCTGAGCCCATCGATAGTCTTCGAAATGACAGTGACGTAAAAAAGAATTGGACACAATTGCATACTGATCGGTTCAATACCATCAAGCAAATACTGCTCTCAAACCAAATACTGCATGCTCCAGTGTTGGACGACAAAATGTTCCTCCAATGCGATGCTAGTCTCTATGGCATCGCTGCCTGTCTTTATCAAAAGGATAAACTGGGTAGAATCAAGCACATTGCATTTGTAAGCAGATCTCTCAATTCAGCTGAGCGCAACTGGTCTACAAACCGTAGAGAGTGTGCCGCTGTTGTCTTTGGATTCATCAAATTTAGATCGCTACTGTGGGGTCATAATGATATCGAGGTCCTGACCGATCATTTGGCATTGACCTACATGTTCACATCTACTTCACTAAACAGTACGCTCCAGAGCTACTTGGAAATCTTGGGAGAATTTCACTTCACAATTTCACATGTGAAAGGCATTGAAAATGTTCTCTGTGATGCTCTTTCAAGGGTATATCCAATAATTGATGAAGACAAATGGCTGGAAGATGAAAATGATCGACAGATGAGAAAACTGCATAAGCTCATTCTGATCAAAAGGGACACCAACAAAAAGATTGAAGTAAACCGTCAACGCACAGTCTATTCTCAGGACCGCAATCTCAACGTACTTGCTGTGAAACTAAATGGCAAAGAATTCCAGAATTCTACAACGGATTACATTGCTCCTCCAGAAGCAGATCGGGCTCAAATCATCAAAGATGCACATAAAATAGGCCATTTTGGCATTGAGTCTGTGGTTCAACATATCCACACGTATTTGGGTTTACATTGGAACACCATCTACGCTGATTGCAAGGAAATACTGAAAGCATGTCCTGAATGTGCAAAGCACAACGTCGCTCGTCGAGGTTTCAACCCTGCTAAAAGCATCGTCAGCTTTGACGCCTTTGATCACATTGCTATGGATATCTTAGGTCCTATGTCGATCACCGATAAGGGAAATGTTTATGTGCTGGTTGTGATTGATCTCTGTACTCGCTACATTATAGCTCGTCCAATTCCTAACAAAAATGGCGCTACAGTCGCTCAAGCCATACTATCCATCTATGGTGACTATGGTGTTGCTGTTAGCATCCAACAAGCTGACAACGGCAAGGAATTTAAATCCAATCTCATGGATCACTTCACAAAAACGCTTGGCATCAAGCAGCGACATTCTCTTCCTTACTACAAACAATCCAATGGTAGTGCTGAGAACGCTATCAAACAATTCGAGCATACGCTACGCAAAATGTGTGGTAATGACACGCATAACTGGGATGATCGCGTACCCATCGTCCAACTTGCACTCAACATGAAAGTCAAAGAGCGTACTGCCAGTACCCCATTCAGTCTCATGTTTGCTCGTCAAGTTAACGTCAATCCCAATCCAAATAAACTCAACCTCAATGGACGTCCTGCACTATCCATTCAAGAGCTCCAACAGCGTATCGAACACATGAATACCATCGTGTTTCCTGCTCTCCAAGAGCGTACACAACGGCTTGCTGAGGAATACAATAAGCGTATGGATAAACGTCGATACATCCTACCTGAACTAGCCTTTGACTCTCCTGTCATGGTCCGCCTTGAAGAAGGTCGTTCATCCAAACTCGCGCCTCTCTATGCTGGCCCATATTTCGTTGTCAAGCGTACCCAAGCTGGCAATTACATTCTAAAAGACGAAACCAATTCTCTCATGCATCGTGAATATACTCCTTCTGAACTCAAACCTGTCAACATTGATGAAACTACCATTGAAGACGAAATCTTTGAAGTTGAGGACATTCGCGATCATCGCTACCGCGATGATGATGAGATCGAATACCTAGTTAAATGGGCTGGTTATTCTGAACGTGAAAATGAATACATTACAGCTGATCTGTTCTCCTCTCCCATTCCAATCAAAAAATACTGGGAAAAGGTCAAGCTCAACAAGGAACTGCAACATCAAAGACATGCACCACTACCTACAAACAAACGCCCCTCAAAACAGGCTGGTAACAAGCGAAAAGCAGGCACTGATCACACAAGCCGCGAAAACACTCGCCGCAAACATTAGTAGCTTCCAGCTTTCCTTCCTCCACTGCCTTCGGCACTTGTTTCTCTGCTCTTGCTTATATCTATGTCTTCCTTCCTTCTACATGTTCCAATCAAATCACTTTTGGTCGTCTAAATTCATATCTCTGTCAACTTTTTCCCCACAAAAAGTTTAGCTGGGGGCAATGTAATGAAATAGCCACCCAAACGCAACTTAATTGAAAACCAAAGTTCATCAAATAGCACTCATTCAAATTCATGCTATTTGGATCTATTAATGAAAGCGCTCAAATGTACATCAAAAACCCATTTAAAAATACTAAAGTAAAGATGCACGCTTATATCGCACATCGTGTGAATGAATCACTCCTGATCACAGTGTATTCAATCACACCCATGATGGTCGTAATAGGTGATGGTATCTTTATCCAAATAGAATTAAATCAATAACAAGCATATTCAAATATGACAACTATGCCCTGCTGCCATAGTTGCACAATATCCCAGATAAAGGATTCCATGCTTCAATAACAAACATCATACTTTAAACCATCAAGGTTACATTAAATCATGCTATGACGATAGCTCACCCAAGCCCAGCAAGGTTACTCAAATCGACCCTTATGGCCAGTGCTCCTGCATTGACTACCACTTTAAATCAAACATCAACAACATTTGCCAGATATCGCAATAGCAGCACCTATTGCTCTCTATCATCACTAATCCTACAAGCCAGATGCAAATGTATAAATACTCTTCTTTTTTTTACTCAATTCCAGGATCTTCAGTTCATTTTATACACAAAATAAAATACAGTTGATTTCTATTGTATTTTACCTTTGCTTTATTTTTTTTGTGAAATCCATTAAACCTGATTTCACTGCAGCCGGAAATAGCACCAACGGCCCTCCTTTGATATGCCTTACTTAATAATGCTTTATCTCAATTTCTTTTAGTTCATTGCAAATCCATGAAAACCATCATTTTTTCGCGAGTATTAGCAAGGGAAAATTCATGAAAATCAAACGATTGCGTTTTTCATCGCAAAAATAAAGACTTTTTCTATGATACATATCAGATCAAATCAATCGTAGAGACGGAATGCAGCACTGGAAACTCTTCCTATGAGACTTTCATATGTTAAATTTTGACATATTCGCAGAAAATCTATTTTCAAATATCTTAAGATTGCTCTTTATTTTCGGTCTGAAAGTTGAATGTAACCAGCATCATTCGATGCACCTTTATTGACTCTTTATAAGTGCATTAGAAGGTAAGGTATAATAACGACAATTTTCATAGTCAAATTTAGCAAAAACGTTTAAAGAATGTGAAATCAAGTCGCATTTGAACATGAAAATACCCACTGCACAATTTCAAATTAAAGTGCAGCAGTTACGACTGCCACAGCAGAAGACTGAGGTCAAATCTACTGACCGTGACGTCGGATAGGTCGCCCTCTTTCTGTTCCCTACCGTCGTTTTTTAACCCTTTTTGCAAAACGCGTTTATTATCAAACCATGTTGGTTTTGGAACCCTATTGATTGAAAATAACACTCTCGCTTCTGATGACACGGTCCTGTGCTGTTAAAAATACCTGGTACTGCCTCTTTGAAGCGGAATATGGTAGGTGCCATTCGGTAACGAGCACTGGAAGACGTAAAATCAGCACTAATCGAATTTGTTTATTAGATTTTTATAATTTTTTTGCCTGTTTGACATGCGTGCTGTTGCCATTCCTTCTCTGCTTTCTCTGCTCTCTGCTTCTTTGCTTTATCATGTCTGGTAGCTGCTTCTTCGGTCTCTGTTTCTGGCCGTTGCTTCTTTAATCTTTGTCTGCTGGTCTCTGGTGTCGCTCGTTGTTCGGCTTTTCTATCCTGCTGTTACTGTTGCTGGCGTTGCTGCTCGCGTTGCCACTGGCGTTGCTGCTCGCGTTGCCACTGGTGTTGCTGCTGCTGTTGCTGCTAATATGGTGTTTCCTTGTCTACTGTCTTTGTTGTATGCTTGTTCTCTGGTCTATCTGTGGTAATGGTAACTGGTAAATAGCTTCTTTGGCCTTTGTTTGCTCTCTGCTAATGGTGTTCGTTCTTTAGTTTTGCTATGGTACTGGTGCTGCTACTGCTGCTGCTGCTATTCTGGTCTTTCCTGGTCTGCTGTGTTTGGTGCATGCTCGTTCTCTGGTCTGTCTCCGGTGATTGTCTATACTCTTTTGGTCTATCTGTGGCTGTGGTAAGTGGTAAGTATCTTCTTTCTTCTGGTCGCGATGATATAAAACTTCTTTGAGCGTTTGTATTATTGCTTCTTTTCTCGTGATAATGCATTCATGATGTTTGCCTTGTTGCGCTTTTTTCTTCGTTTTCTTTTGTTGGTGGTAGTGTTTCCTCTGTAGCTTTACAGGAAACAACATTAGTCATTATGTTGTATTGCAAACTTATAATACCACTGTTGCTTTTGCAGTTGTGCGTATTTGTGTCATGTTGCTTTACATCCGACTATTACTACCATGCGCGTTGTTGCTCATGTATGCATTTTCTTGCAACAGCAACGAGCTTTTTTAAACATCTCCAATGTTGTATTTGTTATGCTTTTCTTTGACTCACTTTGTGCGAGTGTTCTTTTTTTTGCCTACGTACTACTATACTCCCGTAGTAGTATGCTCTTTTCTTTCTTTTATTATGTTTATGTTTCTTTGAAGCATACCTTTTTTTACGTTGTGTGGATGTGCCTATCGCTGAAGCTCAACAAGAACTTATCCGAGGCTAGGAGGTGGATAGGCTGCCTCCACTTGGTTATCGCTACTTACTTTAGTGATGATTGAGGGTCTCAATGCCAGTATTTAAAGCTAGGTGGTGTAAGTAAGGCATGCTCTAGCACCTGAGGGAAGTTTGATGATAGCAGCGACTATACTGCTATTATAGCGGCGCTTAAAATTTTGCCTCACATCAAAACAGGGGGAAACCCTCGCAAATTTTTTTTAGGTCAGCGGAGTTTTCAAGCGATTTGATTGGCTCAGAGGTTGAAGCACCGAAGGATTATAACTAGCTGATTTTCTATTTAATACAATGATTTTGTGTTTGTAATAAAAGGATAACCAAATGAATACAATTTAAATCCTTCTTTATTCAAAAATAAGATAAAGTGCAATTATGATGAATTCGTAATAATAAAATCAATGGAGTAATCAGTTGTCAACTGTGTCTAAAACGAAAGTAAAGAGCTTCTTTATGACAGGGCATCCCACTAACTTAAGTGTTATTATACATCCATGCTTAATGACTACAACGTTGAGATGGTATTATATAAATAGCAGGCCGCTAGTAGAACCTTATTGATCATTGTTAGTATAGCTAGTTGAGAGATCAGCTAAGTCGATATGTTTCATATATTGTAGGTCGATCTCAACATCTTGACATTGGCGAAATTGAATTTATTGTAGTTCCTGAAGCATTTGTGTACACATAACTGACTCGATTTGTAAACATAGGTGTGATGTGATACAACAAGCATCATTTATGCTGCTACACTGTGATAGCGGCCTGAGGAGAAAATGAATGTAGCCTAGGATGCATGCTTTTAAGCAACAACAGATCATTTGATCTGAAATCCATGACACAATTTTATGTGAGGAATTTTTTTTTTTTTTTTTTTTTTTTTTTTTTACATTTATTATCCGGGGAAATACATATAGTAATGAGGACAGCAGTAGTACACTAAAATAGTCTATTCAATGCGTATTTCAATTCTGTACAAGCTTATTATGAGCCGGAAACAATACCTACTATTGAAAACCATACGTTTGAACGTTGCTAATAATTAACAACTTAAGGAATTAAGCATTTACAGTAGCTATAAAAAAAAGGCTCGATAGCCATGTATCTGTCAATCAAAAACCAAATGATATTTACAAGCATTCTGTTTAATATACTCTGATGAGCTATTACTTTGATGGTGCTGATACAAATGGGTTTGCTAGTGGTGGATTTACTTCAATAAGATGCGATATAAAGAATTATGGAGTAAGCCAAAGCAAACTTAAGTCTTGAATGAGCACCGGGCTCATTGCAACTACAGCCACTAAGCGATTTTTATTTGGACTTCAGCGATTGATGTTGTTGACAATGAGAGAGTCATTTCTTATGATGGCGAGGCAGCAAAGGCCATGTTTGTACCTTGAGATATTGTCAATCTTTTTTAGGCGGCAACTCTGATTATTGCCAAACGAAACATTTACAGAGTATAAAAATAGTCTTTGATACTACATACATGGTAATTTCGTCTTTCGTCTTTCTTTGCACTTTATATTTGTCAGAAATCTATACTATTATTACCGCAACTTGAGCAGTAACACTGATTCAAATGACGATGGCAAGTCTGAACAAGATCTCGCATTGATAGATATCCAAAGGGAAATCAAGTAACTGCAAATTGAAGTAAAGGAGGTATGTGAACAAAATGCCGCCCGCCAGAATTAGTTCAATCCCAGAACTTATTTCTGCTCAAGATTGGGCAAATCTCGTCTCTTGTCGACTTCTTTAATCTATTTCCTACTATTCGACTATATGAACCGTGGTTATCATCCCATGCTTCCTAATGCATTCCTGGAGTACTTTTCAAGGCGCTTCCAATGGTGTCAAGCAAAATAAATGTTTTGAATAAACTTATTGAGCAATTAGGTAAAATATAAAATGTGGCTTTTAGCAAAAATATCCAGATTTTGCATAAGAAGGCCTCACAAAAGTGGCTTGAGGGGCTGCTTTGGATTGAAAGATACATTTTGAACTAATATATTCCATAGTAAAAGTCTTCATTTTCAAGGTAAAAAATGCGATCGTTTGATTCTCAATGAAAAACATGAGGGGTACCTCATGGTTTTTGGTCGATTTTTGACCATGGTTTTTGAGCTATCAAAAAGTCGAGAAAAGTTGTCAGAAAGTTACTGCTAGCCGAGTACAATTGTTTGGCGTCATTCTGGTGGCTCAAAAGGGCCTACATGTCAAGATATGGAGGCTTGAAAGCTATCACATTTGGTTATGTTTCTGCTGTATAGCTTTTATTTACACGGCATAAGTCAAATCTTTGGTAGCTGACATCTTCTGGAAGGGCAGTTCTGCAGCCTGTGCAATTTTAATCTGGATAGGAGGCATATTGATTTTGATGAAGCCAATTCATGCAAATTTTGATGCGTTATGTTGTTGGTAAGCTTATCAATAATGGAAATGAGAAACAGAATCTGTTACTTGAATATATGGTTTTACACTTTTGCTTCGCTAAGTAAAATTTTCATTAAGGTCAATGTTAAACTGTTGGATAAGATGCTTGATTGTCATGGTTTTGCACATTGGCTTCGCTACGGTAAAGCTCTCTTATAATAAGTCAATGTTGCCGTGTTGTATTAGATGCATTATGTTCTTGGCGGGGGGACTAAAACCGTTCCCTAATGTCGGCTTCGCTGGTGGCTCTTTCGAGCCTTGTACAGTTCTCTACGCTACATTTTTTTAAGCCTCTGATTGGTCAAACCCTCCTGAACTCGTTAGAAGCAATCCTGCTTATATCATTGTCAAAAGAGGTGCTCCGACTGATAATAGTGCTCCAGGTGATGCCTTTTCTGGCTTGACCTTGAGGATGGACCGTTTCCTTCTCATTAGATATCTTTGTAATAGAAATTATATCTTGTATCAATCCACATTGACATGCTAATTTGATTTCTCCAGTAAATATATACAAACTAAATGTTATTAATTGAGGAGATTCTCTTGATTCAAGGCTAAAGCCATACAAGTTTGACAGATGTGCATGCAGGAGATCCCATAGCTTCGTTTGAAGATGGGGGGCATGTTTTCAAGCTTTCCTTTTGTGCAAGCCAAACTAGTGCATACCTTCCGAGGATACACAGGTTACATTTTGCTCTTCTCACTAGCTTTGCAGTGCCCATTATTGGCACAAGCTATTGTGCGTCCCTTTGTACTAGACTATTTTGACAGTTCTGAAGAACAATCGTAATAAAGTCTACAATGTGAATGAACAGTTTATTTAGTTTTTATAAAGTGCGAGTATATATATGTATAAGTGTATGGAGAAAAAACAAAAAAAGTATTAAGAAATTACAAAGTATCAATTTTACCAATGGCAGCCATGATAAGGCCGTTGAACAAGGGGCAAGGTCTCAAGGGACGAGTAATGTACTCGGGATGATATTGACAGCCAACAAAGAAGGGATGATCATCAAGTTCAACAATCTCCATACGCTCACCAGTTTCGTCTCTACCAATGAACTTGAGACCGTTCTTTTCAAATGTATCGACATGAGCAGGGTTGACTTCATAGCGATGACGATGGCGCTCATCAACAGAGGCGCAACCGCCATAGAGCTTGCGAACAGTAGAATTTTCAGTACCTTCTTGGAAGAGAGTAGCACGGAGACCCAGACGCATGGTACCACCCAAATGAGTCTTGGAGATTTCAGGCATATATACAACGACGGGAGTCTTGGTATCAGGATCCACCTCGGCTGATTGAGCATCAGACATACCACACACATTACGAGCAAACTCAATGACAGAGATCTGCATACCAAGACAGATACCCAAGTAAGGAATTTTGTGCTCACGAGCCCACTTGGCAGCCATGATCATACCTTCAATACCACGACTACCGAAACCACCAGGAACCAAGATACCGCTAGAAGAGCAGACTGCTTGCCATGATTCGTGATACTTGATAGGGTTAGACTTCAAGGTCTCGGGTTCCAAATCAGAAGCATCCACCCATTTGATATTAATCTTGCGCTTTTGAGCTAAACTAGCATGTTCAAGAGCCTTGTAGACAGAGATGTAGGAATCGTGTAAATCAGTGTACTTGCCAACAATAGCGATAGTGACAGATTCATGCAAATGTTCGTAGCTACCAGCCAAAGTGGTCCATTCTTGCCAGAGCTTTTCACCAGCCAAACGACGTTCATCGCTAATCTTGAGATCATCCAGGTTGAGACGACGACGGAAGAAATCAATGACACCATGCTCACGCATCAAGATGGGAACATGGTAGACTGAGGAGACATCATGGACAGCCAAGACTTGCTCAGGGGCAACATGACAGAACATGGAGATCTTGGAGGCAACGCTTTCATCCAAGGGCTTTGAGGAACGACAAGCAATGAGATCAGGAGTGAGACCAGCACCACGGAGATCACGCACGCTCATTTGAGTAGGCTTGGTCTTTTGCTCACCAACAGAACCAACGACAGGGACAAGGGAGACATGGATCAAGCAAAAGTTGTCATGGCCCACACGGAATTGGAATTGACGCATGGCCTCAACAAAGGGAGCAGACTCAATATCACCCACAGTACCGCCCAATTCAATAATGCAGACATCAGGCTTGTCACCCGAGGCATCAATGGACATGGCAGCCACCTTCTCCACCCAGTTTTGGATAGCATCCGTAACATGGGGCACCACTTGCACCGTCTTACCAAGGTAATCGCCCTTACGCTCACGCTCGATTACCTCCTTGTAAATCTTACCTGTGGTGATGTTGTTGATGCGACTCAATTCCACATCAAGGAAACGCTCGTAGTTACCAAGATCAAGATCGACCTCGCCACCATCATTCAAGACAAAGACCTCACCATGATCAAGAGGAGTCATCAAACCAGCATCAATGTTCAAATAGGGATCAATCTTGATAGCTGTTACACCAAGACCCAAACTCTTCAAGAGAGTGCCAGTACTGGAAGCAATGACGCCCTTACCGATACCAGAAATGACACCGCCAGAAACAATAATATACTTGGTCATGATACAAAGACTTTAAAGACAGGTAGAGAGGTTTAGTGGTTTAAAGAAGTTTATTGAATTGTTTATAACGAAGTGTATGCCCAATTCAATGAATATTGAAAGGGGAAGGTGCGAAGCTATGCCAGGATGAGCCTCCCTTTTATACTTTTTTCAGTGATCGCTTAATCAAAAAAAAATTTTCAAATCATAAAATTTTTTATCAGTCCTATTCTGTGGCACTCTTGGTTCCTGGATGGTAAATCATTTGATGACATACACATATTGGTAAACATTTTACCCTTAACCAACTGCGGAATGGCTGTTGCATCAGTTGGCCAGCAAGCCTGATCCATTCAATTATCCTACAACAGGTAAACTGCACCCGAGCTGTCAAATATTACTGACATTGCCATGGCAACCAGACATGACCTTAAATTTTAATATTCCCGGGGATCTCACATGAAGCATTTGAGCAGTTGTACTAGGATGCCAGTGTAGAGTCATTGATGGACCCTACAAGCGTGAGAACTTTTGGAGATGTGACGATTATAAAGTATGCGTTCATGTAGATGTTGTATCATTTCGACATTACGCATTGCCTCCTTCTTCTTTCTATCACTGTAGCCAATCCTTTTCCATCAAATCACTATACCATAACAGACAAATGTCAAGCAACCTGAGACCACAAGTTATTGCACTCTACAAGCAGGTATGTCGATTCATCTGTTTTGCGAGGGTCAGAATGTATTGCTGGTTGCTAATATCCAAGAAAGTTGGTCTATCTAGGCCGAGAATATCCTGCAGGATATGCAGATTTTTTTCGTCCAAAGCTGAAGGCTGCATTTCTCAAGAAACGAGAGCTAACAAATGAACAGGAGATTCTGAAATCGATCAAATTTGGAGAATACATTATCAAAGGCAAGTCTTCAACAGAGCAATGATTGACTGACTATGACTAAATGTGCCTGTACAGAACTTGAAATGATGTACTACCTGAGGAAATATCGTACCTTACGAAAGCGATATAATGATAATCAATAAGAAACATGTGTAGAGAAGCCATAAATATGCAATTTAGCCATGGAGGATAAATGGGTTACACTAATCTAAAAATCAAAAATCAAAAAAAGGGATCTCTCTTTTACCTCTTTCTCTTCCTCTTTCCTTCTTTCCCTCCAATTCTTTTCTTCTCTGTACAGTACATGCCTATCAATGTTACCCAATTCTCGTATCATTCCACCTAATAACAACCTTAATAATACAAACAAAAACGTGCGTGCAAGATCAAATTCTGCCGTTAATGACAGTTCAGTGAAAAAGGGGTTCATGTCTCGGCTGCTGACCAGCCCAACGGGCAGCAGCAGTAGCCCCAAAGAATACAATACAAATTCAGTGAATAGTAGACCCAAGTATGAGTCAGTGTTGGGCATACAAACAAAGGATGATTATGCAGCTTGGGGCACACCCCGCATTACCCCCTCGGATCAAAAGGTGAGTTGCTGACCCCTTCGCACCATTTCGCTTCGTATCACTCACTCACGCTGTCTGAGCAGGCTGCGAAGCCGTCGAGTGGTTTTGGCAAGCTGTTTAAGAAAAAGGCAAAGGTACATTTGCAAGAAGCTTAAATTATGTATTATTTGTATTAATAAAATTGGTGGCACGATAAAACAGACAAACGACGAGAATGAGAATTTATTCGAGGATGACCAACCTAAAGTTAGGCCCATTCACGGCAACAGCAGCAGAAAACACACCAAAATACCATTAGCGCCGCCACCAAATTACCCAAGAACAAGAGCTATTTCACAGCCTAATCAGCAGCAATTCCTAACCAATTTGCCAGATCAATATCTAGCAAAGCGTCCACAGACACCATCATTGACCACTGTCACTGATAAGCGACAGCAGCCGTTTGCATCCACGCCTCCAGCAATGACGCATGCTGCTGCTGTTGAAGAGACTATAGCTGCAGATTGTAAAGCGCCTGAAATCAGTCTCATGAATAAGAGATCTTCCTCAGCGCTCTCCAACAGAAAGTCATCGGGATCTTACTCTATATACTCGACGTTTGGAGGGAACGAATCCGAATATTCTATTGAAGAACCCAAGGCTCGTTCAGTTACACCGCCTGTACCTGTTCCCGCTATCGCTACCAACACAAATGACAGCAAAAGACGGGAGACTGCCAGACATTCAAGTACTGCAGAGAGTGATAATTCCTTTACTACTGTACATGAACAGCATCAAGGGGCGGAGCAAGAACCAGAGGATGAGGAAGAAGACAATCAGAGCGAGACCATTACAGAGGATAGTAGCGAAACCACAGATGACGAATTTGTGGATGCTACAGGCTTCTCTCAAGAGGACATGGAAAGGGAAAAGAGGATGACGCTTGAAAAGAACTTGTCAAAACGTCTTAGTGGAGGTCATTTCGGTAGTGCAGGTGGCCTGGTGCTCAGTATCAACCACTCCTCTGACGAGTTTGGCTCTGCTGGTAGTACACCCCTACCTCTACCCACTGCTACTAAGCGTAAAAGCCAAAAGATACCCGAAGATGATGAACTAGCACAATCTTTGCTGAATTGGAAGCGCCATAGTGACAGTAGCAAGCGCTGGAGCATGCGTAATAGCTCAAGTACGACTGCCACAGCCACCACTACCACCGTAATGGAAGACACAGGAGACAAGCATTCCAGCACAATTACTGTCATAGATATGCGATCGACATCAAATAACACACTACCACATGGTAGTACCGAGGAGACGACTACAAGCAAGAAGGCGGCAGCAGAGAAGGAGGAAGAAGAGGAGGAGCTGTCAGTACCCGATAAGCTCGCTTTGAGAAAGGAGGCCGAAGAAGCACTGACTGGAGCCAATACCCCACCTGCAACCAAAACGACCTTTGTCAAGGTGATTGATAGCAGCAGCATCCCTAAAGCGCCTATTGCGCCTACAACATCACTGCCATTGCCACCAGTGCCAAAGCAAAACACCCTTTTAAGAACGTTATCTGCTGCAGAGACCAGGTCAGAGCCGCATTATTCAAGCAGCGAATTTTCCAAGACTTTGGACGATGTGTGGAAGACATCTGACGATACACTACACCTATTTGATGATGACAGAACACGACAGCTGCAAACATCCATTCAAATTAGAATTGCAGATCATGATGCTGATCCATCTATAGCAGAGAATCCGCCAAAAGAGGAGGAAGCAGCTGTGGACGATCATATCAAGGAAACAGCCAAGTCGCTGTGGAATGAGGACGAAACAGTGGTTGTCAAGGAGAGAATGGCCGAATGGCTGGGCCAAGGGTAGATGTTTGGTAGCAAACGTGTGTACAGTGATACTAATGCAAAGTTTGAAATAGCAAACCTTTTGAGAATGCAGTGCTTCATCAATACATGCAATTCTTTGTGTTTACAGAGATGCGGCTGGATAGCGCGTTCAGAAACCTGTGCAGTAAGCTGTACTTCAAGGCTGAAGCCCAACAAATCGATCGTATTCTCGAGTCATTCGCCAATCGCTACTGGGATTGCAATCCAGAGTGTTTATTTGGCAGTGCAGGTGACTATAATAGACATGCTGATCTCTAATATAAGCACGAAATTAATATGCGTCGTCTTTTTAGATGTGGTGTACGCTGTAGTTTATTCGTTGCTGTTACTCAATACAGATCTCCACGTTGCTCAAGGAAATCATGCTAGAATGACACGTTCTGAATTTATTCGTAACACAATGTCCACTGTGCGTGACCAAAGAGACCATGAGGAACTCATGGGACACAAGAAAAGATCTGCGCTTTCAAGACGAAATTGGGAATCAGAGCTTGAATACTACCTCAAGGAAATGTACACCTCTGTCAAGAACTATCAAATCTTGCAACCTCTTTCACGAAAGTCTAGTCTGAGTAAGAGAGGCAGCATACTAGGTAATCGACGCGTCATTGGCTTAAAGCGTAGCGTCAATTCTATTATTCGAAAATCAGGCAGAGAAAGTATGCTTGTGCTGGACGGCTATGATCAAGTGCCATCAGGGTCCATGTCTCCTCCACCGTCTGTTCCGCCTAGATCAAGCATAAGCTCTGGTTATACTCGCCCATTAACACCGTCCTCCATGAAGTCGCCTCGCAGAGAGTCATTTTCATCCACAAACTCTAGCGCTGCTTCCTTCAGCTCAAGATGCGGTTCTCCTACTATGATACCTCAACAACAGCAACAGCATGCACAACAGCCCATGATGCAATATCTCAATTCACATGCTTCATCCCTCTTTTCGAGCAGGCCTCCCTATTACAAAGAAGGTGTTGTCATGCGCAAACATTTGCTTGAAAATGCAAATCATAAAGCTCGCCATCGAGAATGGCGTGAGTGCTATTTGGAGATACAAGATGGCGAATTACGCATGTATGCACTTCAGCCCAGTCAGAGTCAACTAGGCGATAAGAATCTGTTTCGTCATTCGAGTGCTGCTCATTTCAACTTGGCTGATATCAACAACAACAATCGATTGTCAAGCCGACCATCCAGTCCTGCATCATTTGGCGGTGTATTACCAAGCAATAGTAGCAGCAACAGCAACAACAAATGGGGCATGCATTCACAGCTTGTTGGAAAGATTGCATTGAATCATACACTGTCGAATCCTCTGCCACCGCCTGGTTACAACAGACAACGGCCACATGTATTTGCCATTCAGCAGTCAGATGGTGGCGTATATCTCTTCCAAGTGTCCAATGCAGAGCAGGCGCATGAATGGGTCTCTACCTGTAATTACTGGGCTGCTCGAGAAAGCAAAGAGCCATTGCCTGGTGGTGTCGGTAACATGGAGTATGGCTGGGGTGCCTGTCTCAGCGATGTGATTATGGATCTAGATGCTGCTCGCAAAGGCTACGATCAGAAAGTCAATTACTTTTCGACGCAAGATCCTGATTCTATCATGATTAATGACTGGATGCCGCCAACAGCCACTATGGTGTCCAGTCAATTGAATGAAAAGGAGCAATACGAGGTTTTACAAAAGCATCTGGTGGATTTGAATGAGGAGATTAATCAACACCGAGATATTAAGAGTAAAATAATGATCAAGGTATGTCAATTCATGTTGCTATATGGATCATGACGTCTGATTTTTTTTATATATATAAACAGTTTCCTACCAAGTGCAATAATTATCCAAAGGTGATTTCAAATTGGGAAGCAAGGTCAAAATATCTGCTGCACGATATTATCAAGTATCAAAACTATTGCGACTCTTTAGAGAAAAGCATTCAGTTGCAGCAAGATTTTATTGAAGACGACCTGGACATAGACGAAGATAAGGTATCAACGGCTGGTTCGTTTTCGTCGATGTCTACCAAGAACAAGTTGGAATATCAAACACACACAATGGATCTGTTTGACGAAATCAATCAAGAACTTTCTTTGAATTTGTAAAAAAAAAAAAAGCACATTCTCCTTCACTATTACTACAATTTACTACCATTTATTACATAACCTAATACTTCTTACCGAGCAAAAGCAAATACGAAATACAAACCTCATGCTACTTTAATCAGAAACCAAAGATTTACTATATTTTCAATTTTGAAGCCTTCAATATTACCTGAAAATCCTCCAAGAACGATCTGTAACGGTGTCATCAACTTTTTCACGATGATTCATGATTGTTTCATCGAGAACAACTCATAGACATCCAAGCATTATCTGCGACTAACCAAAAACATACAAAACACAGCAAAACCTATATGCATTTGGGCAACGTCTTTTCGTGCTCTAAGCAGTTTTAGACTACCAGAATAGCATCAAATGGTTACTCCAGACTAGCTCTAACGTTCGGACACCTTTGCGCAAATTATTTTGGGATCGTCCAAAGTCAAATGATCGCGTCTTTGACTTCAAAAATGAAGACTTTTATTATAACATACGAGCCTTTCGACACTTTGCGTGGTTTCCTGACCTACACTTCGCCTCGGTGGAAAGCAACCTACGTTCAAACGGTTCGCGCTGCCGCGGGCCTTTGGCTAATATCGCAAAATTGATATAGCTGAAATGTTAGAAGAAGCTTGATTGCTGATTGATATAAAATCACTAATCATATGCGTGCTTATGCTTCGGATGGTTCTCTACCTTTGGTTCGCTTCGATGAAAACGAACTTGCACAACCGCAGCTCGCGCTACCGATTTCCCTTGCCTATCTTATCAAAATACTACTACTTTCATGTGGACCCTCCATTTACACATAAAAACCCTTCATATTATCAGTGGATCTGATTTTTATGCGATGCTCTACATCCATATACACATAGCTACATCATATACGGGCAAGTATCATACAGATATTATCCCTTTTTAGTCCTTAGTGTACCTAATACAGCAAAACCTGAGTGCATTTGAGCCGCGTTTTCTCGCGTTCAAGGCCGTTTTAAATCGTCAGAATAGCATCAAACAATTGCTCTTGTCTGGCAGTTACTTTCTGATACCATTGCTCAACTTTTTGGGGACCAAAAAAACATGGCCAAAATTCGACCAAAAAGCATGAGGTACCCCTCATGGTTTTTATTGAAAATCAAACGATCGCGTTTTTCACCTTGAAAACGAAGAATTTTACTATGATATATACTGAATCAAAAGGTTTTTATCGATCTAACGTAATCCCTGAAATCATCTTTGTGGGACTTTGATATGTAAAATTTCGACATTTTGGCCAGAAGCCTCTGTTTATATTTTCTCAGATTACTCAATAAGTTTATTCAAAACATCTACCTTACTTTGAACCATTGTATACCCCTTGAAAAATACTCTAAGAAAGCTTAAAGAAGCAAAGGATGGTCATCATATTTTACTTAGTCGAATCTGCAAAAATAATTCAATCAAGTTTAAAATCATCAAGATTTGGCCAATCTGGAACGAAATCTTACGACGGAGCTTAACCAAATTTTGGCTGGCAAATTGCTTTTTGATGAAAGCAAACGATACTTCTGAAGCCTATAAATTGACGAGGATCTCATTCATGTCAGTCTATAATTTTAAATCGTTTTCATACATTTATCTTGACATATAATATCACAGAATATTGCTCCCGCCGCTTGATTATAGCCCTGCTACTATAGTTTATTCGAATCAAGTAATAAAAAAAACCCCTTAAACTGAAGCTTATAAAAATGTATTTGCAATCCTGGCTACTTCAATTTGCTTTTTTATGCATTTGAATATTTTATAGATTCTATTGTTTCATTCATCCAAATGCAAATTTCAATATGAAATGCTAAATGTCACCCTGCGTAACGTTGAATATAGCACTCCATGCGTAAAGCCTAATACAGCGCTCTCAATTAAGCTGATGCAGTGGTCTATCTACTTGTGGGCACTGTCTGCAATCTGGCACATTAAGTTGTGGTATGTCAGCACTTGTGTGTATAGAGCTTGTTGAAGAATGCATCGCAAATGCCTATAAATATCATGTACGCTGTGCTCAACAGGTTTTCTTTAACCAAAGAGTGTATGCCATCCAAGGTATTAAAATAAACAGCCCCGAATTTATCCCGAGTTTACGTAGTTACGTGCTGTGATCAGTACTACATAAAAGTCATCGAATTGATCAGAATTTAAGGTATTTGATCTAATAATATGCTCAGATCGATAAAACATGTGGATTTTACAATCAAATATATTTCAAGTATCTCAAAGTTTGGTTCATGCACCTAATCAGTTTCAGCAGCGCTATATCAAGCAATTTCCATCTTATTGCTTGATCACGACTGAGATCATGCTCAGGCACAAACATCTACTCTCAGATGTTTAAGAACATGTAGACAAAGTATGCCATGGACCATTTATTGGTGTAGTTTAGACCAAATTAGTTTAGTCGTCTGTATAGAAGATGTGATGCTTGTATGATCACAAACATGAGGTGGGGGGTCTTTGTCTGTAATTTTGCATCAAATCATATCCTATCTATGATTTGAAATACGAGATGTTGTAGAAAAACATGAACAGAAATATATAAATAACTTGCATTTGCTCTTGGTTGCAACAATACATGATTTGTGGTACATTAAACGCGTTATCACTCCGTATCCCATTGTAACGGTTCATTCCAAGTAGACTACATTGCTCAGAGTGTGGGCAATCAAAACCTTGTCGGTTAATTGGCAGGAGGATAAAAATGCTCCAACGTGTAACCATCTGTACCTGATTTTGTTTCTTTTGATAGAACAATAATAATCACACATTTTTAATGCAATTAAAAAAATGATATTATTATCTCATAAATAGTTTGATTTAAAGTGGTTTATACGAAAAAGAAAGAGAGAGAGAGAGAGAGAGAGAGAGACAGGATCTGGACCCTCGCCCCCTTTTTTTTTTCACATTCTATTGTTGAATGTTGATCTTAAAATGATTGTTACAAACAACAGCGCAGGTTCCGACTGGCTCTACTTATTGGTTTGATGCAATGGTGATTGGTGTCTTTGTGGACTGTAACATGTAAAAAAGTTGGCGTTCTTGTATTCCCAATTTAGTACGCCAAAACCGGACTTGCAGCTTGATTTGGGTTACATAAACAATGGTTTCTTCTATAGGAGACTCTTTATAACCTAATGATTATGTTGCGAATGTATAAATATATAAATAAGATTGATAAAGAACTAAAAACAAAAAGGAAAGGAAAAAAGAGTGCTATAGCAAACTGTGATTTGGGCGGAGCACCCGTGTAAAAAGAGAGGGGTACTATACATGTGTAGATGTATATGCCAAAGTTGGACAATGAAAGCACTTCTTTTTTGCCATGATAAAGCATCGAAGCACATTTTTCCACACTATTACAAGTGCACGGTCATAAGACAGCATATATCGCCATAATAATGGAACGATTATGTATCAACTCTTTTCTTTTTCAAACACGACTAGGACATTTGTCACACCTGTCATTTTATCATCATTACTCTCTTTTGTCTTTTGAATGCTTTACCAACATTTCATTAACATATGAAAATACAATATATGCATGTCATCAGTGTATTGTGTATGAAAGAGACAAACAGAGGTCCCAGGTCCATTATAAATGTGTTGTTTGTGCTTCAATATGAGATGGAGAGAAATAACATCACCCCTGCCATTTCCTACTATCAAACTCCTCTTTTACACAATGATTTCTTTGTTCTGTGTCTTCTCTCTCTACATTTAACAACAGGACTAGATCTGTAATGTTGTAGTACATTAGATTTTAGATGGAGTTTAACTGTAATCATGTTATTGTTATCAAATTACAAGCGTACATGTGATTTGCTTTCGATTTTCATATTATTCATCTCCCCCTTAAAATACATAGCTTGGAAAAAATGTTTATTTGGAAACAAAATGCTGGTATTGAGAGTGTGTATATTTTACTTGTGAGAGAAGGGGGAAAAAAAAAACAATAATGGGGAATACGAGAAAGAAAAAACTGATGCCATTGTCATGATTGCGAAAAGGAAAAACTTGTGCGTGTGTGTGTGTGTGTGTGCTTGCTTGTGTTGTTGATATTTGAAAAGACTCATTTTTTGTGTTTGTGTATTGTGCTGTTTGTGTTATGCTTAAGGGGGAAAAAAAAAAGGTGTACATATGTTGCTTATATATATATAAATCGACGTAGTCCATCATCCAGCATCAATTACTTCATACGCTTCATTCTCTTTTGGGCACGAGAAGAAGAGGATGAATGATTGAAATCATGCATGCTAAGTGGCGTGTTGACTTGACTTGCTGATCTTGGTCTATTGTTAGCAAGATGGTGAGGAGGTGAAGGGGGTGCTGTTGTTGACGAAGATGAGCAAGAGGAAGAATTAGCTCTGCGTGGACAATAACGATATTCTGGAAATGCTTCTCTATGAGCCAATTTCTCTTGTTCTGCAAGACCATGCCATGGTCTTTTCTCCTTCTCGGAAAGCTTTCCCCATCTACGAGATGCTCGTCTAAAAATAGGATGAGTATCTCTCGTGTATTACTACACTATGCAATATCTTACTTGGAAATTTCCTCGGCGCGAAGTGTGGGGTCTTGAGATTTAAGAGCTTGACCGTAATGACAACGAAACTAGATGGACTGACGGTCAACATCTCGCTTATCCTGCAAATGTAAAGCGACTTACATGAATCCATGCGTTACGAGGTCTCTTGATGTGCGCATTTTTTGTCAAGAACATGCTTTGATCGACATTGGAAGCATCAGCAGCAGCAGCGGCGGCGGCAGCAGCAGCAGCGATGACAGCCTGCTTTTTGTTGGAGGACTTGGTTTCTGTTGGAAAAAGTACATGTTGATCAACAGATGTACCAATAGATTCCAGCAAGCTCTTTGCAACTTGAGAGCCCGGATGTCTATGGTTTGCAGCAGCCGCGGCCGACGCAGAGGCAGCGGCCATGATAGGCGACATTGCAGAGTCATTGGTAGGAATAGAGCAGGATACAGGAGGAGACGCCGTAGAATAACGCGATGAAGGCAGAGATTGGATTGATGATGATCTACGTAAAGTGGGTATCTTGGTTTTAAATACTTTAAATAAATCTAAGGGAAAGAACCCGGTTTCATGAATCTTTAATTGAGGTGTTGGTTCCAAAAATGGTGGACAATGTTGCTGATGGTAATATGAGTGATTTGTTGATAATGGGAACTTTTTTAATTTGGGTGAATCTGGGGAAGGTGGTCTGTTGTCTAAATGTTAAAATTTTGTTAATATACTATAATGACTAAACTAGTGCTACTTTTTCCTTTTACCTGAAATGTTTAGAATTGGGGCCAATTCAACAGGGGAATAGGCAGACGATGAAGGATAATCAGAGACCACATGTTGATCTGTCAAATACTCTTCTTTGGGCGATAAGTAGGATGCTTTTCTTGCGTTAGTAATGGACATTGGGACAGCACAGGATGTGGAGGAGGAAAAAGTAGTAGTGGATGATGATGCTGTTGAGGTAAATGATGATGGCATTTTAATATTCGAATTCAAAATTAATTAAATTTTGGATGTGTGGTGGGATCAAAGTCTGGTATATGGGTGCGATGCTTTTTTTTTTTTTTTTTTTTTGCGTCTTTCTTTTCTTTTTCCTGCAACAAAAGAAAAAAAGAAAAAAAAGTGAAAGGAAGGAGGAAAGAAAGAGAGAAAAGGAAAAGAAAGAAGTGCTATTATTATGATTATTATTATTGATGAACAGAAGAATAGAACCATCAGCTTCTTCTTGCTGTACCTCTAACGGACTGGGCTCAGGCTGCGTTTCAATTGGCATTTTATACAGCTTTTTTCTTGTACAATGGCCAGCAAATTATAGATTATTATCATTTTGTATATAAATACAACATCTTATTTACACAAACAGAGACGCATTGCATTAGGTATTCTTTTTCTCTCTTTCAAGTGCGTATCTCGAGAGCTATGTGATATACTGTACTATCTAAGGGATTGCCCTGAGAAAAAGAGCGAGATGGAGAAAGTTTATTTTCATTGTTTAGTTCCATGTACACTTAGTGAGATTCATCTCTCATCAACAACGTTACTCCTAATATACTACAATGATCCCCTTATCCTCCTCTTGTCCGTGGTGTGTGCCACTGCCTTTTTTTTATATTACATCTTTTTTTAAATTCACGTGTAATAGCTCGAGATTTCTTTTTAATCAAACCCATTGTCCTTTATTAATCAAAAACAAGTTGTTTGCTATACTAAAATGTTCACTTGAATGGCCAATTGGGTGATTATGTGTAACAAAATAATGTAAATTTTACTTCGGCTTGTCTCCGACAGGTGGAGATTTACGACCATCTTTCCATCATTGCAAGATGCCTGCCCTCTCTTCCAACTCCACCCCACCCCCAACAAGCCTTTTTCTTACATTGCAACATGCCAGACAGGAAGCGTGTCATTCTCTTCAAAAAGAAGGACACTGACGACAAGTACAATCAACTGCTCCTGAAGCACCACTTTGAGCCCGAATTCATCCCCGTACTAGATCATAAGCTAATCAACATCGATGCTATCAAAGCTATCATCCAAAATGGACCCAACAGAGAACAGCTATGCGCAATGGTCTTGACGTCACAGAGATCAGTTGAAGCTATAAACGAAGCCTATAAGGAATTAACCCGTCTAGACCAACATGTACGCGATGAATGGAATTCATTGCCAATCTACATTGTTGGACCACAGACAGCAGAAGCATTAGCCCAATTGCCCTTATTTCGAGACACCAATCATGATGGCCATTGGACCGTTGCTCCTCGAGCATCTGAACTAATCAAGTCATTTAGTGCGCAACATCTTGACTCGACTGTATTATTTTTAGCTGGTGATAAACGTCGTGAAATTATACCCGAAGCATTAAGCGCGGCACACATTTCTCTACGGGAAATAAAGAGCTATGTTACATGTGCTCATCCTGATTTAGCAAACCGCATCAAACAAGACGACAAGACACTGTTACAAGCAGACTGGACAGTATATTTCAGTCCTTCGGGCCTGAAATTCCTCCTGGATCAACTCGATGATAAAACGCGTTTCTTGGCAAATTCAAACATTGCATCGATAGGACCTACTACATCTGATTATATAACGAATGAACTGGGATATCAAGTGCAGGTTGAAGCAGAAAAACCAGACGCTGAGCATTTAGTACAGGCTATATTAAACTACTCAAAGAAATAAATTGACCATAAATAGACATTTCAATTTAAATTTCTGTAATCATGAAAAGCTAATTTCTGCTCTTCGGGTCAATGAACAATCATATACTATTATAAAAGGCGCTTGTATGATAGATAAAACGTATATAAATATCTGTTTCTATCGAGCTCTGAATTGAAACCGCCATCCTTTCTTCCCATTCCTTTCATTATGAAGCTCTCTTTCATCGGTGCTGCCTTGATTGCAGGCCAATTCGTATATGCTGCTCCCGCATCCTCGTCCTCCACCAAAACTACAAATGCTGCTACCAAGACTGCATCCTACATCCCTCAACACTCTCCCAGCTTCCCTGGTAACATGCCTGCTGCTACGGGTGTTGTCACTGCCTATAACTATGGCCCTTACAATCTCTCTACTACTTTGCCCACCAACACTTTGAGCGGCTACCCTGATCCCTGGAGCTCACCCAGTACCACATCAAGCGAGGTCAAGGCTGCTATTAAGGCTATCGACTGGTCTCTCGTTCCTGACATTAAGCCTAGAAAACAAGACTCTGATGGCAATTGGCTCAAGGATAGCGATGGAGATTCTGATCCCTACTGTTGGTGGTCCTCAACTAATTGTGTCAAGCCCAAGATTAACATCCCTGAAGATTACTATACTTGTGGTCGCCAAGGCGATTGGGGTTTATCTTACGATGACGGACCTTTCAATCTCTATACAGATGAGAACGCTGCTACAGAAAATCCGTAATGGTGACACATTGCACCCGCACTATATGATACTAATACACATGTCTATTCCAGGTACGCAGAACCAGCCTTGTACAATTTCTTGGCCGAGCACAACAACCAAAAGGCTACTCTCTTTTATATTGGTTCCAATGTTGCAACGTAGGTCATTGATGCGGTATACAATGAAGAGATACTAACACTGCCTGTTATACCAAGTTACCCTGAAGCTGCCAAAAGAGCCTTCAATGACGGCCATGAAATCTGTGTTCATACTTGGTCTCATCCTGCCATGACAACGCAAACAAACTACCAAACTGTTGCTGAGCTCTATTGGACATTGAAGGCCATCAAGCAAGTTACTGGTGTCACACCTCGCTGCTGGAGACCTCCTCAAGGCGATGTCGATGATCGTATTCGCGCCATCGCTTGGCAAATGGGTCTTCGCACTGTCATCTGGGATGAAGACAGCAACGATTGGGACATGCCAGCTCCCGGTGGAGGTTCATTACCGCCTTCCGCAAGTTGAATAGCAACATCCATATGTGAATTCTGGACTAATACCTCTTTTCCTATAGACTGTGGACTCGTACTTTGTCCAATGGTTGGCTGATCAACAAGCTCACAACCAAACAACTGGCCACATGGTGCTTGAACATGAGTTGAATCACGCTACTGTCAACATGACAATGAAATGGTTGCCTACTCTTCAAAAGAACTTCAATGTCATTCCTGCTTTGGCTTGTAACAACGTTTCCAATCCCTACTGGGAAGAGCAATTCGTGTACCCACTGTCGTAAGTTTATACAAATGATTCATGTATGACCAACAGCTAAACATGCAAATTAGTAACTTTCCTGCTGCTGCCACATCTGGAGTGATTCCTACTGCTGCTGCCACGGCCACTGCTGCTGCCAGTGATGTCGCAAATGCCACTGCTACTAGCAGCACCTTTGACGATTCAACTCTTACTGCTGACATTGTGTTAACTGCCTAATTTACGAATAAAACTTTATTTAATTTTGGTAAATTGGACAACCCCCGTCGGCTGACCTTTATGATGCTCAGTCGTAGTATTTGCAATGCCAATCTCGCTCTTTGCCGAGATTTCATAATTCTTTATAAAGTACGACACGATTCCCTTAATTTGATGTGTTGCAAACCAACGGCCTGGACAGGCGTGTCTTCCCATGCCAAATGCAAGATGGTCTTGACCTGCTTTCACCGCTAGCTTATCCATATCCACGTATCGAAATCCGTCAAATGTCTCCAAGTTTTGAAACCCGGGTTGATTGTCTTTGTCGTGATGAACTTGAAACATATTAATAAATATTTCATGGCCTTAAAGAAAGCTTCATTAAATAGTTTACCAAGGCACAACTGATGTTTGGCTTACCTGGTTCAACTATAGCTCCTGACTTCAAAACAATGTCTTCTTCGCCAATGTTTGTATGTGGGAGTCCAAATCCAACCATGCGGGTCCGCATGGATTCTCTAATGAAGCTGTCCAGCTTGACCATTTGGCGATACATGGCAGGTGTGTATATGACATTTCGGTCCCTATCAGCAACACCTTCATCCAAAAGTACCTTTTCTTGTTCCTCTCTTAATTCTGAAATGTATTCGGGGTGCTTGGCGAGACAATACATGACATAAGTAACTGCTTCTGATGTTGTATGTACACCGACAAAGATCAGGATAAGAATGACTGTAGTCAGAGTTTCCAGATGATCATTATTCATTTCATGGGGATATGTTTTCAATAGATAGTCCAAGACATCCTTTTTCTGTACAAAGAAACCAAGCACGTTTTCTTTTTAACAAGCTTTTCAATGCACTAAAGCACACGTTGTATATACCTCATCCTTATTGTAAATACAGTCCTCTTGTGATTCCTCGCTCATGCGCTTTGCTATCTCGGTGCTAAGGGATGCCTTGATCAATGCTCGATGTTTCTTGATGGACTTTGACTTGGGAAAGAAATAGCTACACAACAAGTAAATACATGGTGTCTGTGCTTGTCTGTATATCCGTTTACTTTGTGTAGATAGAGTTGAGTCGAGGGAAAATGACTTGAAGGGGCCCTGGTCTGAATTCTGTTCCAATATCTGCTACTGCGTGCTCAAACGCACTGATTAAGTTCTCGTCTTGGCACATTCTCGTGCCTACAAAGACAGACGCACTGTATTTTGCTACAAACCGTCTGAAAAAGGGTCTCAGATTACGCAGAATAAACTGGTCTTCTATAATTAGACAAATTATCTGTATTAGTGCCGTGTCAATCATGTCAATGTTCATGATTGCTCTTACCTAATGCCTTGTCATCAACTTCTTGCAAAAACTGCCAAACGTGCCTGCCTTAGTACTGAGCTTTGGTTATCAAGACCACTCACTTACCTGCCGGAATGCACGAGGGCTGTAATAATCCAAGTTGGGTGTCAAGTGCTTCCTGATAGCATTCGTAACACTCTTATCAGGAAGCGTAAATTCACCTTTACCATTGAAAAGCGCACTGTTGAAAAACTGTCAAATTGAAATGTGAGCACTCCATAATACATCCTCCAATGTAGGACACAATTACTCTGCTGTTGCTAGCCAAGAAGCTCAGTTGCGAGTGGTTAAATACTTCAGGGACATCCTTCGCACCGACCACAGTAACCAAATCGCCATGCAAGTGCAAACGGAATGTAGGACCCCACTTTTCTGTGTAGAATTTGGCAAGCTTCAATGGGTTTGTGTAGTATTCAAAGGTAGATCCTACAAATGGGTATTTGTACGGGATTATGGGCAAACTGCTGTTACCATTCTGTGTATATTGACATTTAGTTTTAATGAGAGCGATTGGTTACAATTCACCTTATTACCTTGCTTTTGATGAGCGCTAATGTGGCCTTGATCAGTGCCACTGCAGCGCTGATCGACCCTATGGCAACAACAGTGCGTTGGATGCGCTTGTCTGATAGCAAACTTGTACTCGAGTTTAACTGCATTTGAGTGTAGTCAATGTATGTGTATTGAATAAAGAAAAAAGGGGAGAAATGCATAAAGGAAGATCTGTATTTATAGGCAATGGAGCCATTACCATTTCGGGCTGTAATAGGCCGAATTACGAGCAAGAAACTTGGCAAACAGCGTTCTGTTTCTATTCAATGACAGGAGATAAGTCTTCCTTGATTCACTAATGCTTAGAATATATACAGTAGAAGCCAGACAATCATATTTGATCTGTAGCATCAATCTCGTATATACTAATGTTCGACGGATATCCATTTGTTTAGCTGCAAATGCATATCAAATGAATATAGCCGCATTAGGTAGAGAGATGAGATACAAACCGCATCATAGTCGGTTGTATACTTATTGACATGAAAGGCTGATACAATTGAAGCACTGCTCATCAATAGCTTCACTTGTTAACATAGCTCTACACATATTTCTATATACCAATCGCTAAACAAAGCTCGACTGATCTGGGTCACACATTACACCACTATATTCAGCTGATTTCTAACAGCTGTATATGAACAAGAGGCTTCATAAGGTGGCTCAGTATACCAACTTTAGCATTTCATGCTTGATTTTGATATTTAATGTGGTGTTTGGCGTTGTTGGTCCATGCTAATCATACTGATCCTTCTAGACAGTTGTACATTAGACCGTGCTAGCTATGCTCATTTCATTACGAATAATGGTGTCTTTCAATGAGCTTCTATTTTCTGTATTTCTTCAATGCACTCTGACTTGAGATCAACGCTTTGCTTAATCTACACGTCCTCTCAGAAATGTTTAACTCCCTCAGCACTAAAAAAAAAAAATAAACTCTGCAATACATCATTCCTAGTCAAAGCATTTACGTAATTGCAAATCATGAAATGATAAGCAGCACAGATGGACTCTTAGCACTTTACTTGATAGTAACTTTGTAAACGTACATCATTAATCCGCTAGAGCATTAATGTTTTGAGGGAATATACAGCAAATTTGTATACACATGTCATAAAATAAACATGCTTTTCTGCATACCAGAGAACTACCAAGCAGAAGGATTGTGAAACCCACTGTAGTTGAAAAAGCAAAAAAACGTGTAATTTACTATTTTATTTGTGCATTGCCTTGGGGGGGGGTCGTTTCTTGTTTCTTTATATTTATATCCTTACCATGGCAAACGGTAAATTGATGGCATCAATCTGAATTACTCGGTATAACTAATCACATTCGTAAAAGCTAATTGGCAATCACAGTTGAGTGTAGTCGAGAAAAGCACCTATCTGGATCTCTTCCAAAAGGTTGATGCAGACAACAAAGGTATCGTCTTACAAGACGAAGCTCTGGAGTTTTTAAAAAAGTCGGATATACCTCAAAACATACTATCGCAGGTAGAACATGGGCTTCTTTTTGATAGAGAGCTTGTATCAGCTAACATTTGATTATAACGTTAGTTTTGGGATGCTGCAGACAACGATAAGAAAGGTTTTCTAACAGAACAGGAATTCTGCACCATATTGAAGTTAATAGCCTGTGCTCAAAATGGCATCATGACGACAGAGCCAATCCTGGCAACTAAAGGTAATAACCGAGCAAGCGCACTTGATTGCGACATTAACCTTTGAATCGAACGAAAGCACCTTTACCAAAGTTTGATGGACCTGGGTCAGCCAACAATGTCAACTCTCCATTTCAACACGCCCAACAACAACCCCAGATGCCCATTCCTCAAAGGCAAGCATCGGTTTCAAATATGGATGTAGTCAGCCCAGAGGATAGACAAAAGTACATTGGATTGTTCCAATCGTTTGGCCCTATAAACAACATTTTGAGTGGTAAATATACGGCGTGAAAGATGAGGGCCTCAAGTGCTGATTATATGATTTAGGCGAGAGAGCAAAAGACGCCTTTATCAGATCGAATCTACCTCCTGCTATCCTGCAAAATATTTGGACTTTAGCTGATACTCGCAAATCAGGCACACTGAACCAAACTGAATTTATCATTGCAATGCATTACATTGAGAACGCAATGAAGGGTATGACCAACTTGCCAGCAACTTTACCGGCCAATGTCTACGCTTCAGCAACTGGAAGATCAGTCCCAGCTTCACCACTCGTACGCAACAACACGCTGCAGGTCAACAGCCCACCTCCCGTTCCTATGAGATCACCTGTGTTTAAGGGAGCTACGACTGCCAAGTTGGATATTGCTCCTGATGAATACGCAAAATACCAGGCATTCTTCCGTCAGTTAGATACAGATAATTCAGGTTATGTGTCGGGTGCAGATGCTGTCGTATTCTTTAGACACTCCAAGCTGCCAGAGTCTGATCTGGCTCGTATTTGGGATTTGGCTGATACAAACTCATCGGGTCACTTATCAGAGCAAGAGTTTGCCATTGCTATGCACATGATCAACCGAAGAGTCGCAGGTGGCGAGATTCCAAACTCTCTACCGGCATTCAATTCGAGTGAGTAGTTAAAGCGATCTTGGATTCTGGTGATCTAACTCATGCCATTTGACAGTTCCAGACTACAATCCGCCTTTACAGCAACAGCAACAATCTCAACCTCAGCAGCAAAATGTCGACCTCTTGGGTCTATCTTCTGATGCCGATGGTACGCCTGCCCCACCAACCCCTCAGCAACCTCAACAGCCCCAAACATCCCACTATAGGAACGCTGATTTGGCCAGAATGCAATCCACGCTTCAATCTGACATGACTTCAGAGAGGTTGAGGTCCCAAACTGCTCAAAGTCAGTTCCACGTAGAATCACAGGCAGTACAGGAGCTCTTGCGACAAATTGAACAGCAAAAAGAGGAACTAGCCAAGCTCAGACAGCAGGCAGACGACGCAGAGAAGCAGTTAGAGGCTGAACAAAAGCGCAAAGAGGAATTAAGCAAGGAATTACAAATGTACAAGCAAGAGGCCAAGCACTTTAACACGCGCATCGAGAATGCCAAAGAAGAAACAGCCAAATTGCAGGCAGAAAACGCAGCATTAGAAAAAGAGAAGCAAGTAAAGAGTTCAGGGCAATCACCCACTCAGTCCGCTCCAACAACAACAGCAGCTCACGATTTCTTTTCGCTCTCTTCAGCACCACCTGCAAATAGTCCAGGCGGGGGATTGTTTGCCAAAGTGCAGGAGCCAGCTTCTTCCTCCTCATTCTCCCCTGTCATGTCTCACCACACTGGCTCTACTGTCAATTCCCAACAACAGCAGCCGAAATTTGATCCTTTTGCAGGATTTAAAGCAACTCAACAAAAGAACTCTGCACCCGCGTCCCCAACTGTGTCATTGAACAAGCTCAAGCAAGAGACTGAGCAAAAGAGATCATTTACACCTACATCCAATGTAGAAATCAGCGACATTGAGTCCAAATTCCCGGATCTGAACACCATGGAACAGAGCTTTGCGGCGCCATCATCTCCTGCTCCACCAGCAGCACGTTCTGTTGGTAGCCCTTCCTTATCAACAGCTACAGTAGCAAGTCCCAAGCCTGACAATAGCCACTTTTACAATAACCTATTTTCAAAACCTTCAGTGAGTCCATCCATGTCAAAATCAACACCTGCTGCGAAGAGAGATCCCAAATCCAAGTACGGGTTTGATCTCTCGGCATTTGAGCCACCAAGCTCATCTATTGCATCTCCATTTGAAAGCAAAGCATCCATGAAGGACGAACTAAGCTCATTATTTGGCAGCCCCTCCACCAACAACGCCCCATTGCCCAATACAACAACAACATCAGCAACAACAGGCCAAAATACAGGATTTGATGATATATTTGGCGCAGGTAATAGTAATAGCACTGGCAATGCGAATAACGCAAGCTCGTTTGAGAATGTCTTTTTTCAAAAATAATAAAAAGTGCATTTAATCCTCTATGAACTGAAAAAACTTGCCCCATCTTGAGCGACGCACGCGGAAATCGACGCTAATCAATAAGCAAGCTAGTGGTTCTTCTTGATCTGTAATTGCATGAACTGAAACCAGAAATTTGCCCTATTTTATGGTTAGATTGTTACTTGGGAGTTCCTGAAACACTTTGATATTACTTACTCTGGGTATTTCCTTTGGCAATGTGATCTTCTGTGTTACCTAAATCACTCAAATGTTCAATGATTCCTCGTCATATCTCTAAATGAAGCTACTCACAGTCAAATCGCCCTTTTCAATGGGACATTGCAGCTCTACATCGTCCTTGTGCTTCTCTAGCTCGTCACAAATATCGAATGTCTTTCGCAACAATTGAACAACGCCCAGCTTGACCACAACGGTGGCTGCTGCACCTTCTCTCACCGTTTCCTTTACAGTGCCTGATGCTTCGATTGTCAGCTCAGAGCCTGCTTGGACAATGTCAGGTGAAACTTTGACCTCCTTGATATCTAAAACAAACGAATCATCGCCTGTATTATATGTATTGGCATGCGTCATTCGTCACATTGCTAGCAAACACAACTTACTGCAGTCAACAATGTGGACGTTGCTTACGGCATGATGCGAATATAGTGATGAAGATGTTTGAAATGTATAGTCAGGCCAGTACGAGTATTTGCTGGCAGATACAATGACAGCAAAGTAGGCCAGCAAGAGAATATGTTTATAAATCATCAGGATGTAAGAGATAAAGAAAGAGTATCTATTGATTCATGAGAAATCCTGACCTTTTTATTATGCAGCAGCGGCATCGTCACCTGGGTCACATTGGTAACATACGTCAAACGATGTTGTTTATTTATCATTTTAGCAGATACAGCTGCTGTTACTACGCTTACTTTTTATCATCATTGCCATATAATATGATAGATATTGAATCCTGTTTCGAAAAGTTTAGTTAGTAGTACGGATCATGATCTCTACAAGTTAATCAGCCATCAAGCTGTAAGTCGTCCGCTTTAAGAAGCAAAGACATCCAAGGTTTGAGTGTGCTTGATGCTATCCCTGAAGATAATGTGCTGTTATGGCTTATTGTGATGGCGAGGGTTTTTATCGTTATGGTTTACCTCGTATATTGCTTTTTCTGCAAAACTTGTTTAGACCGAGAATTACAATCTACGTTTTCAGCGATCGCTGCTTGGTGGATGAAACGGCTGTGTTGGTTAATGTCTATCTTATTATATCCCTTTTCATTTTGAAACCCTCTTTCCAAGCAAAACCGACATTGGCATGGATGATCTACTCTGATAACATCTGTTGCGCATCACTGGTAAGGCTATTGAGACATGAGTAAGCTTACGGTGACTGGGATGTGTGTGTAATCAAACCCGATTAGACGAGTTGATCAGGACAAAAACCTTTTTTTCTCTACTTGTATATACACCTCGGCTTCCTACTTTATAATAATAACACACCCATATACAGAAATACTCATGAGTGATAGTAGTGACGAAGAGTATGGACCTATTACAGCTTCATGGGGCACTCAAGTTCCTGTAGAGGAGCCTGCCAAATCAGAAGGCTGGGATTCACTGATTGATCCTAATGTCAAAGTGGGCCCAAATGATGTTGGCAGTGGCAATCTACATCGCCGTGGTACCAACTACAAACCTATCAATGAAGAAATCATTTTAGCACGCAGAAAGAACATTCAAGTGCCCAAGGAGAAGATGCTGGAAGCTATTCGAGAAACTGAATTATCGCTGGGTCTTCCAGAAAGCAAAGAAAAGCCGCGTAAAGGGAAGCCCAAGAAGAAACCTACAGGGAAGCCCAAGAAGAAACCTACAGGGAAGCCAGCTCCAGCAAAGTGTTCTAATACAAGACCATACACACCTACCACAAATTACGTATCAGCACCCCCGCCTCCATCAACAACCAGACCACCACCGCCTCCTTCAACAAATGGGTCGAGCTGGTCAAATACAAATTTAGTGGATACACCCTTTTGGGAGAAAAAAAGCAATGTATGTATCAGACATGTACATTTGGTAGTAGGATTCACTTATCAATATTTCAATTTGAATAGACTCCACCCACGATTCAAGCTTACAACAAGTTGAACAGCAAACCAGCAGTAGATAACACTGACTGGGCTGCAGCAGTGAAGGATGTAGTTCCAAACCCTGATGGTTTGAACGACAGTAGCCCTGCAGGATGGGTGATAGCTGATAAGTCCAACAAAGCCTCCAACGCCGAAAAGACCAAGCCAGCAGCTAAAGTAACATGGACTTCCAACAAAGATGAGGATATATCAGCCAATAATAACCGGGGAACTGTCAAAGCGCAGGATCGTCCAGAGAACAAATGGGGCCATGCTAAAGCTGGAGATCCGGGCAAAGATGAAAGACAACCTAGCTGGGGATCATCTCAGACTCAAGCATTGACAACGAGCAATCAAGGGGCAGATAGTGCCAAATCGATTGGAAATGACTGGCAAGCTGCAGCAAACAATTGGATTACGCCAACGCCTACAGAAGCTCCTACGATCACTTCAAATAACAATGACTGGATATCAGCCAGCAAAGAAAGCAATTGGGAAACAACTACCAACAATAAGTGGACGGCATCATCCACTACTACTACTACTACTACTAAAGCACCAACAAATCCAACTGACGCTTGGGGGGCGTACTTTAATCGACAGCAAAACGGAGACTGGACATCTCCTAATGCGAATAAAGCTTCGAATTGGGGATCCAATCGCACTGCAACTACTACTACAACTAACACTTACCCTAATGATCACCATATACCTTCAGACAAACCATCATGGCTTAATTCTATACCCGATAGGCTTTCTGAATCACAATCCTCACGATTTTCAAATCCTCGCAAGCAACGGTACTCTGAAGTGCCAATTGATATACCCGAACCCGTCAATTATCGACGAGATGGCAGAATTACGCCACTCAAGACAGCGCTGCCACCACCTCCTGAAAATAGTTTATTAATCACTATCAAGGTCGAGTTATCAGAGAGTATTAAGGTCATGGTGGACATCAGAGAGCTGGATGATCCATACAAACTAGCGGTTGATTTTGGAGCTAAAAACAATGTCAATTCACCAAAAGTAATTGAAGCCTTGACAAAATTGTTCGCGGCACAAAAGGAGTTGGGCTTGAAGAAGAAGAATCAGCGTCTGCGAAGAAGAGTGCAGCCCAAGAATTATGATAATGTATATAGCAACTAATCCTCCTCAAATACTAAATTTTCTACATACTCTCGCCCACCCTCTGCCGCCCCATCACCAGCTCCATTTGCACGCAAAGTGTACTACTAGATCATCCGTTCAGTAATGGTGCATCCACTTTTTATTTCATCATCTCTCCCATCATACTCATGTCTCATAATAAATTGCATTCATATAATATCATTCTCAATTACGCAAATTATCACAGAGCTTTACTTTCTCAGTGCCCATTATCGCGCAAAAAGTTGTGGCTGTGGATCCGACTCCTTTAAGATATATCGCGTTTGTATGCATGGAAACAATTCCTATTATCAGGGCAAAGAGCATGCTAACAGTACCTACTATTGTTCAAATACATGCCAAATACAGCTTAAACTTTATGCATTTAAGCAGTGATTTCTCGTGCTACACGTCGTTTCAGACCGCTAAAATAGCACCAAACAGTTGTTTTCGTTTAGCACTTGCTTCCTGACACCTTTGCTCAACTTTTTGGGAACCCAAAAAACATGGCCAAAAATCGACCCAAAAGCATGAGGTACCCCTTATGCTTTTCACCGAAAACTAAACGATTGCGTTTTTGACCTTCAAAATGAAGACTTTTACTATGGCATATAACAACTCAAAATGATCCTCTCGATCCAGAGCAACCCCTGAAAACGCGTCTGTAAAACCTTTGTATGTAAAATCTCGACATTTTCGCCAAAACCTTCTTTTTACATTTTCAAAAACTGCTCATCAAGTTCATTCCAAACACCTGTAATAGTTTGCATCACTGGATGCGCCTCAAAAAGTACGTTTAGAAAGCTTAAGGGAGCATTGAATTATCTTTACTGTTGACATAGTCAAAACTTGCAAAATAAATCAACCAAGTCGCAAATTGATCAGAAATGATCAAATCAGAACAGTAAGTCAAGCGGACATTAAATAGTTTTTCGCTGGCAAACTCATAATGGAGGTCATCGCTGCTCTTGAGAGCTGCCAGAATATCATAACGCATTGACGCTGTGTATTGTTTGCGAATGCTCCAAACCTATGGCACTAGAGGCGCATATTGTTGCATGGTATCAAAAATTCCGTAAGCGTTTACAGTTGCCTTTAGATTGCGGCAATCTGGTGCCTATCCCATCTGTCGTTACTGCGTGCCCATCTTGGTCTCCTCCCTCTGCGTCCCTTAACAATTGCGTCGTATTATATAATACCATCCGTTGTTTTTCCTGGGGCCTGCTCTTTTAATGTCTGAAACAGCATGGATTACTCAATCAATCCCACGGAAGCAGTATCTCTGGTTAATGAACATCAAATTCCAGTGTGAAGCAGAGGTATTTTTCTTTACCAATCAATTGATTGTTACACTGGATCGGTGTGCTCACAATAGGTTACGATTATGATTAGCATTTGGTGTAATTCTTGTCTGAACTATGCGATGGCTTCATCAAAAGAGCACAGTGAAAAGCATCTCAAACATGAGGAAAAAAAAAAAAAAAAGAGTACGGACACTGGGTTCCTTTTACTAGTTTTAGAAACCAATTTTTTTTATTACCTAAGTGATTATCTAGGTCTCCCTTCACCTGAAGGGGTCATTACATAAGGTTTTTGAACGGCTTTTGAATGCTAAATCATCTACTTAAACGGCCCACAAGTTTTATTTTCATCATTCTTACCCTTCCTAATATCAATCTCGAAACTATGAGCTCCAGAAAGACCTCTACCATCTCTGAAAGGCGCTCACAGTATCCTCTTCATGAACGACTCATTGTTTACAATTCCGAGTCCATGCAGCGCATGATTGATAACAAGAGCAGTAGCCCGATACCCTTAGCCAATCCTACCACTTCTACATTTGTGGTCAATGGTGTCAATATCCTCAACAAAAACAGTCTGGACAGTGATACAGTAATGCACCGTATTATGCAAAGAAGACAAACCCACAACAGAGTAGAACGTAGAAGAAGAGATCGAATGGTAACTCGTTTTATGCTGTAGCATTTGATTGCCATGGAAAACTAAACCAAGCCTCCATCCCATAGAACAACTTATTTCATGATTTATCAAAATGCTTGCCTGCACTGCAACACAAGACAGAGAATAGTCGCGCTGACATTTTGCAAGAAGCCATCGAGCATATCAAACAGCTTACAGATGAAAACCATCGGCTGAAACATCATGGCTCTATCTCCCAGGTGCCACATCTGTACGAAGATGATTCAGATTCTGTTACAAGCAGCAGTAGTAGTGAAAATAATGATATAACCTGTAAAAGTAGTTCCTATGTGTCATCATTACCACACTTGCCATCTATCTCCTCGTTAACGTCAAGAGCGGATCAGTTGGAGCCAAAGAAGCCAACGACGACTCAACCACAGAGCCAGTTTGAATCCATCCTGTCATTCCCAAAAGTATTTAAATAAACATTTATATTATTTGCATGCAAACACACTTGGGCTGTCAGTCTAAATTACAGCAAAAATCCCTCTGATCTGATCCTAAATGCACTGTGTGCATGTAGCATTGAAAGATCCATGTGAATGTATTGACGTATAGAGATGCAATAGGGCATAAAATAGGTATTACTTGGCAATACAGCACTGATCCCATAATTATGCCATGGCAGCCTACTTGACTGATTGTATAATGAGCCTTTATATATATATATATATATATATATATAGAATGATACTTGTCAAGGCCTGAATTGTGTCTTTGTTGCATCAGTTACAACTTTCATGCAACCCTTTTATTTTAAATATTGATACTATCTATACATTTTTTTTTCGTTTGCAGTAAATGCATTGGGGAGGGCTCTTTTATGCCTTTCTGGCAGCACGTCTAGCACGAACACCCTCACGGAGAACATCCAAAGTCTTGACGGTATCTTCCCAATTGATACAAGCATCAGTGATGGATTGACCATAGTTTAAGCGATGAGGACCCTCGCTAGGAATATCTTGACGGCCTTCTACCAAGTTGGATTCAATCATAACACCAACAATGTTATCACCTGTGACAGAGGGTTGGGCCAATTGTTCAGCCTACACGCATATACAAACTATTAGTGCTATCCCTGAATTTAAAGAGCATGAATACGTTACAATGGATTGAGCAACAATAGGTTGACGCTTGTGATCCTTTGAAGAGTTGCCATGACTACAATCTACCATGACGACAGGGGCCAACTTGACCTTTTGGAGCTCTTGGGAAGTCTTTTGGATAGATTCAGCATCAAAGTTAGTTCCACTCTTACCACCACGGAGAATGACATGACAAGCGTCATTTCCTTCAGTTTGAATAATTGCAGATAAACCTTGCTTGGTCACTGACAAGAAATGATGGCCATTGCTAGCAGCTCTAATGGCATCATAGGCAACACCGTTTGAGCCATCAGTACCTATTTATATTCATCATATTAGCCTAACTTCATCTACAAATTATCTGCGCTTTCTTACCGTTCTTGAAACCAACAGGGCATGATAACCCAGAGGCCAACTCGCGATGAATCTGTGATTCGGTAGTTCTGGCACCAATAGCACCTAAATCGCGGATAACCGGTTACAAGCCATCCTTTTTCACAACTTGATCAAGTATTCTTACCCCATGAAACAAGATCACCAGTGTATTGGGGAGAGATCTAATAAGAAAAATACAAGAAAAAGTTTAAGTTGGTACATTAGCATAAATGGAATCAGATCAACCCACGGTATCCAAGAACTCGCAACCAGTAGGAATGCCCATTTCATTCTATCAAACACCATTAGCATGTCGAAACACATCCGTCCCAAAAGAAGACTTACAAGATCCAATAGCAATTGACGAGCAATACGAAGACCCTTATTGATCTCATAACTAAAATGTAGCAATTGCCTATTTTAGCATCCCGTCCAATATTTTAGGGTTCAATGCTACCTGTTATTCATGAAGGGATCGTTGATCAAACCCTTCCAACCGACAGTAGTTCTAGGCTTTTCAAAGTAAACACGCATGATGATCAACAAGTCTTCCTTTGCATTTTCGGTATACTCAATCAAAAGATTAGCTAAAAAAAAAGAAGAAGCAATGTCAGTGTTTACCGAAACATGCATTTTGCGGGGTAACATTACCATACTCCTTAGCGGCCTTGACATCGTGAATGGAGCAAGGGCCAACGACGACCAAAAGGCGATCGTCAGTACCCTTGATGACATTTTCAGCAGCCTTTCTACCTTCAATAATGGTTTGTGCAGCCTTCAAAGTAAGAGGGATGTCTTCCATCAAGATTTGAGGAGGAATAAGAGGCTTGATACCCTTGATGCGCTTGTCATCGAGCTCGTTCAAAGCTGTCCGTCATACAGGATCTCAGTCAACATGGCCATTTACCATCCACTTTTTATACTACCTTCAGTAATTACAGTACGGTTATAGGACATGATTGGCAAAAGTAGGGGTGTTCAAGTGTGGAATACACTGATTTATTGATCGAAAAGAAACGAGAAGAAAGGCTAAAACAATCTGACTCACAATTTGTAGTTTGCTCAGTTGAGGCTCTCATCCAATGGCAAATGATGTGACTCCAAGGCAAATCTGTTGAAAGAGCACCAGGTTTTGCGATAATCATGAAGCTAAATCATGGCAAATGATGCTGTAGATATAAAGTGTCCTTTGGTTGTTCTGGTTCAGGAGCGTGAAGAAGGTGCCGTGGCAATAATCGATCCGCAAGGCTGTCAAGATACGAAAAATCATGACAATGACTAATAATGCATCCATTGATCTTGCCTCCAAATTGCTGTGTGCCACCTCAAATGTTTGCTGTTGTTTCAATAGGCGACGTTAAGACACACCTTTGTCTTGTCACATTTCTCTTGTCTATCTTTTCTCAACTGGACATCAAATATGCCATACTCATTTCATAGTCATTCAGGTCAGTTTTGTAAGCATGGATACGGCCTTTTGGAGGATGTCGTCAAGGAAGCTATCCGCAAAGGCTTCCATGGTTATGGATTGAGCGAGCACATGCCTCGTTACGCTGAATCCGAGCTGTATCCTGAAGAAATTGAGGTATGATGAAAGCATGCCAAACATTAAGGAAGCAAAGGCTTGCTAAGACACTATTGACAGGCCAATTGCACACCAAAAACTTTGGAGACAACATATGCCGATTTTCAGGTAGAAGCCAGACGAGTTCAGCAATTGTACAAGGACCAAATCAGCATTGTCATTGGAGCCGAGATTGAGTTTATTAACAAGGATTATGCTCAACATGTCCATCATCTTCGAAATGATCACAGAGCAGACTATGTTGTTGGGTCTCTTCACCACGTCAATTCAACACCCATTGATTTCTCGCCTGAACTTTACGCTAAAGCCTTGAGCCAAGCAAACAACTCGTTGAAGAATCTCTACATCCGCTATTTTGATGAACAACATGTCATGCTGCAATCTGTCCGGCCTGAAGTCGTAGGACACTTTGACCTCATTCGTATCTTTGCTGATCAAAGCATCGCTGACATGACCCTATTAGAGCCCGAAGTTTGGGAACGTGTCTTGCGCAACATTGATCTAGTGGTCAAGTATGGTGGATTATTTGAAATCAACTCGAGATCATGGAAAAAGGGGCTTTTGGATGCATATCCACAGAGAGACATCATCAAGGTAAGGATCAAGACAGTAAAGGATGGCAATTATAAACACTGTGTTTTTTTAGGCTATTTTGGAAAGACAAGGCAGATTTACTCTATCGGATGATTGCCATGGCCCAAACGATGTCGGATTATTCTATGAGAAGCTACCTGCATATCTAAAAGAAAATCACATCAATACCATCTACTACCTGGCATACAACCAAGAAGGCAAGACAGTTGTAAAGGAGCACGACAATATATTAGATGATGTGTTTTGGGCTAAAATACAACACTGGTAAAAAAAACAACAATAAATACAAGCGAAAAAAAACTATTACTACACACTAGAAAATCAAGGGGAGGGCGATTCCGTCATTGCAACTCGTCTCTTCTTTTGGCTGTGAGTGGACGAGCCACCATGCAGGTTCTCGTATTCCGAGTCCTCGTCGTAATGGCTGCTATTCAGCTCGTCGTTCATGAGTTTTCTGACCATCATCTCTCGTTGTAGCTTATCTGATCTTTGTACTCGCTTTGTCGATAGTAATTCGCCTTGTAAACCCAAGTTTTCCTGTCCAATCAACGACTGATGGACATGCTCAATCGATTTAAAGTATTTCACAGTTTTAACATGAAGTTCCAATGTAGCATCCTCGTCGCAAACAATCAACCCCTTTGGATGCATTTGAATAGCAGATACCGTCCACATGTGATTCACGCCTTCCTCCACACATTTTGATAATGCGATACTTCTATGTGCTCCCGTGATGATGATACATACTTCTCTTGCATCCATCACCGTCCTGCAAAAGAGCTTTAGCTGCAGTTTACACAAAATAATACTGCTCAATTACAACTTACGCTACACCAACGGTTAACGCCAATTTTGGTACCTTTGTGATATCGCCTTCGAAAAATCTCGCATTGGCAACGATGGTCTCGTACGCTAATGTCTTCACTCTTGTGTGCGATGTCAGTGATGAGCCAGGCTCGTTGAATGCGATATGGCCGTCTGGACCAATGCCGCACATGAACAGTTCTATGCCACCGTGCTTTAAGATTTCGGCCTCGTATCGTCTGCATTCCTCCTCCAAATCGGGTGCGTTTCCATCCAGAAAGTTTATGTTTTCAGGAGGAATGTCGATGTGCTGAAACAGATTTGTCCACATGAATGAATAGTAAGATTGTTTATGGGAGCTTTTTGAGTGTGTTTGTGTGTGAGAAAATAGAAGCGGAAAATTTAAGAAATATACTTACCGAGGGATGCCAACGTACTCATCCATGTTGAAGGTGACAACATGCTTGAATGATAGCCTGCCCTCTTTGACGAATTCGGCAAGGCGTCGGTAAGCGTTCATGGGTGAAGATCCAGTAGGCAAGCCTAGCACGAAAGGGCGTTCCTCGGTTGGCTCGAATTGATTGATGCGTTCCTTGATGTAGTGAGCTTTGGATGATGGTCAAGGGGGGGCCCATTTATTACACTCATGCCATAGCCACTTACCAACCCATTCAGATACTTCATCATAGTCGTTTCTAATAACTAATCTCATTTTGGTATAATGTAGTATAAAGCGGTATTTAGAGAGAAGAAAGAGAAAGAGCAATATTCCACACAAACTGGTGATTTTATAAGGCTGAATCCAGTCCCGCGGATGAGCAGGTTTAGTAGCCTTACAATTGGGTGGCACTAAAAACCATCTTGGACAAACTTTATGAGAATATTCCTCAGGGGGGGGGGGGCAGATCTAATCCATCATGTCTAGCAACACACAAACTATTATATGTGAATAATGTAATAAAAGCGGGGTAGGTTGGGATTGGTTGGAATATCTCTGCTTGTAAAGACATTTCCCCATGCCTGGTAGATCCATGGAAATGCTGATCTAGCCCTGCATGAAAACCTGTCAAAAATCCCGCCTCCAGGCTAAGTTATAGCCGAATGTTGTTCAAGGGATTACAAAAAAAAAAAAGAAAGTTGTTCAAGGGAAAGTGGGCCACTTGATTGGAGATGGGACACTTTTTGAAAATGAGACACTCGATCAAGGGCGACAACAAAATAGAAGTCTGATCTTCATAATATCATATCATACAGAACTCTTGAGTATCTATCCAAAAGATGGCGATTTTCTGCTTTGTTTTCAAAATAAATGTTGAATTTTATCCCTGTAGTAGTGAGCACTGCGGCGGATTGTATTGAGAATATCACAACATCCAGAGTATATAGCGGCAAGTTGAGTATATTGGCAATTGGTGGCGATATACTCAACCCTAGGGGAGTGAAATACAGTACAAAACCAAAAAAAAAAAAAAAAAAAAAGTGTATCATTTACTTTTCTGCCATCAACGTTTGTGCATCTCATGTCGAACCCCGTTGGGTATAGATCAAGCAAACTATTGCGGATGCTGTTCCCTTAAGAAGCAATTGCATTGATTCATATGGTTACCAAAGTACTGGTATCTATTCTTAATCGGGATTCATCTATTAGTGCCATCAAAGTTGGAGTTCCACCACCGTATCCTTACTACCCTGAATATTATGTATAAAGATGAAATCATAGCCTCTTTCTTTATTCGGTTCAATATGAATTGAAGATACACCATTTTACATGGCACTGCACGAATCGACAGCCCTATTGAAAGTATTCATAAATCTACTTGACCTGTAGGGCGCTCCATTGAATCGAATGGATAGAATAATGCAACAGGTAATGATCACGGGAGCCTGGCAAATTCTGAGGTTATTGGTTTTCAGATAGGTTGTAATAGCTTCAGAGACCTTATCATATCTGATCCATCCCAATCTATCGATATTTTTGCTTGTGAGAAGTTTGCTTAGTAAATCCATGAATTTAGGATTTGGTTTCTTGGTAGGTGGGGCAAAGAAGGGTAATTTTGTGCGTTCATAGATGTCTTGCGTTACATACGGCTTTCTCGGGAATCCACTTCTCTATCAAAAGGCCATCCTTATTGGGTGTGATTTTTATTGATGAAGGGAAACCATTGATGTACTCATAAAGTAGATGATCTAAAAACGGCGTACGAGCCTCAATCGAATGGGCCATCTCAACTCGATCACCTAAATGACACAGCATATAGTCAGGGAACAGAGAATGGAGATCAAAGTGCGCAGTGGGTGTCAGTCAGTCGCAGCTCTGGTGCGTTCCATACCCTTCACAAACTCTGCAATGGTTAGAGCCGGATTAGGAGACCCATATTGCTCGATGGCCATCTTGGACAACAAACTAAAATTAGACCACTAGAGAGACGCCAAACTAATATTGAGCAGTTTACGATGGGTGCCGTCTTCGTGCCCAATAAAGTCGGTTTTGGTGTACTTTTTGAACTCTTCTTGGTTGTTAAATATGTTGAGCTTCTTTTGACGTTCTTGGTCAGAGAGTAGTTCAATGCCATCAGATACCGAGAGACCAGGCTCGAGCAGGTAGTTGGCTTGTTGAAAGTGAATATATCTGTCAAAATGCTCATCAGAACCTTCGTCAGTCAGAACAACCTTGTTGCCTTGATCACGCACCTTGTTTGACAGCATGAAATTTGCAACACTGTTCAGATTGAAGTAGTGATATTGTTCAACATGCCATACCGAGTCTTCAAAGTTACCCATATTATCATTTTCAAGTACCTGAAACACCTCGAAATCCGCATTACAAAATTCTATTGTTTCAGTTGCTACATTGGTTGTCAGATAGTTAAGCGACAGAGTAAAGTTGTAAATGTAACCAATATGTATATAAAAACAGTGTTTTGGCACTATTACTAGTACAACTATCAATTCAACTAGGCTTCTTTTCTATTATTTTTGACTGATTTTGCTCCTTGTGTTTGCTCTACAAGATCAGACCTTGTTTGGACACCTACTGCAATAAGTTTGTTCAAAAACTGGGGTTTTAGCTCTCAAGTTTGGAGTTTACCTGGGCAAAAATACGTCTTTCTTCAATCACAACAGCACAGAAACCTTTATACGATGCTCAAGTTTATAAAATGAATCGAGGGCGTGTATTGCCTAATGCTGGTGCACAGCAGAAGACTTATATACGCCATTACTACTCTAGCGAAAGTCAACTTTCAGCGATTGATTTGGGATAATTTGCCTTTTCGGCAGTGTAGCTCCGTGAAGAATCCATTTGATCCCGATTTCACTACAATTTGCTAATGTTGTTGACTCTTTTATCACACGATTCGTAGGCATCACGAATCTCTGTTTGGTCGATTTTGATACATGGGTTTTGTTGTTTGTTCCCCACATTGTGTTTGTGGAATACATCCACTATGATCTGCATTCCGACAGTTCATCCAGTTACCAGATTTAGATATAAACTGTATGTACACTGGATTAGATGTACGATACCGATTTATACTCTAAGAAGATATGGACTTCAGATACGCTAGTACTATAAGATTCATACTATATAAGATATAGGCTATAGATGGCACCACGGACATGGATGGCGCTATAGACTTATACTTGTATTCCGACATTGACTACGGATGTTTACCATATCTGGATAGGCACCAAGATTAATGCAATATGAGCTTGTTGCTTCAGATGTGCACTTTATGATCCACGCTATAAGAGACATGCTTATATCCGTGATACTATAGCTACAGATACTTTATGTACTACAGACTTGTACTATATATGAGACATGCTATAGACATGCCATATAGCCAAATACATGCTAAACATGTATGCTCAGCGATATACACTCAAATATGTACTATTGATATAGACTAAGGAGGCTGTACCTATCAGATACATACTACTAGATCGATGTTATATCAAATGTCATAGCAAGGTCTCACACTAAAGGTTTTAGGCTATTCTTAGGTCCTTTGGGTAAATCATGCTAATCATGATTTACAAATCAATTGTTGGGTAGATAGTAAACCTATTTGTATTATAGTTCATCGTCATGCTGTAAACCCTAGCATAATGAAAAGTATATAAATGCATCCTTGGGATGCATTCTCAATAAAAGTGTAATTCTTTGGCAGATTCAATTTTACATTGTATTTTGACATAACACTTTTTTGAATCCCATAAATTTTTTACACTTACTACTATGAATAACGCAAACCCTACTACTGTTTCTGTTGGAGCTGGTGTTGGTCATCGCTCTGCATCGGGAGATGCAAGTTTTGGTTCTGGTTCATCTTTGTCGTCTCTACAAAATGAACATAGCAATGCATTGAGCAATGATGCTCTGCATAATGGTATTGATGCTTGTAGCGAAGACGCTCGCATTGATCAGGCATTGAGCGATGACGCTCTGTCAACTCTTGATAATGATACTATCATGAATGATAGTGGTGAGCTATTGGAATTTGATTTCGATAGTGAGATCCAACCCTTGGGAATGGATCATCAGGCTAGCATGGCCAGGGACATCAAGATGTTGAGGAGAAGGCTTTTTGAGGCTACAAGGCTGTCTATCACTATGCCTGAGGATGGCACGCTTGCATCCAATGCTGGGGCCCTGAAACGCCAATTGATCATGGCTAAGGAAAACTACGATTTGTTGTTTGATGATACTCCAATGCTCTCCCCATCTATGGCCTATTCCAATGCTGCTAATAGCATAGTACCTCCAGATACGCCATATATTCAATGGAAAGGACACAAGTTTAACAACAAGAAGTTTGTCTACCCTACCATGGATGCATGCCTTCAACAATTCCAGGATGTACTGGAGTCTCGTGGTGTGTCGATCGAAGCAAACTGGAAGAGAATTATTAAGCCGAAAATGTCCACGGGTATGTCTGCCTGGACAAGAGAAATCATACAAAAGTATCCCGAAATTACTTGGGGCCAGTTCAAGAGCAAGCTCAAGGTGAAATATAGCCCTTCGGAAGCAGAAGAAAGAAAAGCTGCACTCAATAAGCTAAAGACGCTTAAATTGGACAACTGTGACAATCTAGAAGACTTCATTGACAGGTTTAACTCCTTGAAGGACTTAGCGGGAGTCAAGGAAAATACGTCTCTGGTAGACTATCTGCTTCGTGGTCTGGATATCGACTTGTATGGACCGGTGTCTATGGGCATTTCACAAGCCCGTTCCAAGGGAAGCGACACTTTGGATTTTGCTATCTCACAGTTGCGCAGTGCCTACGATTTGTTGAGAAGAGATGATTATTATAGGCAGGAAAAGCAGAGAAAGGATGCTGAACTGAACAATAAGATCAAGGATGCGATCAAGGCACATCAGCGTGCTGAGGGCTCTGCTTCGTTGAGCAACAAGAAAACTCGTCGTGCTGGTCGCCGCCATGACAAGCAATCAAGAAAGAGGAATGATAGTCCTGGTGAAGTTCTTAAATGTTATGATTGTGGTTTCACACCATTTACGTATGCGCATAAGGCATTATGCAAGAAGAACCCCAAAAATATCAAAAAGATAACAAAGAAGAAGAGCAAGTTGATTGTGCCAAGACCTGCTTCCAATGATGATACTGATTCATCATCCTCTGATGAGGAAAGTGATCAAACTTTTGCTGTTGCCACAATTTCTACAAAGGACAAGCAAAAGGAGGAAGTCGTATCCATGGATACTGATAGTGAATGTAAGCATTTGAATAATGAATATTTCAAAAAGATGCCTAGTAATAACATGGACACTAATGGACTTCTTTATCTACCTGTGATATTAGAATCAAAGAGTGGTGTTAAGGTTAACACATGGTTTTTGTTGGACACTGGTTGTACATTTAGTGCAATCTCGCCCAAGTTACTTGATTTCATGCAATTAAATGTTGTAAATAAAAATGGTATTATTAAGCTGGCTCAAAGTAACACTGTTGTTAATCGTAAAGGACAAACTGAAGAGGAACTAAAGATCAATTATGGTTCCAAAGTTGTCTATTCCAAATTTGAAGTTTTTGACTTATTTGATGATGTCCATTGCGTGTTTGGCATGGATCTATTATATAAAGTTGGTATTACATTGGGTAATATTGCTGCAGATTGGTCTGATCGAATTGGATATGAGATTCCTGATATTGAACCCAATCCATACAAACCAAATGAGGATCCTTATGGATCTAAGGAAGAGCGTCAATTGATGATGAATGAACTACAGCCATTCATTGATGCAAACACTAGTATCAGCCCTAAAGCATATTGTAATTTGCCTGATAGCGAAATTAGATTGCCTATAAAGAAGGATACTCCACTTTCGGACACATGTCGAAGACAATTTCCAATTGCTGAAGCAATGCGACCTGTGATCCAAAAGCAAGTTGAGAAATGGCGTGAAAATGGTGTGATCAAACGAGCTAAACCTAATACACCTCATAACTCTCCCATTTTCACTGTACGCAAGAAGAACAGTGAGGGCGAATACACTGGTAAAGAGCACCGTGTAGTGATTGATTGTCGGTTGATTAATAATGCATTGGATCCAGAGAAGCTTGAACGTTTCCCATTGCCTTTGATAAGTGATTTACATCGTAAAATGTCGAAGCATTCCCTCTATACGGTAATCGACCTATCGCAATGTTTCCATGCATTTAAGGTAGCTAAGGCATCAAGACCTTATTTAACGTTTACCGACATGAATGGACTGACGTGGTCCTTCTCTCACTGCCCTTACGGATTAACTATGGTCTCATCTCATGCCCAGAAAATTCTTTCTAATTTGCTGGCTGATCTAAGTAATGTCTGTACACATTTCATCGACGATGTCACGATCCATACTGAAAACGACCTACAAAAGCATACAGAGGTTGTCAAAACAGTTATTGATCGTTTGACTAGAGCTAACTTACGTATCAACACGGAAAAGATGCATATTGCACAAAAGAGCATCTATATTTTGGGTTTCTGCCTATCTAGTAATGGACTAGCACTCGATCCACGAAAGGTTTCCAACGTATTGGATTGGGATCCTGTCGTAAAGAGTAGTCGTGAGCTGATGTCTCGCCTTGGATTGATCAATTTCTTTCGATCCAATTTACCTTGCTTGTCAAGATTGACAGCCCCACTAGATAAGCTTCGAAACGCACATGATATAACCAAAGTATGGAAGCCGGAACACACTGCATTGATGAAGCAGTTGCAGGAATTGTTAGTCAGCTCAGCAGTGTTGAGTGTGCCCAACTTGAATTATCCCATATGTGTTGTAACGGATAGCTCTGCATATGCAATTGGTGCTGCAATGTATCAAGTAATCAATAATAAAGTCAAGTATCTTGGTTTCATTGCACGCAGTTTGGGACCATCAGAGCAACGATGGGGAAGCTCCAAACGTGAATTAGCTGCTGTTGTGTACGCATTCAAAAAGTTCCATCAATGGTTGTATGGACGCCCATTTCATTTGTTTGTAGACAATCGCGGTATTTTGTTCTTACATACAAAACCTAAACTGGATAGAATGGTTGAGAACTACTATGATACTATCTTTGAAATGGATTTCGATATTACGTTTTGCAGTGGTATTAACAATATATTGGCGGATACGTTGTCGCGTCTTTTCTGGCCATACAATACGCTGGTGGAGAGTGGTAATACACGTTCCATCAAGGATCTCGACAGGGAGATATTGATTAAACAGGATATTGTTAAGCAAAAGGGTAATAAGAAGAGAAAGAATACTCATGATGATGAGGTAGTAGCAGCTACTAAGAACAAGAAGCAAAGAGTACTGAATGAAGAGGAAAAGGGGAAAAAAGATATCAAGGGAGCACAAGATAAGAACACAGTTTTATCATGTGAGTCTTCCGGCATCTCCAATTCCAGTAAAGTAATCATTCCAAATAAGACTTCTGATCTATTTAATAACTCTAAGTTGACAGCGTATGCGAATTCATTGAAAGGAAAGAATGAAGATTTTTACTTTTGCGTCAGTCATTTAGATGTTTATCAAACGCCTACAACTGATGAAGAGAAACAGAGCATATTAGAAAAATCTCATCTGCTAGGCCATTTCGGTATACATGCTATGGAGCAAGTAATACACCAAGATTTGAACATGCATTGGAAAGGGTTAAGAGAGGATATAACCCAGTACATCCGTAATTGCCACAAATACAGACAGTTCAATCTAGCAAAGCATGTATATCATCCTCCAAAGCAAGAAGCGCCTGAAGGCATTATGGATCATGTTGTGTTTGATCTAGGTGGTTTCGATTGTACAACGCCTAGAGGCAACAATTTTATCCTTGTGGTATTGGATCTATTTTCACGTTTTATTGTACTGCGTGCTATTCCTGACAAGTCTGCTACGACTGTTGCAAAGGAATTAGTGTCCATATTTTCCCTGTTAGGCTACCCTAGGGTGGTAGGACATGATCGTGGAGCTGAATTTCACAATGTCCTGTTGGAAAAGATCCTGAAGCATGCAGGAGTGGAGAATAGAGCTAGTTTGGCCTTTACACCACAAGGCAACAGTTGCTGTGAAGCGGCAGTTAAGAATTGTAAGACAATCATCATGAAGATGTTGGAAGGTCGAAGTGAAGATTGGGATCTGTACCTGAATGGAACAGCCTTAAGCTTAAATGTTCACAGATCGAGATTACACGGAATGATGCCATTCGTAGTAATGTTCCACAGACTACCCAATGAGTTCAAGGATTATCGAGGAGATAAGCCTGTTCTTCATGAGAAAGAAATTGATGTGAAAGCATTCAAAGAGAAGCTAGATCTTATCGATAGAATCATTGTACCAGCAATCAGAGATCAGATAATGAAGACGCAAGATAAGGATAGTAAATACTTTCGAAAGAGACACAGAATCTTGGAAAATCCTTATCCTGTTGGATCTACTGTGATGATAAAGAATATTGAGAACAAGAACAGAAAGACGGATCCAAATTATGAAGGTCCATTTTACGTTCATGGTCATACTAGAAATGGAAGCTATATTCTTACTGATAGAACAAACTCGTTCTTAGCTAGAGATGTACCTACGCAGCAAATCAAGTTGATTAGCACAAGTGATACTAGAGACAATCCTTCAAATGCGTATGTCGTCGAAGCTATTATCAATCACAAAGGTAGCGCACCCAATTACAAGTATTTGGTAAAATGGAAAGGTTATAGTGAAGATTGGAATTCATGGGAACCTCCATCTATGTTTGATTCTCCTGATGTGGTCAAGCAGTATTGGGCGCGAGTAAATGCTAATAATAGCAAGACATCTAAGGGCAAGGCACCGAAAGCTCTGAGTACCCGAGAGATTGCTACGCGAGAGACTAAATCAAGAAATAAGCGCGAAAGGTTATTAGCTAAAGATGATGTATAATTGTTTGGTGAAAGGCTATACCTTTTCCTGTTCACAGTTCCTTTTGTCCCATCGGGTTTTGGATGTGTATAGGTTTTTAACGGTTGCCCTAATGATTAATTATCTATACCAATAATCTATACATAAGTTATATATGCAATTCATGTTTACTATACATAAGATTAATCAAGCAGTAACATGCACCAGATTGTCATATATTAATGATGGTTTTCTTTTTTTTTTCTTTTTTTGTTATGTCGGCCTATTATATACTATATGAACTACTACAACTACAATCTACTACAACAATGGTTATGTCCAAGTTTCGCATGTGTCTTATGCTGGTGTGGGGTGGTGTTATATCAAATGTCATAGCAAGGTCTCACACTAAAGGTTTTAGGCTATTCTTAGGTCCTTTGGGTAAATCATGCTAATCATGATTTACAAATCAATTGTTGGGTAGATAGTAAACCTATTTGTATTATAGTTCATCGTCATGCTGTAAACCCTAGCATAATGAAAAGTATATAAATGCATCCTTGGGATGCATTCTCAATAAAAGTGTAATTCTTTGGCAGATTCAATTTTACATTGTATTTTGACATAACAATCGATATTAATTGTCCTTATAGAAAGGATAGATCAGGGTACTTCGGATGAGAGTCTAATTATTCATCCAGGCAAAAGCTAAATCATGATGAGCTTGCTGGAGTTGTCTTTTAGTATGATTAGACATTAGTTGATCTGAGTTGACTTATTTGTCAATCTAATTAATAGAACTCTTATCCATTGTTGTAGTATATAAGAAGGATCATCTACCTGGCCAGTAGAGAGACTTTAGTTTATTTTACACCTGTCAGTTTGATAATAAAACATACCTTTATCAAGTCGACTTTACTGTTTTTTTATTCTTTTTTTTTTCCGTGAATTTTAGTTTATAAAGCCTCAAATTCCACAGATACACGTTATTATGTCTAGTTTTACGACTAGATATGGCATCTTTGTTATAGACGAGTATCAAAAGTGTCTTGCTGCTGATCTAATGAGCATCTACTTCAATCCGAGCAAGTAGTTGGATTCATATTTGCATAATATCATTGACGCCCAAGTCTTAAAATTACGGTAACCGCGCATTCGAAACAGAAAGATTTGCACTATAGGATCAAAATAAAAGCTCCTGTCACTTAGGAATTGAGTTTCGTACAATGTAAAATATCTGGGTCATCAGACAGAGCTGTAATTTGCTTACTTCTTTGGCAGCACAACCTACTACGCTCTCTTTTTAGGTCGAATCTTGTTCAAAGATAGCCCTTTTCAAACACGAATAACTCATGCTATAAAGCGTTTTGGGCGCTTAGAATAGCACTAAACGGCTCCTCTTGACTGCGCTTTATTTAGGGATGCTTTATCGAAATTTTTTTTGGGTCATTGCAAATTCATGAAAATTCTCATTTTTACATGAGTACTAGCAAAGGAAAATTTCTGAAAGTCAAACGATCGCAATTTTCACACCAAAAATGAAGAATTTTTCTATAATACATATTGGATCAAATTGATTGTAAAGATGAAATGCAGCACTGGAAATTCTTTTCAAGAGACTTTTATATGTTAGATTTTGATATATTTACAGAAAACCTGTTTTCATATTTTTGCAAATTGCTCATTGTTTTTTGTCCGAAAGTTGAAAGTAATTAGCACCATTCGATGCGACTTCTTTAGTTCTCTAGAGATGTATTAGAAAGTTGGGTGTGGCAATGACAGTTTTCATAGTCAAATTTAGCAAAAACGTTTAAAGGATGTGAGATCAAGTTAAGTTTGAACACGAAAATACCCATTACACAAATTCAAATTAAATTGCCGCGTTTACTGCTGCTACGGCAAAAGACTGAGACCAAACTCACTGGCCGTGACGTCAGATAGGGCACCCTCTCATTTTTCTATACCCTCCAATTTTTTTTCCCCTTTTTGCAAAACGCGTTTAGTATCAAACCATGGTGATTTTGGAAAGCGTTTATTAATAATAGCACTCTAGCTTCTGATAACGCTGTATTGTACTGTGAGATACTTGGTGCTGCTTCTTTGAAGTGGAGTATGTTAGGTACCGTTTGATAACGAGCACTGGAAGGCATAATAGAATTAACACTAATTGAATTTGTTTATTAGGTTTTTTTTTGATAATTTTTTTTGCTTGTTTGACGTGGATGCTGCTGCCATTCCTTTTCTGATGTCTCTGCTGTCTGCTTCTTTGGTCTTTGTCTAGCCTCTGCTGATGTCGCTCGTTCTTTGGTCTTTGTGTGATCTCTGGTGTCGTTCGTTCTTTGGTTTTTCTATGGTGCTGGTATTACTGCTGGTATTACTGCTCCTGCTAATATGGTCTTTCCTAGTCTATTGTCTTTGGTGCATGCTCGTTCTCTGGTCTATATCCGGTGATTGCGCATTCTCTGGTCTATCTGTGGTGGCGGTAGGTGGTAAGTATCTTCTTTCTTCAGGTCGCAATGATATAAAACTTCTTTGAACGTTTGTATTATTGCTTCCTTTCTCATGATAATGCATTCATGATGTTTTCTTTGTTGCGTTTTTCTTTTTCTTTTGTTGGTTGTGGTGCCTCTATGGCTTCACATGAATCAACATTAGTCATTATGTTCTATTGCAGACTTATAATACCACTGTTGCTTTTGCAGTTGTGCGTGTTTGTGTTGCTTTACATCTGACTATTACCATGCATGTTGCTCATGTATGCATTTTTGTTGCAACAAAAACGAGCTGTTCTGAACATCTCTAATGTTGTATTTCTTATGCTTTTCTTTGACTCACTTTGTGTGAGTGTCCATTTTTGCCTACGTACTATTATAGTCCTATAGTAGTATGTTCTTTTCTTCTTTCTTTTATTACTATTATGTTTCTTTGAAGCATACCTTTTTTTACGTTGTGTGGATGAGCCTATCCCTGAAGCTCAACAAGACTCTATCCGAGGCTAGGAGGTAGATAGGCTGCCTCCACTTGGTTATCACTACTTACTTTAGTGATGATTGAGGGCCTCAATGCCTGAATTTAAAGCTAGGTGGTGTAAGTAAGGCATGCTCTAGCACTTGGGGGAAGTTTGATGATAGCAGCGGCTATAGTGCTATTATAGCGGCGCTTAAAATTTTGCCTCACATCAAAACAGGGGGAAACCCTCGCAAAATTTTTTTTAGGTCAGCGGAGTTTTCAAGCGATTTGATTGGCTCAGGGGCCGAAGCACCAAAGGGTTGTAACTAGTTGATTTCCTGTTGATCTGTCATTTAATACCATGATTTTGTATTTGTAATAAAATGGTAGCCAAATGAATATAATTCAAGTACTTTATTTAAAACTATGGAATAAGATGTAATCATTTGATCTAGCATGTATTAAACAGTAGCATGTAAGGGATGTTTCTTAAACTTGATATTATGCGGTAGTGGAGAAGTTATATACGTATTTCTTCAGCACAACAGTATGCTTCTTGACGCATACAAGCATACATCTTAGGCTATATTCACTTTCTCCTCAATCAAGCCACTTTAACAGTGTAGTAACATAGATGATGCTTGTCGTATTACATCTGATCTATCAAAGTGAAGAATCGCAGCATTTCCTATTTTGGTCCAACTGTCCACCAGCAATCCATCAAACATAACAATGAAGCTTCATCCCAACAAGTATAAAGGTAGCCAAATCATGTATCAATAGAATGGTATCTTTTAATTGAAATTTAATTTTACTGACTATTCAATTCTGATATATCAACATCACATCCATGTTTACAGGTCCTGTTAATTGTGTATGCACAGACGTCTCAGGAACTACGATAGAATCAATCTCCCTAGTAATGTCAAGATGTCGGGATCCACCTATAATATATGAAACATATCACCTTAGGTAATGTCTCAACTAGCCATACCATTAATTAGTATGGTTCCAGTGGCCAGCTATTTATATACCATATCAACATGGTAGACATTGACCAGGAATTCATCATATCTAGGCTAAGCTAGTAAGATGCCATGTAATAATGAAGCTGTTTGCTTTTGCTTTACATACAATTGATAACTGATTATTTCGTCGACTTTAATATTACGAATTTATCAATGCTAACTATTTCGCGACCAAATAAACGCTTTTACTGCTGAGAGCTATAGTGCAGTGTTTTGTGCTTTAATGAGTATACTTTTTTTTTCTGCTGAAAATACATACTGCTACAAAGTTATTCGATTTCACAATCTCTTTGCAGAAAAATATTAGCGAAAGTGATGAACAAATGTCTAATGATATCGATGAGCTACAGCGCTTACACATATAGTGACAATTAAACACACATTTATTATTGCTTGCTATGCGGTGATATTGTTGCTATAAGTTGTCATGCACAAAAACACATGAGTAATACTAATTGGCTATGATGACATTTCTTTCAGCGTTAACCTCTCTGCTATGTAGACTGTTCTGAAATCCAGAGGATCTTCTTTAGTAGCATTCACTCCTAACCCAGTTGGCAATTCGAGCTTGGACAAGTTCTGGCATGGCTTGACATGGATAGTCATTGGAAACGTCGTTTGCTTGGAAAGAGCTTCCAAGGACGGCGAGCTCTCCAAAAGATTGACCAGCACTGTGTTTTCTGTGGGTGATATCCATGATGGATCATTTAGCTGTTCTTAGGTTAGAGAGAATGGAACGACGATCAGCACTTTTATACACAAAGAGCAATTTTAGTAGTGGTCGACTATGAGTACTAAGCAACATACATCATGCCTAGTATGTAAACGATAGGGTACTTTTCATCCACCAGTTTAATCAGTCCATCTGCTTGCGATTTGAAGTTGAAAGACATAATGCAATCACTTAAAATGATATACCGAAAACATACGCTAGTAAATGCCGTTCTTTCCAGTGGCAATCAAAGACATTCTATAGTTTTAATGCTCTGCCTTATCGATTGCCCCAACTAGCCCATCTTTCTATCAAGATTGAGATGCAAGGCTTAACCTTGAGGATTCAAAGTGCCATCCATCACTTGTATACTCATGAAAAGCAGTCGTTTCATAGCTTCATCCAATAGCTATAATTTTCCATTGCCTTCAATGGAAACAGGGTGACGCATTTGGTTGGTGGTAGTGTACAAAAAATTTGTCCTATTCTGCTTTTACGACAATTTCTTTTTCTTTCTTCAATTCTATTAAATTATATTGAAAAATGGCTTCGCTTTCAAGGTAAGTATATACATCCAGCAAATCAACAAGATGTGCATTTACTAAATGACAGCCAGTCTTTTGCCAAAACCTCGTCAAACGTTAGCTTCAGCACCATCCGCTGCACCCCAGTTGGAGAAGCAACTAAACCAGCTCATCACCAAGTCAACTCAAAGCCGTATTCCACCCTATGGTCAGCGTAAGAGCTTCAGACCTCGAGTTTCTGAGGATTTCGGAAATGGCGGCGCTTTTCCAGAGATCCACATTGCACAATATCCTCTCAATATGGGTCGCAAAGATCAGAAAGCATCTGCCGATCGTAAAGGAGGTGCTTTGACACTGCAAGTAGACGAAGATGGCAATGTGAAATACGACGCTATTGCAAGACAAGGTCATAGTGATGATCGCATTGTTCACAGCTCCTACAAAGACATGGTTCCCATCAACGAACGCAAAGATATGGATGTCGACAAACTAGTGATGGACAGACCTGGCGAAGAAGAAGTACAAAGCGTAGCTGAAAAGACGAGATTAGCACTCGAAAAGATTGTCAACACCAAAATCAAAGCACTACAACCCAAAAATGTGGGACCGCCCAACGGCAGTGGCACCAACAAGGATCCTACTTACATTCGTTATACACCTTCACAGAGCCAAGCTGGAGAAGGATTCAACTCTGGCGCCAAACAAAGAATCATTCGTATGGTGGATGCACCCAGCGATCCCATGGAGCCACCTAGCCATTTACACAAAAAAGTGCCTCGTGGACCACCCTCACCACCAGCCCCAGTTATGCACTCACCACCTCGTAAACTAACAGCAAAAGAGCAAGCCGAATGGGTCATTCCTCCTTGTGTTTCTAATTGGAAGAACACCAAAGGTTATACCATTCCACTCGATAAACGTTTAGCTGCTGATGGCCGTGGTCTGCAGGAATTGACCATCAATGACAATTTCGCCAAATTCTCTGAGGCCTTGTACGCTGCTGATAGACACGCTCGTGACGAGGTGAGACAGAGAAACTTGATGCAGCAAAAGCTAGCACAAAAGCAAAAGGAAGCTGAAGAGGATAAACTTCGACAACTTGCACAAAAGGCCCGTGAAGAGAGAGCTGGTTTCAAGCCATCCACATCTGCTGCAGACACAGCACCTGCAAACGCCAACCGACCTTCCGCTTCATCACTGATGGTAGACTATGACAGCTCTGACGAATCTGGATCCGACAAATCTGATAGTGAGGATGAGTCTCCAGTGAGACGTGCTGTTGAAGATAGCGATGAGGAAAAGGCAAGAGAACGTGATCAACTGAGACATGAGCGTCAAAAGCAAAGACAAAGGGAGATGCGCATGAGCAAAATGGGTACAGAAGCAAAGGCGAAGCATCTTGCTCGGTAGGTTTTTGATGGCATTTTTGGGTTAGTAGAGTGTATACTCACTCTTTTTGTACAGTGAATCTGGCCGTGATATCTCTGAAAAGATTGCATTGGGTTTGGCTAAACCATCTCTGAGCAAAGAGAGCATGTATGATGCAAGATTGTTCAATCAGTCTGAGGGTATTGGATCTGGTTTCAAAGATGACGATGGTACGCGATATTTGACTTGAAGAGTGCTCTGCTGGCCTACTTACGTTGTTTTATTCTTGAATAGCATACAACACATACGATAAGCCATTGTTCAATCAATCAGGATCATCCATTTACAGATTTAGAGGCGACAACAATGAATCTGAAGTGTTGGGCAGCACCAATGCAGACGACCTCGAAAGATCCATTAGACAGGACAAATTTGGCGTTCGTAAAGGATTCCAAGGCACTGAAGGTGGAGAAAGCTCTAGTGGACCTGTTGAATTTGAAAAGGAGACATTGGCCCAACCAAAGAAGGTCGATAAAGATGTCTTTGGCTTGGATACCTTCTTGAACAAGGCAAAGAAGGGCAAGAGAGCACGTGAAGACGATGGCGACAGCGATGACGACAGACGCAAACGATAATTATTCACCCTTCGTAATCACTGTAATGCAATGCTCAAGTACATAATAAACACTGTTTTTTTTTATTACCACATGAATCGTTGTAATTGATCTGGCTGATTTGTCCACACAAAAGGTTTGTACACAAACAGATAGACAGTAACAAGATGGATAGAGAAATATAACCCCAGGCCAAGGATCGTGCGTGGTGTTTGAGTGGGGGGTGGAATATGCACCATATAAAACAGAAACGGAATGATGAAGTAACGGAATTCAAGTAACGGTGACGGGACTAGAGTGAGTACAAGTGCAACCAAGTACCCAACAACCAGTAAAAAGCTTGTATGATTAGCTATATACAAGAGTCAGTGCTGCTGGTCTGTTATCCAGTGGTTCCCAGCTTACCAAATGCCTGGATGTTCAAGAATTCACTCACTGTGTACACAGGAGAAAGCAAGTAGCGCACGGTCCAGTGGCGCCTGTAGATCTTGTGCCATACATAGAAGGTGTAATGTCGATTGTCGCTCAGGAGAAAGGGATGCTCATGTCTAGCAAACAGATCAGTATTAGAGGTCGGTAGAATTCCAATACTACTCACGTATATCGATGGACAAAAAATAATGTCAGCAGAGTGGATGCGATACCATAAACAAAACTAATACACATCAGCTTGGAAGGATGACTTTTTGACAGGGGATTTACCTCTTGATGCTAAGCAGCTTCAATACTGATGCCAGAGACAATGTCCAAGGAGCTGCAAAGAACGACAAGAAGGATGAATAGTAGAACAATTGAGGGAAATGCAAGCCAGCAACATGATTTGAGCGATCGCCCAAGACGATGCCGCCATTCCAAACCAGAAATAAAGCAAATGAGGCCATGCCCAATAGAAAGGTCCAGATGGCAGGTAGCACAATCCTAATGTTCACCAGCGTGTTGGCAACGAGGCTGTAAATAGACTGCATTGCTTGTGCTGATGAGTGCGGTTAGATTGACCGGATGGCTCTTAATGGCCCTGAATTAGTTTACCTGGCTGGTGGATCGATGCGCATGCTGGATTGTACAATGCAATGCTGGTATCTTCGTTCTTTTTGCTATTGCTGACATGGCTTAGGATATCTATGATGGTTACCATCATAAAAAGGCACAGCCAGATGACATTGGTTTGACGAAATGTCAGTGAAGCCATACTGATAATACCGGCAAGTCTGTATCTCTTCTTTTTCGCTAGTAAATAAGACTGCAAGACTAGCCATGTGGATCCAGGATCAGTGTAGTATAGAAAGTTGTAGAAGAAGCCAACAGGGAACCATGTCAATGTCAGTGCATACATGTGTGTTCTCCAGTCATGCTTGATGGCTGGATGCAACGTGATGACCAGAGAGATCAGAGTGAAATACAATCCAATTGAGAACAGTATATTTGTGAAACGCAATGTATTTACAGTACAGAAATCATAGCCAAACATGCCACCTATCCAGGCCATCCCATTACTGGCCAGATACCTAGAGCAACTTAATGTCAGCATGCCGACAGATCAAACATTATAGGTACTAGCATGCCATACAGCCCTGGTGGTGTTGTTAGTTTTGGATCCCAGGTGTAGTAATCACCATGACAATACTGCTGTGCCTGAGGTACGTGAAATATCTCGTCCTATTATAGAAACATGAGCATATGAGATGATGGCCATCTTGTGCGTTTTGTTACCATGTAAGGTTCAGGTACATGTCGATTGATGAATTGAGATGTGGCTATTAGATTCGCTACATGTAGAAGGAGAAATAGCATGGTGCAAATGTCGAGCAGGATGAGAGAAGAAGCGAACGCCAATCTCGAGTTTGAAAGTCCACTTGAGCTACCTTCCATCAGACACGTTATAACAGTTTTGTAAGGGTATCATTGGTCAGTAAAATGGAGGGAAAAAAAGACAGCAGCTTTTGAAGGGTCAAATGTGAATAAGCTTATTTGTTGCAACAAGCTACTCTTGTTCTTTCTTTCTTTTTTCCACTATTTTGCATCGAAAAAAACGAAACAAAGAAATCAACACTTGCAAGAAAGGCTCATATTCTATATCTTTTCTCTATTCATAACACGGTACATCTCTCTCTCTCTCCCTCTCTCTTCTTAAACAATGACCTCAAACGAATCTTTGGATAATTTGTCTCCTGCTGCTAAATTAGCTCTTCTCCACGCCCAAGCTGCTAATCCTTCCACCAACCAAGTTGAACAAGATCCTTTCGTCCCCTCCCCTGATGATCCTGTTGTTGTTATGGATAACTCTGCTTATGAACCTCTCATTGCTGGCGATTTTCCCACTCCCATTGGTAAGCCCATCTCCTCCATCCCTGCTCCCAAGAAGGAACCTGCTACCAAGAAGAAGCTCGACTTGAACTCTGAGTCTGCTTTCCCTTCTCTCTCTGCTTCTCCTCGCGCTCCTGTCGCTAGTGGCTGGTCCTCTGCTGCTTCTTCTCGCGTGAAGGCTCCTCAAGCCGCCTCTGGTTCGCCCCGCTCAAGACCTATGGCTCCTGCTTCTGGTAGTGTCAAGAAGTCTGCTGCCACCCAAGTTACTGATGTTCTCGAGTTGCCTGCTAACCAACAGATTTCCAACATGGCCAGCAAGCCTCTTGGTTTCAAGAGCAGTGCTGATGTGATTCAACAAGTCATCAACAAGACAGGTACCAACATCATTGCCTCAACCAACCGTTCTGGCACCACCACCTTCCTCATTCAAGGTACTCCCAACGATGTTGCCAGAGCCAAGAGAGAATTGATTGCTGGTCTTGTCGTCAAGGTAAGTTTGAATTAGCGTTGTTTAGATTGATACAAGGTATTGACCTATTGCGTATGCGTGTGTGTGTGTGTGTGTGTGTGTGTCATCTAGCGTACTGTCGAGATTGCAGTTCCTGCCAACACGCGTCGTTTCATTATTGGTGCCAAGGGTGCCAATCTCAAGCAAATTGAAGCTCTCTCCAACACCCGCATCAACTTTCCTCGCAAAGAAGATGAGGAGTTTGCTCACCATGACGAGGATTCTGATGAGGCTGTCATTGTCACCATTATGGGCGATGCTCAAGGCATCAGAATGGCCAAGGAGGAAATTGAAAAGATTGTTGGTGAAAAGGTAAGCAATTATTAGTGTGTAACAGTGTGCAAGCGCAGTACGAGATATTGATTGTTCTTTTTTTTTTACCACTCCTAGGCTGCCAAGCAGACCATCAAGATCGACAACTTGGATAGCAAATACTACCTTTTCCTTGCTGGCCCTCAAAACAGCAACATCAAAAAGTTGGAGGAGGAATACAATGTCAAGATCCACATCCCTGCTGTAATTGTGGATGGTAATACTAACCGTGTAACTGCTATTTCCATCACCGGTGATAAGGAAAAGGTGCAAGCAGCCAAGCAAGCTTTGGAAAACGCTTATGCCGACATTGAAAAGTCCACCCGCTCTGTTGCCATTAGCATTCCCAAGCAGCAGCACAAGTATCTTTACGGTAAGAACGGCGAAACCCTCAAGGAGATCTTGGCTGAATCCAATTGTACTGTGGAGATCCCTCCTCTTGATGATCCCTCCGAGAATGTCACCATTATTGGCCCAGATGCTGATTTGGTCAAGGGCTTAACTGTCATTATGGAGAAGGCTCGTTCTCATCATGTCGTTTTCCTCGACTTGGCTGAAAACTACAAATCCCATGGTAAAAACTCCATCAAGTATGCTCGCTGTGCTATCCAATACTTGAAGGCCAAGAACAGTCTTAAGAAGGTTGAAAAGGAGCACAATGTCGAAGTTGGCATTCCTACCTGGGATGAGATGATTAGAAAGGTCAATCTCGACTTTGTCAGCAAGGTTGAAAAGGATGCTGCTCTTGCACAAAAGGCTATCTCCAACATTGCCCGTGAATTGACTCCTGATCTCTTTGGCTCTGTCGACATTGAAGTCTATCTTCAACAATACATTCTCACCACCCACCGTGCTGCTATCGACCGCATTCAATCCAACAACAATGTCAGTCTTGCTGTTCCTACAGAAAGTGAAAACTCCCCTACCATCTTGATCGTCTACATTGGCGATGACAAGTCTGATGCTAAGGCTGCCATCGAGAAGGCCTCTGCTGAATTGAAGAAGCTTGCTGCTGACTCTTCTGATTACATCTCCAAGAGCACCAATATCCCCATCCAATTCCACGATGCCCTTCGTGGTCCCAAGGGCACTACTCTGAACGCCATCATTGGTGAAACTGAGGCTGTTGTCCGTTTCGGTCCCAAGGAAAAGGTTGAGGTGCGTGGTCTCACCAAGGATGTCAACCAGGTGATGGCTTCCCTTCAAAAGGCCTTTGATGCTGTCCAACAAGACGATTTTGCTAAGCCCTACACTGCCGAGTTCTTTATTCCTGCCAACTTTTCAGCTCATATCATTGGTAAGGCTGGTATCCACATCAACAAGCTCAAGGATGATCTTGGTGTCAAGATTGATATTGGAGAGAACAACAAGTCTGAGGAAAAGACTGTTACCGGTAAGAAGGACAAGAAGAATGCCGAACCTGTCAAGGTTGTTATCCAAGGCCCCAAGATCAATGTCGAAGCTGCCAAGGAACGCATCAATTCCCAAGTCTCTAATTTGGCTGACCAAGTGACATTGTCCCTGAAGGTTCCCAAGGCATTTCATCGTTTCTTGATTGGTCCCAGTGGCCGCTATGTCAAGAAGCTCGAAGACAAGTACAATGTCTTTATCAAATTCCCTAAATCAGGTAACCGTGGTGATGAAAGTCCCTCTTCTCCCTCCCCTACCAACCCTGATGAGATCACTGTGCGTGGTGGTAAGAAGGATGCTCAATCCGCCAAGGAAGAACTCATGGAACTCTACGAATACGAAAAGGAGGAGCAAGAAAAGAGAAAGGAAAGAGAGCAAAAGCACAAGGAATACGAGGAGAAGCGTGCTGCTGAAGATAAGAGAAGAGCCGAGGAGAGAGCTGCTAGAGAAGCAAGAGATGCTGCCAAAGAGGCTGCCAGAGAAGCTAAAAGAGCTGAAAAGGAAGCTGCTGCTGCTGCTGCCAAGAAGGAGTAAATGCCTTATATACACACATTATTTCAAATCACTTTTCTTACAATTGTCATAAGAGCCATCGCTCTCTGTAGTTCCTCTTTTTTTTTTTAATCTTTATTCACCTATTATTTCATCGTATCCGTAACTTTTTTGTATTTAGAAGAAAAAAAAATCGCAATAAATATATCACAAGCTTTTGAAGTGCAATATCCCTTTATTGAAATTGGTTTCCCAGGTGAAAAAACAAGAGTACAAGCTTTGAAACGCCCATTTATCCTCAACGAACAGACAATTCAGGTGTCAAAAACACTGGATAGAATTGCTTATCCCAACGGTGTCTATCGTATTTAGATATACGACATTGACAAGTTGAGCAATCCCTCTAAATACTATGATGAAGTCTTGAGATATTTGAACCAATATGGCGTAGTAGTGGAACTGCATCTACATTATGCTGGAGTTGGCGACTGGTTTACTGGTGAAGGATGTGCCATTTGGATTGACAAGGAAAATCCAGCCTGTGAAGAGTTTGGATTTTACAAGCATCCCAAGTTGGATTTTGCTGTAGATATATACAGAGTAAATAATTAGCTCGAATGACTTTACTCTAAAAAAAAAACATTTGTCATGATAATTTGCTGAATAAACACAAATGTATACTTTCAAAGCCTTTATAGTGTCTCAAATCTCGAATGATTTACTGCAACTTGATAAGGAGTTATAAATTCTGCTTGAGCAAAGGAAAATGTGTCGTTTTATCCATCTATAAACATAGCGATACATTGGTATACATTGCATTGTATGTTTCCGTATGTATCTCTACTGGATAAGTCTTGTTGATTTATAAGCTTAAATGTACATTTCCTTCATTGATTGCGAGGCAGCTACAATGTCGGAAGAGGTATCTTGCTCTTGACCATCCTGAGGCTTTGCTTGTTGTTTGTAGCCGGCCTTGCGAGCTGCTTTAGCTCTATCTTTCATGAGTTTGTTTTCCTTTTGTCGTTTCTTTTGCTCTTTTTTACGCTCTGCTGCTGATAGTTTCTTGGGTTTTACTGGTGGTGCTTCTGATGGCTTTTCAAGCACATTCTGAGGATCCTTTTCTTCTTTGGTCTCGTCTAAAAGTTCCTCGCCAGGAGTTTGTTCAGGTATGTCTTGGAGAACAGGCACGTTTGTTGAAATATTATCATGAATGGCAGTAGTTTGCTCTTTTTGTTCTAGTGTCTTCATCGGAATGGTCTCCTCTGGTGTTTGTGTTAATGTGCTCGCTTCATCTGGAGTACCAACAGTCGCTGGATCTGCTTTCGCTGGCTCGTTGTGCTCCAATTCATACATTGCATCGATGACCTTGTCAGGATCCCCCTTATGCTTGATCAATAATCTTCGAATTTTACGTATACTCGCATCAGGAAAGGCGCTTCTGACAACTTTTTCTTTTGAACTGAGCTCTTCATCCTTGTCCTCTTCGATGTCATCCTCTTTTTTAAAAGTTTCGTCATTATCTAAACTCTGCTCCATGGTCTATCAGCGAATTTTTGATTTAGGTATACATGCCATGTGTATGCGAGTGTAATCGGTACCTTGATTTCTGGTGGTCCTGAATAAGGCCCATCAATGTTCCTTACAGAGCTGTAGTGCTCCCAACTGTGATATCTGTGTATATGCTTGTCAATCCACAGCTCATACTTGTTTGACTAGGATACATACGCAATATGTAGTATCTGCCTTGGCTCTTCCTCTTCTTCCACCTTTTCATCTTCATCATCGACACCATTGATTACATAGCTACACATTTCAAGCATTAGGCTATAGTGCTGATGCCTAAAAGGATACACAAACTCACATCATGCCCGGCTGATACACTTTGATATCAACCTTTTTCAGTTTTGCGAATGCTGCCAGTTCCATATTTCCACTAAACGTTGCATCTTGAGACATGCACTCAACATGATGTTCAAAAGATTGATCGTCTTCTACGAAAAACTTGTATGTCTCTTCATTTTCTCGAAGATACTGGCACACTTCCTGTCTGATAGCCTTGTGGTTTCCATCATGGCCATAATACTGATCTGACAGCGATCTGTTGACAATGGTCAATACAGCAAGCACACGCCTATGATGTTTACATACCTGAATAAACAGTTACCATCGCCTGTGATGCTCTTTGTACATAGTCCAAGGTTTTTTAGCTGTGAATCTAGATTCTCTGGGTCGCCAAAGAGGGGTTTCTACTTCATGTCAGCAAAGGCATTCTACATGCTAGTTGTCACCTAGTTACATCCATGGCTCGTCGTTGTTTGCGAGTGAGCTTTTCTGATATGTACTATCCAATTAATGAAACAGTCGATTACGTTGTCTTTAATGGCGATATCCTACCTCGCCTTGTTCTCTTTTCTCTTCCTTTGGCCATGAGTGTTGTCTGTATATGTTGTGGAAAGAAAGAGAATAGACAGAGGACTTGTATTTCGTTCATTGTTCAAACAAGAGAGGGGTGTGTGCATAGCCTGTTTGCATTAAATGAGCATCGCTGCCCATTGTGCACTTTTCATTCCCTTTTTCGTTCGTTCAAAGAAGAAAGCTTGATAGATCTTGTTAACAAATATGCAATGGCGTACGCTCACATTGTTGCTTAGTGGTCTAGCAGTAATATACATTGCCATATTATCGCAGGACACACCTTATCTCCATCCAAAGATAGTCTACACGTCCAATTACCCGCCCATTTTCCCATTCAAACCCGACAAGCTCGTGCTTACTACAGTGGGTGCTTATATCTATCTAACAGCATTCAAGTATGAGGCAACTACACTGGGGAACAGAGGCTCTGTTGTGGGTACAGGCAGACTTAAGCTGGGAGTCAATGGTACGAATGATATTGACACATGGCATAAGCAATTAACGCATGCTCCTTTATAGGCACCATCAAGCAAGTCAAGAAGCCCCTTTCTAATTTGTTAACAGAGAGAGATTTACTAGAGACAGATGGTAATAGATTAATAGAGCATAGTAGCTTTTTTTTTTTGCTGACCATCAGCTATAGGATGGATACCCTGTTTTGAGCATGCATTAACAGGCCCAGTGTCGAAAGTGTCTATACGGAACAGCCATAACCAAGATGTCCAGACGCAATTTGCTGTACTGTATCACCAGATTGAAGACGATAACTCGTATCATTTTGTGAGGGTTTATTACACCACTGTCGACGATGGAAGCCAAGTTACTTTCGAGTACAAGGATATCCAATTACCAGGCACAACGTGGGTAGATGAAATCTCTTTGGAGAACAGTTCGTTACTGTATTCGAGGTATGATATACAAACGCAGCTGTCCATCGAGATCAAGGCAACTCATGCTGCAATTATGCAGAGATCCTGACCAGTACGAATTTCATATCATGACGTTACCGCCAACATTTATACAGCCACCACATACCACCTTGGTCTCGAACTACCCAATTGAGCACGGAAGACGAGTGGAAGGTATTAAAAACAAGAGGATGCCTTGTAGTGTAGTCATTGACAGCCACCATTGTGATTGCTTTAGAATGGTCGCAGCCTTACTCAACAGAGCAATACGCAACCCTGCTTTCTAGACTGTATTCACCTGTGTAATGTGCCTGAATAAGCAACAGATGCTTGCCATTTGATGCTAATGCAATCTTGACTTTTTATTAGAAACGATACATACAGAGTGTTTACATTGAGTGTGCACAAAACATCAGCTACGTTTTATGTCAACATCACAATTGCTGACAATGCCACTCTCATGAACGCAGATAACAAGCCCGTTAAGACATGGATACAGCGAGAAAAGGGCAAATCAGAGGTAGGTCCGAATGCAATCAGTAGCAAGCAAGTTGTCCTAAATCAGACATCTAGTATCCCGTCTATAACGAGGAAAGCATTGATTACGTCGGATTCGCAGATGTCAGCAATTATCAAAATGCAAGACAACAGGTCAGCAAGCTGGATATGCCTGAACTGTACTCTTCAGTCTCAGCAGGTGCCAACACAATTGTGTTTCCGTACATCAAGAACAAGTTTATTACTCTGGATTTCACAGATCGTATTGACATTCTCATGCGCATCAAAAAGGAAAAAGAACGCTTGTATTCCAACAATGGCAGAAAGAGCTTCCTCAACGAGTATTACTATTGGCAAGGATACGAGACGGTGGATGCCGAGATCAGAGGACTTCAATTGAATGATAACGACGACATGTTGGCACTCTGGACGGAATTCAACTATGTCTATATTTACACCAGGAAGAAGCAAGAAGTAAAGCCAGAAACAACGCTAGGAAAAATTGACCGATGGGTAGATTACTGGCTATCTGAAATGTCAGAGGAAGAAAAAGAATTACGAGAGGCTTATTTCCCTGCTCCTTGGCAGCTGGACATGGCCATCGCACCCATCAAGGACGAATATGGAAACTCAAAGGTATGTTCGTTGCAGATCACTCTTCATAAATCTTGTCTTAATAGCGTATATCGATAGTCCATTGGTACAGTGCAGTTTTGGAGGGACAAAGATGGAGATCAAGAAGCTCAATACATATGTGAGTTGTCAAAATATAATAGACCCATGAAAGATTCTCATCTGTGAACTGTAGTCGTTGCGCTAAAGAATGGAAATGTGAATTCGTATCGTGTAGACCAGCATGAACAACAAAAGACGGCTGATTTCTGGTCTTTTGCTTCTGAGAGGTGGGATATGCTCTTTGGTAAGTGATACGTGGCATGTCATTTGACTTTTGTTAACAACATTTCTAGCCATGTCCATGGTCATAGCCATTTTTGTATATAATGAATACCAGCGTCCATGAGAGGGCCCTTTGCAGTTTCTTTTGACTTTTCTAAAACATGTAACAATAAATCATTTAGATTACGATAAAAAAGTGTCGTCGTGACCTACCAGAAGGATATAAAAAAAAAAACTGCATTTAGAGCATCGAATACCGAGCAAGTTTCAAAAGACCTTTGTTCGTGCTTACAAGCATGCTCACGAGATCTTGACTGAAGAACCAGAACGACAAGCTTGTAATCATATCAACAAGGATGCACACATTTGACTCGACCCTCAAATGAGATTGGAGCTAATTGTTGATGAAGCTGGACACACTCAGAATCTACCAACTGACAACGAGATTGCAGCCATCATTCCCAATGAATATTCTGATGCATATTTTAGAAATATTTCTCTTCACATACTAACATATTTTTTTAGCCTGTGGTAATTGTCTCTTTTGAACGAATCAGTCAAACGCATGCTGCCGATATGCCATGTTGAAATGCTGCAAATCATGATTAGGAAGTTGCGATTGCTTATATTTTGGTCATGAGTTGGGGAGTCTAGTGTTGCAGATACAAAAATGTCCAACAAAAGCAAAAGAAAGTAATCAGGTTAAATGATAGTCCTTTTGATTTTGCAATTCCCATGTAACTAGCATCCCAATCACCATTATCATCAGAAAGGCATTTTGGTCAGCCAGCAGCAGAACCGTCCATCGCAGCCGGCCAAAATTCATTCAAACTCAGATTTTTTTTTTTCCTGTTCAACAGTGGCCAGATTTCGTCTTTTCTTCGACTTGTTTAATCTACTTTGTACTATTCGACTATAAAATTGTGATGATCACCCTACGCTTCCTAATACATTCTTGAAGTACTTTTCAAGACGCTTCCAATGGTGCTAACTGTAGCAAGAGTTTTGACTGAACTTGCCGAGCAATTTATTAAAATATGAAATAAAGTTTTTACCGAAAATATCCAGATTTTGCATATAAAATCATCATAAAAGTGTTTTCATAGGTTGCCTTGGATCAAGAGAAACGTTTTGAATTAATATATACCATAGTAAAAGTCTCTATTTTCAAGGTGAAAAAAGCGATCGCTTAATTTTCGATGGAAGCCATGAGGGGTACCTCATGCTTTTGGGTCGATTTTTGGCCATGTTTTTTTGGTCCTCAAAAAGTTGAGCAAAAGTGTCAGGAAGTAACTGCTATATCAGAGCAACCATTTGGTGCTACTTTGGTGTCCTAAAATGGCTTTCAACACGAGAAATTACTGCTCAAATACACCTAGATTTTGCTACGATTTGCACCATTTTGAGTATCAAAAGGTTTTCCAAGTGTGCTATTTGCCCATATATGAATTGTTCCTGATTAAGCATATGTATAGCATCATAGGAAAGCCAGATCTACAGTTGAAGGTCGTTTATGAAGAGTTTTCGGATGCTGACAAAAGGTTTGAACGCAAAGTTTCAATGTACATTATCAGGATGGCGCATTTTTTTTCCGCAAGAGTTTCTAGGCGTCAACAGACCCAAAGAGAGAGATATGCAAATCTGATACAAGCACATGTCCGACATTGATTTAATGTAGAGACAGAAAACTGTCTCCTTAACATGCTTTAAAATTGCTGATATATCAGGGCTTGATGCGTTCTATACAAACTTTAACTAATGCCACGTCTTAAAAGCTAGTAGATGCATCGATAGGCTATGTTCATCCCCTGACATAATTGCTTCAAGTTGACTGATGACATTTATGTAGAAACCGGCATTTTCAGTTGTTGAAGCACATTGGGTTACTCAAAAGCGTAGATGGCAAAAGTCAAAGAGCAACTGACAGTGTTTAGACACTGTACGACTGTAAACATATCAAATATGGAAATCCAGTAGATGTCTTGATTTGAATTTCGATTTGAAAATAGAGGAGGCTGCCCCTCTTTCGTTCCTACATATCTTTTTTTTGTTATCCCCCCTTTTTTGTCTCTTTATACGGGCAGAATGATAAAAGATACCCAAGGACAGACAGCGGCTGTTCAAGTAGGTAAGTCTCTCTTCGCTCTATTACAGGAGATTCCTGACTCATTCTGTGTATGCCTGATAGCCCTTAGAATTCGACCACTGACTGAGCGTGATCGAGCACAACCTCGCTTTGCAAATTCCTCGAGTAGCGATGTGCTGAGAGCCCAGGAGAACCATGTTCAGATTGTATCTCAAAACAAGTATTTTACCTATGACCATGTGTTTGGAACAGACACACAACAGGGCGACATCTTTGCTCGACTTGGAGAGAGACCAGTACAGAAATTCGTCGAAGGTATGTAAGCCTGGGTACATGAGATTTGTACATTTCTGGCTTAGAATCTAACAGACAACATGTATAGGCTATAATGTCACGATGTTGGCCTATGTAGATATCTTATTGTTGCTTCATGGCCCATATCAGAATCATTAAACCTCTTCTATTTAATAGGGACAAACATCATCTGGAAAGACATACACCATGGGAACAGCACAGCATACAGGTGCAACAGACCCAGAAGAAGATGGCATTGTACCACGAGCGATGGCACTACTATTTGACATCCTCAACCAACAGCAGCAGTCGGAACCATCATCAGGCTCGCCAGCATCCTCGGTCAATGGAAAGAGCAGTCTGCGCCCATTGTCTCAAATACACCATTCAAATCAGCAACAAAAATTAGTGTATAGATACTCTGTCAAAGTATCCTTTGTTGAGATTTACAATGAGGAATTGATCGACTTGCTCAACTCGGCACATCCCTCAGAGAAGCCACCAGTGACCATTCGAGAAGACACAAAGGGCCATATTTACTGGACTGGTGTAAAGGAAGTAACTGTGCACAGCACCAATGATGTATTGCAGTAAGATGGAAGGATTGTAGATGCAGACAGACCCGACATTGACTCTTTTTGCTAGTTTCCTGCAACAAGGCACCGAGAATCGAGCTACCGGCTCGACTGACATGAACGAGAAATCATCTCGATCTCACGCTATATTTTCTGTGACACTAAAGCAAGAAAGATGGGTTCCTACATCACCGCAATCCAGCAGAGCGGCGAGTCCTGTTACGTCCAAGCTACAGCAATCCAAGCAACAGCAGCGACTATCAACCACTGCAAAATCAAATGCCACACCAAATGCCGAGGATGGCGATTGGATCATCACCAGCTCGAAATTCCACTTTGTCGATTTAGCTGGTAGTGAAAGAGTAAGCTAATGCAAACGAGATGCTTTTGTATATATATATATATATATATATTGATATTGATATTTCATCTGTCAAATTAGTTGAAGAGAACGGCGGCAGAAGGAGACAGAAGAAAGGAAGGCATCAACATCAATGCGGGGTTACTTGCGCTTGGCAATGTGATATCGGCTCTCGGCGATCCCTCCAAGAAAAGCACTCATGTCCCCTATCGAGACTCCAAGCTGACACGATTACTGCAAGATTCGCTTGGTGGCAGTGCAATGACTCTCATGATTGCATGTGTAAGTCCTGCGGAATCCAATCTGTCAGAAACACTCAACACACTTCAATACGCCAATCGAGCTCGCAATATTAAGAACAAAATGGAAAAAAACGAGATGGAAGAGTGGATGACGACCGACAATGTTGATATGTTGCGAGCAACTATTTCCAAGCTGAAGAACGAGCTACGCAGCGTAAAATCAGCTCCCACCGCCAATAGTGCGAATAATCGAATGCAGCCACAATCACTAGAGTTTGATGATTTCTCGCCAACAGGGAGTCCGATGGCCAATCCTGATTTTGACGACTTGTACCATGAACAACACGTTATGATTGCAGATTTACAGCAGCAAGTGGAAGAATTACAAGGTGCAGCTGAATTCATCAAAGAGCGAAACATCATGGTGGAAAAGGAGCTCGTTCGACTGCACCAAGAGAGGGTCAACCCCGCTGATCAGGACTTTCAGCATTTGGTAGAGCCTGTCATTGAGGAGTACGAAAAAAGCATCTCTGGCCTGGAATCGCAATTAGCCATGATCCGTGCTGCACTCAGTCATTCTGATCAAGGCTTTGAGGAACAGCAATCAAAGATCGAGCAGCTGGAAATCGTCATTGACAGCCAAGAAAAAACGATCAATGAATTGCGACGACGAGTAGGGAAACTACTGGAGAGAAGGCTCAAGGATGAAACCTATATCACAGAGCTGGAAAAGAAGCTCATGGTGGCAGTGGAGGAGACTGTGCATGACCGAGAGATGCTGAGTGAGCTGAGAGGCAAGATCCTGAAACTAAAAGAAGTAGACGAGAATACAGAGCAGTATATCCATGATCTGGAAGGCCGTCTTACTGCCAGCGAGACAGAGCGGACCGAATTGAAAGAGAGGCTGGGTCAACTCATGATATCCACCAAAGAAGAATCAGCCGAGAACATGGAAGAGAAAGTGATGGTGAACCAAGAGTACCAAAAAGAAATGCAAGACCTGAAGCAAAAGCACGAGACTAGCGAAAAGGAGCGTCAGAAACTGCAGACACAGGTGGAGCAATTGCTGTTGGCCAACGTCGAGAATGAAGCCAAGGAGACCTCGATGGTAGCAAAGACTATCTCAACCTCAGACGAAAGCTATGAAAAGGACAAGCGCATAGCTGAACTCGAGTCCAACCTTGCCAATTTACAGCACGACCACCAGGATACCCTCAAAGAATTAGATGAAGTGCTCATGAGATACCAGGAAACTCTTGAAAGCAGCAACCCAGCGACCGAACAAGAAGTGCAATTACTGCGTGAATCTATTCAGCACCTGGAGCACGAGTTGGATATGTCAACCAAACGAGAAATGATCTTTAGGCAAATGTCAGAAGAGCACAACGAGTCTGCACAAGTCGAGCAAACGTTGCAAAAGCTGGAAGTGTCTCATGACAGCGTGTCCTTGGCTGATGTGTCCATGTCCAGTGACCATCACGCTATGGCACAGCAACAGCAGCAAATGGACAATGAGTTTGTGTTGCACAGCTTGGACGCACTTCAGCAGAAATACCAACAGCTCAAAGCAGATGTTCAGTTACAAAACATCAGGGTACAAGATGAGGATGATACTCCACAAGAAACCATGTTGGAGATACACACTCAATACGAGACTCAAATGCTGCGATACAAGCGTGAACTTAAGAATCTGACAAGAGTATTGAAGGAGATCAAACGAGTCAAGGCAGCTGAAATCAAATCTTCTCAAACTACTGCTACTTCCAACCCAGAGCACAAGATGCTGATGAAGAGCATTCAAGGCCTCGATAAGCAACTGACAGAACAGTACGACAAGATCAAGCTGGAAGCAAAGCGATTTTCAAATGACGTGCTGGACATGATTGCACACAACAGTGGGCTGGAAAACGAGCTTGGTGTCCTCAAGTCGAGAGAATCTGACCCAGTCAACAACACAGACACTTTTTCGTTGCCGAATCAAGTTGAACGCAACACAAACTCCAGTGTCTACAGTGACAATTCATCATTGCCATCTTCACCTCGTACCAGAAATTCTCTGATTCGTCCACCCACACATTTTAGCAACAGCAACAATAGTAACAGATCGTCCATTGTCAACTTGAGCAACACAAAGGAGGATACTATCGCCTTTAACACCAATAGTGATTCACTGCCTTCCCCATCATCAGCTGATCTGATTGCACAATATGAAAAGAATCGACATGCCTTGATGACACGATTATCCATTGCTAAACAAGATCTCAAGGCGCACCAGCTAGTTATTTTTGCTCTTGAAAACAAGTTCAAGACCTCAGAAATTGCATTGCACACTTGCAAAAAGCGCATTGAAGGTACGACTACCACTGTAACTGACATTGAGATTGAAGAGCTCATGTCCAAAATGGATGCCATGAAAATCCAGCTTGAATCAAGCGAGAAGCAAGAGAACAAATCAATATTAAACACGCAATCCTAACCATGTATATTATTACCACAAAATATTCCAATACCTTTAATTTGTTACTTTACTACCTCATTCAATACAAGACTTGTCTACTTTTTGAAACTTTGATATATTCGCATGAAGTCTATTTGGTGGATGCATGTAGAGAGAAAAGAATGCCAACTTGTGAGCGCCTGCGACATTGGGCGCTCTCGCATAGTAAACTCTGTATTGGATCTGTTACAGAAAGGCGTTACTCTAGCAGAATTGTTTTGCCATCCACAGTTATAGCTGAAAAACCTGAATTAATGCTGCTTTCAGCAAATGCAATTTTGGTAGGCTTTTGAAGATTTGATCTGACGTTTGACGATCTACTCCGGACAGCAACCAACGTAGCTGTACCGCCTATCCTTCCATCTGTAGGGCAGGCAGAGATCAATGCCCTTAGGATTCCTCTTTGTGTATAAACGAAACGCGCCCTAAGAAAGAATATCGATTTCTCCGTTTCGTATCATTCGCTGCTTTTGCTGTAGTCAGTTGTTTCAGGCTACTTGCAATTGTCATATTCTATGAGTTGCAGATCTATTCATTTATGCCAACATATGATACCTTCTATCGCCTTTTTTAATAAAGAGGCATGTGTAGTCTCATTAAAAGCTATGAGACCCAGGCGCTCCCATATCTTTTCTCGAAATCAAGTTACATGCGTTCAACACTCGCCGTTGATGCTTGGTACCGTTGTTTAACTGTTTAATCGCTACAAGATGTAAATGAGGTATAAATTTTCATCTTTGGTGGCGAGCTTACTATCACAGTTGAATACTCAAACATACCTTTTGTCCGCAGTATTCACTTGGTGCTGGGACAATATTACGATGGACAGATGCTGAATTGGAGGATCATTTTTGAAGCGGTGATCGTTGATGGAAAGTGCTCGAGATGTGAGGAATGAATCAAGTGCAATCTATGAGGATTTGATTAATTGTCTATTTTTCAGATGAAGGTGACCTTTATAATTCAAAAACAGGATTCCTGCTATACATGATGTTATATCATTTTAGGCATCTTGTGCTCATTACAGTCGACGAAACTAGGTTGGGTCAATAATTGAGTTGGGACACGATTACAAAAATGGGACACCAATGAGTATTGGTGTAATCGTGTCCCAACTCAATTTTAGTTGACCCAACCTAGTTTCGTCAATTGTACTAAGGTTTTATTGCCCTGAACGGCCATGACCTTGAAAAGTGAAAACTCAAATAAATTGGCCGAGAAGCAATATTCTAGGTGTAACTCCTCCCCTTCTTCTCCATCTGGTTTATAAACATTGACATGGATTATCAACTAGTAACAAAGCAATTGGAAGCATCCTCCCAAGAGATCGTCAGACATTTGGATATATTTTCTCAACAGGCTACAAAATACTTGTCTAGTCGATCCAATTTGGAGACTGTTGGAAAGATTACAGCCATTTCCGTAGCTACCTATGTCGTTGCAGATGTATGTCTCTATGCCTAAAGTTGTTACAAACACATTCTCATTGGTTGCTATAGAGGCTATACCAGGGCTTCTTTGGTCCACTCAGTAGTCTGCCTGGTCCATTTTGGAGCAAATTCATCGCATTTCCCAGATTTATATTCAACAGACCTCGTGGGACAAGGTAGGCAGTAATGAAGTATAAACTCCATTAGCTCAACAAGACATTCGCCCAGCTATCAGCGTGTATTAAGTCTTCATGACAAATATGGAGAAGTTGTTCGCTTGGGCCCTACGTTTGTGTCAATCGCTGATAAGAATATGCTCAAACAAATTCTCCTCACTGAAGATTTCCCCAAGGCCAAGATCTATGATGCTTTCCAAAGTAAGTGTACAATGGCTGAATTGCCTTTGGATGACTGACAGACGCATACGTGAAATAGAGAAGGGTGATCACACCTTATTCAGCACTAGAGACGTCGTTTGGCACAAAAAGAGAGTAAGTATGATCATCAAACATCATTTGATCACGTCATGCCATGTCTTGACAACAAATTTCATGTATAGAGAAGACTTGTTTCTCCCGCCTTTTCAATCAAATACCTCAACTCGATGGAGCCCCTCATGGCCAAAGTAGCCACGTCGTTGATCTACAAGATTGATAGCGAGATTGCACTTCATGGTGACAAGGACAACTACGCAAGTGTCGATATTTGGGGTTTAGCACAACGCCTTGCTCTTGATGTCATTGGCGAAACAGCCTTTGGACAAACATTCAATATGGTCGAAAACAATGATCATTTTGTTCCTAAAGCAATCACAAATGAAATGAGAGAAACTGCCGTCAGTGTCTTGTATCCTCTGGTCGCAAAATTGTTTTTGAAAAACGGCGGTCAGCCTGATCCTCAACTAAGAAAGGTAAGTTGTATATGATAGATATACGATTTGCGTCGTCTGACTTTTGTGTGATTTAGTTCATGACGGATATCATCCAAGATCGCTTGAAGAAGAGCAAAGAAGGGACAGAGCAGCGCAAAGATATCCTGCAATTCTTGATCAATGTCCAGCAGACAGCAGAGGCTGATGACAGCTTGACGGTTGACTCCATTATTTCTGAGACTACATTATTCCTGATTGCAGGCTCAGAGACAACCAGTAACTCGATTGGATTTGCCTTTATTCATCTCCTGCAAAATCCAGACACGCTGAAAAAGCTTTATCAAGAGCTTGATACTGTGGATTTCGAACCTGGCCAAGTTGTCTTACATCATGAACAGGTGAAGCATCTTCCGTATCTCAATGCTGTGATCAACGAGACATTGCGTATGGACAATGTTGCTGCTGCTGGTATTTTTAGACAGGTTCCCAAAGATACCATGCTGGATGGCCGCGTCTTTGTGCCTAAAGGTGTAAGTAATGCCATAGCAATGCTTTGCTTTATCTCATGTCTCATTGCTTTAGACAACCCTTGGCTGTAATATCCTGCATGCCCAAATCAACAGCAAGTACTGGCCTCATCCTCATAAATTCAAACCAGAAAGATGGCTCGAGAGCAACCAAAACAGCGGCGAGGTCAATGACCTTGAGGCTTTCTTTACATTTAGTGTCGGGTAAGGCGAGCCTCATGTAGCATCGCATGTCGCATTGATACACTAACTAGTGTTTAGAACAAGAAATTGTATTGGCAAAAATTTTGCCCTACAGGAAATGCGCCTTGTCATCTCCACCTTGCTCAAGACATTTGAGATCCAACCGATTGAAGAAGAAATAGAAGAAGCCAAAGAGCGACGACACTTTATCACCTTGACTGTTCCTAACAGCAAGTTTAATATCAAGATTAGACGCAGAGAATAAATACGTTTAATGCTTGACATGTTGTCATTAAGTTAAAACCAAGAAATGTTACTATTTCTTCTTGTTACTGGCCTTAACAAGTCATTGCTATGGAATATACCTACTATCACAACAATGGGGTTTGCTAATACTATCTTATGGCTTGTTGATCAATTAGTTTTGTAGTTTTGATATTACTATATCAAACTAAACTAATAGAATCGCTACGAGTATGTTTGAAATATATTTTCAATGTCCCAGATCTTTTGCTTTCAGAGGAGATGGCCATACTGAGCGCATTATGTATACTATATTGTTATTCCTGTTGTATCATCAAAGAATCAAAGGTTCACCTAATATCAATTCTCTGCGAATCACCCTGCCTCAGTTCCCATATTTGATAGTACTGATCGCATCACATCATGCTGTGCTCAAATTGGATTAAGGCTAACAGTTATCCAATGCAAATTCCATGCACGCTTCAATTTATCATAATGAAGAGGGAGAGAAAAAGTTGGTTTGGAGCTTCCATCTTTATAAATGCTGCCGCCAAACACTATTTTCATCTCTTCCTTGCATCCTAAATTTTACAATATGAACAGCACTACACAGGATCCGTTAGAGAGCGCCTTGAAAACCATGGACAGCACTAGATGTGAAAATCGCATCACAGCGTACTTTGCACATCTTGCTCTTGACCTGCTTGTTTAGAAATCAATCGCTGTTTCGAACTTCTTATGAATCGCACCTACCACTCGACTCTGGACTCTTTTTTGGTGTTTTAGCTCTTTTTTCATGCGATCCACTCCTTCCAAACAATCTGCAAGTGTATGTCAGCATTCTGTTAGACAACGTTTGGGCATTCGAACATCGAGTTTTTAAATATTGATGCTACAGCTTTGAGAGGAGCATGTTCCTAATATATCAGTTTCTGCAAGTACTTGCTGTTCTGTAGCGTTGTTGTAGTGTTTTGACTAACTCGATGGCATTCATAAAAAATTAAATTGAAAATGAGCATTCAAAAATTGGAGCATATCATGCTCAATTTAACCAGCGGCTACAGACAACGAGAAACTCGCTCAAATATATACAAATAAGTCTCTGTATTCAATGGTATCATCAAACACGGACAAGCTTGTCTGTTGCGACTTAGGGTAGGCGTCCTATGTGTAAACTGTTGGCTATATGTTTTGCATCAAAGCATCATCATAATAGCCTAATAAAATTCTGGTTCCTAAACACCTTCAAGGCCTCGAAAAGGAAAAAAGTTGACCTTGCAAGTATTTTCTTGGATTAGCGTTATTGAATTTAATACTCTCAAGAAAAATAGCATGGCTAACGATAGCACTAGGTAGGCCATCACCTATTTTCCATTAGTTTCAAGAGCATCTATTGTTGCCTTCATGAAAAGAAGGGCATTGAGTTTGCTAGCTGGTCCCACCAGCCAAAATTAATTCTAACTCAGACTCATAATCTGCTCCAAATTAGTCAGATTTTAGTAGTTTTTCGACTTGATTAAATTATTTTGCTAGATTCCACTATAAAAAATATGCTGATCATCCCATGCTTCTTTAAGCTTTCCTAGAATGCTTTTCAAGGCGCATCTAATGGTACCAAGCAAAAAATATGTTTTAAATAAACTTATTGAGCAATTTTCAAAAATATGAAATGCGGTTTTTGACGAAAATGTCAAGATTATGCATATGAAGTTTTCACAAACAAAGTTTCAGGGGCTGCTTTAAATCGAGAGAAACATTTTGACTCAATACATACCATAGTAGAAGTCTTTATTTTCAAGTTGAAAAATGCGATCGTTTGATTTTCGATGAAAACCATGAGGTACCCCTCATGTTTTTTGGTCAATTTTTGGCCATGTTTTTTTGGTCCCCAAAAAGATGAGCAAAGGTGTCAGGAAGTAACTGGTACATCAGAACAACCATTTGGTGCCATTCTGGAAGTCTAAAACGGCTTCTAACGCGAGAAATTACGGCTTAAATATACCTAAATTTGGCTGTATTAGGCACATTCTTGACTATAAAGGGACAGTGCCAGCATGCTGTTTGCCCGTATATAAAGTTCCTATGTGTATATGGATGTGGAAAATCACATGAAGGGCTCCCATGTGTAAGTGGCGAGTTACAGCGAAAGTAGCAGTATTTTTATAGGATGAGCAACGGCAAGCGGTAGCATGGGCTGCCGCTGCACAATTTGGTTCTCACCGAAGCAAAACCAAGACAGAGAGCCATCCGAGGCATAGACACACTCGTATACAACAGATATAACTCTACACTTGCTTACTTGGAGAACTGTATGTGTATGATAATCAGCTCTAGTATTTTGCATTCTTGAACCAAGTAATAGCGACTGTGTCCATATTCACTTGTCACTATTTGAATCGACATGCCTGGCACACACATCATCAAAACCCCTTATCACGAGCAGCTATATAGCATCATAAAAAGTGTCAATAGGCAAAGCGGATGGTTGTGCCTTGTGGTGATGTTTTATTACTAGCGTCTGTTCTACGAGTGATTTTGAGGAAATTCTTGGGGTCCAGAACCTGCTTCGGCTAAATAGGGAGATGTCGAAGCAATGATCGTTTACCATCCATCAAGCTATCCATTTGTCTACCTGTTGATGCTGGCTATTCAATCTGGTATAATCTACTTCACATTGAATGCATTTATACCTTGCTAAAAGAGGATAGAAGTGCTGCTTCCACTACATAATACATGACATTTGCCCATCTTAAATATTTCTGATCATCTATACTACATCTGCTAGGATTCGATGGCCACCCCACTGTTGCTCGCATGCCTTGGATCTTGCGAGCATAATGTCTGACATCTGCCAACCATCATCATCTGTAATATATTTACCAGAAAACTATATAAAAAACGTCAGAATGGCCAATCAGAGATCAGAGACGTAAAAAATTTAAAGCACTGAGTACCGTACAAGGCTTGAAAAAACCACCGGCGAAGCTAGCATTGGGGAGGGGGAAACTTGGTCCCTCCACCAAGAACATAACGCATCTAATTCAGCGTTTGGTAACGTTGACCTATAAGGGGGTTTTACCTTAGAAAAGCGAAGGTGCAAAACCATAGCATACAAGCAGCCAATTCAGCTTTTTATTTCTATTATTATTAAGCCTACCAATAACATAACGCATAAATATTTGTATGAAATAGTCTTACCAAAATCAATATTCCTTCTACTCGAACTAGAACTTGCACAGGCTGCAGACCTGTTCTTCCAGAAAAGTATAGCTACTAGAGATGTAATTCATACTATGTAAATAAAAGCTATAAAGCAAAAACATAACCAAATTTGACAGCTTTCAAGCTTTCATACCTTGACATGTAGACCTTTCTGAGCCACCAGAATAACACCAAACAATTGTATTAGAGTAATAGTAACTTCCTGACACCTTTGCTCATCTTTTTGGGGACCAAAAAAACATGGCCAAAAATCGACCAAAAAACATGAGGGGTACCTCATGGTTTTCATCGAAAATCAAACGATCGCATTTTTCAACTTGAAAATGAAGACTTTTACTATGGTATGTATTGAATCAAAATGTTTCGATCCAAAGCAGCCTCTGAAATCACTTTTATGAGGCTTTCATATGCAAAATTTCGTCTTTTTCGCTAAAAACCTCATTTCATATTTTACCAAATTGCTTGATAATCTCAATCAAAACACCTATTGCAATTATCACCATTGGAAGTGCCTTGAAAAGTACTTCAAGGATGTATTAGGAAGCGTAGGGTGATCATTACAATTTATGTAGTCGAATATCATAAAATAGATTAAAGAAGTCGAAAAAACACAAAATCTGTCCAATCTTGAACAGAAAAGTCAAACGAAGTTTGAATTAATTTTAGCGGACGGCACTGCTGCTGGCTGACTGATGTCTGGGAGACCAGAGCACCCATAAAAGACAATTTCTGGCATATCCTTTATTTACTTATTTAGCAATCTTCAATTCATATCGTTATCACATCAAAAGCATAAAAACAATACAAAATACTATAAGCACGAAAACAACATATATATAAATCGTAGTATACATTATCCCCTCTTTTCTTTTCTTCAGCTCTTCATTATTATAGTTTATATATATAATCATTCATTATTCAATCGGTCTTGGTAGGAAGAACAACTAGTTATCATTCATCTTGATCCTCATCGCCCCATAGTATTACTATAGAATTGCTCAACAATCACATTTATCCCATTATTACTCAATCGCCTGGAACCAACAATCGGTATGGTTCTAATAATATGATTTTTGACATTCAAGATAATTAATTTGTAAAAATAAATAGTTGGTTCTTATTGTTTCTCTCAATATCATCTGGAGCTTGTCAAATCAGGACTTTCTAGGATTTATCCCTTTTCAACACTGACCTAAATGCCTTTCTGTTGATGACAATGATAATTGCGATGCTGATTAAATGGAAATCATGGAATTGAAAGGTCAATCGCTCAGCTTGAATACCTTTTTTTTGCATTTGTTGAAAATCTTCCCTATAATAGCGGTGTTTTTACAATGACAACCTCTCAAAAAAGTTTCTGTAGATCTTATACAAGTCCTGTATCCGTAGCGAGATTGATCGGCTAGTCTATTATATACTGAATATCAAACGAACGGACAGCTTAGCTTACAGAGCTCTGGCGCAATTAAATACTTGCTTCACAGGCAGATACTCGGTGTCAGTTGTGGAGCGGTTGTAAAGCAAGTGTACGCTTTTCCAATATTCCAATGTAACGCTAGCGGATGTATTTGTACTTATTGAATTGCACAGTGTTTTGTTTACTTTTTATACAACTTTTTATTGATCAAACTTGTATGTCTTCTCTTCAGGATATGATAGGTAACACTTGAATAATGTAAAGATAACTGCTGTCTAATATGTGGCGGTATATCTCTTCATCTGTCAAACAGCTATTGACAACATCATTTAAGGCATTCCAAACATGTTCTAGTTCTGGTATATTGATGCCTGACTTGTAAAACCGCTGGAAGTATTCCTTTATGAAAGCTGCAACCATTCTCATTATGTATTTCTCTTCTCTCCACTCTTTTTCGTTCCTTTACACTCTTTGTTTGCGTAGCATCAACGCTATCTAAAGCCATTTCTTAGTTCTCGTCATATTTTTGTGTCTTGACAGCTCATATTTATAACCAAATCTATAAAGCACTACTCTTGTTACAGTATGTATTGATCTGGTTAATCGCCGTACCATTACAAATGCTCACATTTTTCTTGTCTAGTTATTTTTCTATGTCAAATGTCTAGTGTGCGAACAAAAGTAGAGCAAAGAGATCCGTTTACTGGCACTCAAACCAGTCGTCCTCCCCAAAGAAGAGTCGTTGCTAAAGGGAAAAAAAGAGAATATGAAGCTGTAGCATCCACAAGTGCCATGTCCACATCAGGTTACCAGCCTGTTGTCAAAAGGCCCAAGACATTCGGTGTCTCGCCGCAGCGTTCGATGGATAGTTTTTTTCAAGCAATGAGGAAAATCATCGAAAACAAAGCAAGGCCCATCATTGACAAGCCTAGCAAATTGGATGCACTCAAGAAGACATTACTCTCGGTGAAGAAGCTCCCCCTAGGTGTCATTACTACTGCTGAAAAGATCTGTCAATGCGCCAAAGATGAGTTGAAAAATCATCTTGAACACCATGGTACTAATCAAAACTTTCAATACTTTCAAGAGTACGTCAAGGATCACTTCAATGCTGCTGTGATATCTTTGCAGCCTCAGGCCACTACGTCTACATCCACTGGTGAAAGTGCATCCATCCCAGCTACACCGGTTTTTGCTCCTTCTGACTCTGTAGCGTTCCTTCACCGCGACCTCTCTGGCATGGACATGCCATCCGACATTTCTTCTGTATCTGGCGCCCCTTCACATGCAGCAGTGTCTTCAATCTCGCATAATCCCTCTGATATATCCATGGTTGAAGCTCCCCCCAGACAATGTAGAGTACCGCATTTGTACTGTGTATTTCAAAAGCCTTTTACGGAAGGATGTGCCTTCCGATCTTGTCGAGTCATTTTTGCAGAAGCTAAATACTGCATTGAATGATGTATATGACTATGTTATGGACTTGCAATTGGTGGTATACACATTGATACTCAATGATGTCCTCGCAGCTCGTAGCTTGTAGTGGTAATATTCAGCTGAAAAAAGCTCGTGGTTTCCAAATACAAGGCATCCTCCCAGCAGGCTACAATATGAAAACTGATGTCACTATCTCTGCTCCTCCAGTACCCTCTAATGCCTTGAAGTCTACGGCTTTTTGCAATGGTGTCAAGGATCTTTTCCAGAGCAGACACATTGATTACCTGAATACTGCTTTGTTTGGCCAAAGAGGTACCAAGATTTCGCATCCTACATTTGCTGCTCTGTCGTCCGCCACTGCGCCAATACTCGATGCTATCGCAAGGGATATGCCTCAATCTACTAGCGAACTCACGATGGTGACTCAAGGATTGTACAAAACAAATCTCAAAAACATGTGGGCAAGTAATAAGGTATTTAACAAATCACTGAACAAGCTACTGGAGATTCTTCTTTGCGTGCATCTCGCCCCAAAACGAGAGTCGCATTACTGGGAGCTTCAACAGGCCAAAGCAAAGAAGCAACCCAAGCAAGTTGTCAAGTTGATCAGAAATTCGTTTCACAGCGCCATCCGATCAGAGAAGTACATACTTCAAAGATATCAAAGAAAGACACAGGGCAAACCAGAAGACAACAACTGGGCGAAGCTGGCCAGAAATAGTCAAGAGCGCATAACTCACATGTACGCTGATGCCAAGCGTCCTGTCAAGTCTGTTTCTACTTCTGGTACTACATCTGATCAAGCTGCTGTATCTGCTTCTGGCTCAGGTTCTTTTACTACAGGCGTATCTATTCCTACTGCTCCCTCTGGCGCTTCTGACGCTGTTGCTGCCTCCAATGCTAGTTTTGATCTTGATAGTGCTGATATGCCTATTGACAACCTGCTCCCTCTTTCTGAACTGATAGATGAAGAAAACGACCAAGAAGAAGAGGAAGGCACCCGTGATCTGCCTAGAAGACGAATTATGATTCTCAAAGCTACCCTGAGAAATCTCTTGGTGAGGCAAGCTGGCAAGTCTTTCACCCATACACAGCTCAAGAAGGAGCATCCCAATATCATGGAAGAAGAGAACCGCGTGTGCTTGCTTCTGGGAAAATTATTGCTGCCTTATATACCTACTAGAGATCATTATAGCTACATTGGCTTCCAGTTGCCATTCTTATTGTTGGCTACCACAAGTTTGCCGTGGATCTGTGTCCAACTTCTTCCTGTGGCTCGTTACATGCAATGCGTGTGGACGCGGCCTCTCTGTATGCCTTATGTACCAGAGGTGATGATCAAATGGATATCTTTGACTTTCAAGGATGTGTCATAGAAAACGTCGGGATAGCAAGACGATACAAGGATGCCGTGTTTAATTCTTTTTTTCGACATTTGTGCCACCACGCAAGCCTGCAAGTCCTTTGGTCTGACATTTGCTCACAACCTTGCCATTCTGCCTGGTCTTACCTCTGTCCGTATTCTGGGCATCAAACCAAGTTCTAACAAGTCAGTTTCCAATGCGAAGAAACCTCTAGATATTGATTGGGACACCGTGAAAGAGCTTCGAACCAGAACTAATCAAGCATTGAAGAAGGACATTCACCAACTGGAAACCGATATCAAGACTGTGTCTGATGAGCTGAAGGCTGCAAACAAGGACCACAAGAAGGAGCAGTATTCTACAAGGATCAAGGACTTGAAGAAGCAATGGCACACTGATCGTAGCAAACACCAAGAAATCAAAGAGCTGAAGGCTCAAAGATACCAGCTGTTCATCGCCATCAAACAGACCAAGCAACAACTGTCCAACATGAGAACTCGTGCCTTTTTGATAAAGAAAGCCATTGAATATAGAAACAAAGACATCCTTCTTGTATCAAATTACGAGCCTCCTCCTTCTGGCCAACATCTCAATTCAATGGTGTTTTCGGGTACTGATAACGGGCTGGCTGTAATGACAGAAACTATTGGCATGAATCTGAACAAATACAAATATCATTTGTCACTGCATAATAGATTCTCTCCTCTCACCCATCTCGATGCTGATAAAAGCAATTTGTCTGATAGTACTGGTACTGCTGCTGGTAATGATGGCAATGGTGTCGATCAAGTTATTGCGAACGATGCTAGTGACAAGGATGAAATTCGTGATGGCAGTGTTAAATGCGATGGAGATCTCAATGGTGATGTGCCTTTTTGTAATGATTTTAGTGGTGGTGGCGATACTTCTGATGTTCCTGATGCTGATGATGGCGACGCTGGTGCTACTGCTAATGATTGTGGTCAGACAACAACATTTGAGCCTCTGCCAGAGTCATACAAGATGCGTGCTGAAGATATCGTCTTTGGTTCTGGCCAATTCATGAGGCGAAAGATCACTTTGAAAGACAAGAAAACAGCAGAAGAAGGAAAGAGGGTTCAAGAGATTGAGCAGCAATTGCCGAGATCTAATGTGTTCAGAGCCAAAGAGGTAGAGGATGTCATGTCAAATCTTGATGCACACAGAAGCAATGGCCAAGCATTGCGAGCGTTCTATCACTCAAAGAAGCAGAATACTCTCTCTAACAGGGTTGAGTACATTGGCAGGCGTTTCCGTTCTCGTTTTGCTTCGTGTGAAAGATCCTTTTGTGCTGGTGTTCGTCCCCAAACGTCACTTACAATGTTCGTTGGAGATCGTGGTCTTTGTGTCGGCTCTCGTTTGAAGGGTCATTTGAAGTATGGTGAAAAATGGAAGCCTTGAATGGCTCTGTGATTGAGAACGGACACACAGGCAGGATTTAAGCACAGGAATACACCATGAATAGACCTCGTCCTGGCCTTACTATCCTTTGCTCTGATGGTTTGTGTGGGATGAGAGGTGGGACCAAAGCAGTGCATGCACGTCTGGGATGTCTCGTGTTCGTTGGTAGTATGCACAGTGGCGACAGATGAATGTAAGCGAGGTAGAGACAAGACATCTGCTTTGGCCATCGCTGTCTCTGGGCTTTCCACTCTCTTATTCAGGCAGCCATTGCCTGTATTCAACCCAAAACCCAGTCAATCCAACACTGACATTATCTCCAAGACCACCTCTTTCTGCAACAGAAACGAGAAACAGGACGACAGCGGTGCTGCATTAGCAGACGCTTGAGTCTTCAAGGTAATAATGTGCTCAATCTGGCTTATTCAAGAGACTGCTTTACTAATTTGTCATTTATTATACTCGCAAGATTCAAGTTTTTGCTGTTGCTCACAGGTATTTAACTCGCTATTCGCCACCTCTCACGATCTCTTTTTTTTTCCACTTTCAAAATGACAAGTATTCTCAACAGAGCAGCTTTTGCTGTATACAGCAGAAAGGCTGCATTCAGTGGCATTTCTAGATCCATTTCTACTATTCAAAAGCCAAATTATGCATTTGCATTTGACATTGATGGTGTTTTGATCAAGGTAACTTATTTGATATTACTTTTGGTCTGTCATGTTGCTTACGCACATACATTGTAAATACAGGGAAAGCGTCGTATTCCCGAAGCTACTCGGTAAGAAAAGCATGAAAAGCATGATGTATTTACGAACACTCACTTTGCAACCGAAATTAGCGCTTTGAAATTGCTGAATGGCAATAATGCTAGCAACAGGTGAGTGGACACACACACCCTCACAAGGATCTATGAGACACTGATCCAGTACCAAAGAAACATTCCGTTTGTTCTATTGACAAACGGCGGTGGTGTCACTGAAGAAGAAAAAGCACGTCAGATCAGTGAGTTGGTTGGTGTCAAGGTAACATATCTCGTGGTAGGTCAATTAGTTGCATTCTATAACATGTCCTATAGATCGACCCCAAGCAAGTTGTTTTGTCTCATTCTCCAATGCAAAACTTGGCAACCAAGTACAGCGACAAGCGGGTGTTGATCATTGGTGGCAAGGGACGCAACTGTTATGATGTCGCCAAAAAGTAAGGAGCCTGTAGTACCAATGAACTTGACAATGTCATTAATGCAAAACTTGATATAGATATGGTTTCAAAGAGGCAATAACACCACATGACATTATGCACTGGAACAGCTCGTCTTGGCCTCACTCTACACCTACATCGGATCTATCCATGCTGACCAGCACTGTAAGTCCTATGTGAAGTGCAGTATAAAATAGAGATTTATCGATATCTTGAACATATAGGCCGCTCTTGAGTTCTCCAATCTCCCTATCCATGCTGTGATGGTATTTCATGATACCTATGACTGTAAGTAAAAAGCATTTGCATCGAACATGGCTATTTAATTTACATGTGTTTCAGGGGGAAGAGATCTTCAAATCATGCTTGACGCACTGTGCTCCCAAGACGGTATAATTGGCACTAGAAAATCAGACTATGCAATCCAAGATGTGCCTCTTTACTGGTCCAATGTAAACTTATCCTCAAAACTTCACAAGTAAATTCTAACATGTTCACGTTTAGAACGATCTGATTTGGAGCACTGATTTTCCAGCACCTAGATTAGGCCAAGGCGCCTTCAAAATTGCACTGGATAGCTTATACAAAACCTTGACTGGCCATGATCTCAAATCTACATCTTTTGGTAAGCCTCACGGAGCAACATACCAATTTGCAGAGCAAGTACTCGCATCATTGGAGCCTGCGTCACAGCAACCCAATCACAGTAGAAGAGTATACGCTGTGGGAGATAATCCTGCTGCTGATATTCGAGGCGCTAATGGCTATGGCTGGACCAGCGTGCTTGTTCGTACGGGTGTGTTTACCGGTAAAGGTAATTCCAGTGATTTCCCTGCTGATATTGTCTGTGAAAATGTCGAGGAAGCTGTAGAAACCATCATTGCTCGAGAAGAGAAGTATCAATAAAGAATTTAGACTTGCAATATACACTATGTGATGATACGCCGAGTGCTGGCTGTGAGGGCCATATGTTATTACTGTCATTTGGATTGGCATTGATTGGTTTCGAATGAAGTGAGTTTATCTTGGACCTCAGGATCACTATGAAACAAACGTCTTTTGCTGGTGGATCAACGCCCTGTAATGCCTATGATAGAGATACATTTGTCTTGAGGAGGTCAACTCCATCAGCCATTGATAGAGCTGTCAAACTACTCAAATTGCTTCCCGTGATGTCATTGGGCTATCTTATTGACATTTTGTAACAGAGAAAGTGGGGGTTGAAGCCAAATGTGAATGGCTGGTTTCAAGTCCAGTGGGGGAAGACAAGTACTGAGAGAGGGGGGGTTGTATCAAGAGAAAAAAGATGCCTTGTTTTAGTCAAATTTTTCAGCGCTTTTTTTTTCCTCTTTTCTCTCTTTGATTCTTGAAATACTGTAACGAGATATATGCAAAGCCATTGAACAAGCGATACAACAAAAGGCAACTATAAGCGTAGAGAAATAATATGTCTGTTCAGTTAAGAGAGCCTCTATGTTCACTTGGTCGACGACACATTAGCAAAAAACCCTGGCCTTTATATCTAGAGCGACGATCCACTGCCACCACCATCACTCAGGGCAGCAACCCTTCCACTCACTCTATACCACCATTGACTCGCACATGGCTTGCTCATGCTCGAGCTTATACTACATCAGCGGCTACAACGGCAATTCGCCCTTCAATAGCTGTTACAGAGCAGGTCCCTGTCAAAACCACACATGTCACATCCACAACCACACCACGCTTAGACGCCTCAAAGTTCTGGCAGCAATACCAACAGAGCACAAAAAAGACAATGACCAGCAAAGAGCTGGAGCATCTCATCTCTACATTACTGCAGCAAGCCCAGAAGTCGTCGAGGAAATCTGCTTTTTGGAACCGTATCATCCAAGTCTATGAAACAGCACAACAAGCACAACTACATTCGACGCCGAATATCTACTTGACCGCAATGACAGCATATGGACGTACGGGAAACTCACAACAAGTCAGAGCCATCTTCAAGGAATACAAGGCACGATTTCGGTTGAAGGGCAATGCACACCAGCGCTATTTTGCAGCCATCGTAGACAGTGGTGATTTATTGGCAGCATTGAATGTGTACAGAGACATCAAGAGTAACCCAAATTTGAGTGTGGTAGAAGCTTCGATTTGCTTGAGGGATTTTGTTAAAGCATCATGTTCATCCACCAAGAAGAGTAATGTGTATATGGGAATCAAGGCAGTGGAAGAGATGAAGCAGTCCATGGCTGATTGGGATCCATCCTCCCGACAGCAAATCACTGAATCATTATGGCAAGGATATCACAAACTAGCAGCGTTGAAGCCACCGCCGATGACACCTCAATCGGCCGAGAAACTGCTTGTTATAACCAGTACCAACACTAAAATTATACCTAGTCAACTATTTACCCTCTTTCAACTCCTGTGCCATCAGTCAAACGGATTTGCACCTACAGCGAAAACTTGCAATTGCATGTTGGAAAGTCAGCTGTTAGACAAGAACTACAGCAATGTGAAAAGCGTTCTAGCTTGGATGCAGAAATTAGACATAGAGCCTACATCCAGCACAGTGGCCATTCTACTGAGGACATTTGGATCTCGATTGCCAGCGCATCAAGCAGAGCAAATCTACAGTAAATCACGCCACCAAAAGGACCTGGACGCTGAGTTCTTCAAAAACTACATTCATGTGTTTGCAAAGGACGGTAAGCTGGTCAAGTCAGTGCTGCAAGATGTGCGGCAGCACGGTTTTGAGATGGATCCGACATGGCATGCAGCAATCACGCAGAGTTTTGTGCAGCGAGGGCAGTTGGATCAAGGCGTCAAGTGGTTACAGCATATCAACAGTAGCGATTTGGACTGTTATGCCACCATCATGGAGGCTTACTTGCAGCGAGGTCAATGGGACAAGTGCATTTCTCAGTATGAATCTCTTTTACACCAGCAACAGCCTGCAGATACGCATCGTCGACTTGTGAAATGTGCTGTAGCAGCTGGATTCGCCGACAAACGAAGCAGCATGCTGGATGATATCAAAATCAAATTTACGCCAAACACGGTTATGCGCATTGTAAATACTTTACTTTGTTTGGAAAGTAAGCACGGACAACCTCTTGTGTCAGGTGGCCTTGTAGTGAAATCACTCAAGATGATGGAATCCAAGCTGCATGTGTATCTGGATGCAGAGGGCATGCGTCGTGTCATCCTTGGACTAGGGAATCGAGGCGATTGCCAGCATGGATTTGCCGTGTATAAATACGCCCGAGAAGGTGGGCATGAACATGTGCGAAAACGATGTGCTAGCTCTCATATCTACTTGGCAATGATGGCCAGTGCAACCAAAAACAACGACATTCGAATTCTAGAAAGAGCCTGGGTGGATATGCAGTACAGAAAACGCTTTCTTGGAGATACATCCAGGAGCAAGGAACCGCACAACTTGGCTAGATACAACATACTTTTAAACGGATACGCATCTCAGCTGCCAAAGCCGAATCTGACTGGAGTAAAGCGCGTATTTCAAAGACTACTCAACCAAAAGCTTTCGCCTGATACAGTGACATACAATATTTTGATCAAGGCGTTTGTCAGTGCCAACAACATGGACGCAGCCAGTCAAATCCTCAAGCACATGGATAAACCTGACACTCAGGCCACTAACACGCTGCTGAATGGATGGATCATACAACAAAATTGGGATCAAGTAGAGACATTTGTCAAGCAACAGCCTGTAGATATGGTGACATTTAATCTTTTGATACAAAACTTTTTGAAACTAGACTCCAAATCCATGTCCTACATGCACATCCTCAAAAACAAGCAGCAATGGCACGAACTGGACAAGCTAAGATCTCACAAGAGCAAATCATCGCCCATGTTGAGTCAAACGATCTGGAACATTTTTGAATCAGCAACTGGATACACACGACATGGTATCACACAGCGAAAGCAGATCAGCATCAGACATGCCACCAACACCTCGCTGTGCCATCAATTGGAGCGACTGCAGCCAGCAGCACCATCTAAAGGCGACAGTGCATTCATTAAACTGTTCTCTAAAGCAACGCCAGAAGCAGTAGCGGCTCCAGATCAAGTAACTTATAAACTATTTATGAAGGCGTTTGTGAATATAGGCGATTATGAATCTGCGTTTGATGTATATCAATGGATGAAATATAGCCTTCAATTGTAAATTTAGTATACCTCCTCCTTTTTTAATCAAAATAAAATTGTAATTTTCTGCTTCAAATACAACTGACAGACCCGTCTATAAGCTTGGGTATCGTCTTTGTTTACAGGGATAAAAAGCTTGACACTAGGCCATGCCATCCAAGTGAGCAGCTTTGATGTGACTCAGCTGAAGACGGTGGTTTTAGCGACACCATCTTTGAAGGATGAAAAACTACATTCACGGATAATAAAAGCTGATTTAAGCCTGAGAAGCATGCCTATCAGGCTTTCAACTTGATGTCGCTGGTCTTTCAATCATGCCATCATATAGTCTATGATGGCATGATACATGGAGCACATGTGATATGGAGTGTACATCGAAGTGACGTTTTTTTCTGTGCTCCACTGTATCAGGTTTGAAAAGACGCATCGCGAGTAGGTATTCTCTTTTAGCAAGATACAATGGACACAGTGAACGACACCGAATCACCCTACACAAGCAGCCATCTCGACGATATCGTCAAAGTCGAACATACAATGATGGATGACACTCATTTTGGAGACAAGGAATGGGATGCCGGCATGGAATTAGCTTTACTAAACGCTATTTCACGCTGCAAACCAGTTGGTACTGCAATAGCTTAATTTCATTATACACCAAGCTCTAATATAATACTGCTTTATGTAGGCATACACAAACACTTTAGAATCATCAGTGTACAGAGACAGTTCAATCAGAATAGCCCAGTTGCATGCTCCATCAAAGAGATTTGGCAGCGTTTAGGCGACTTCTACGGCATGGCTGCATTAGATGAATTAGTAAGCGAGCCTTTGATTTGCTGGACCTAAGCTAACATGGTCTCTTAGGAAGAAGAGGATGAAGAGCAAGAGGAGGAGGAGCGCGAGGAAGAGGAAAAGAAGAAGGGAGATGTCAAGAATGAGTTTTCGTTGCCTTTGGATGATTATGAGCAATTGATATCGGAACATCGACAGGATGACCAGTCGATATCTTCCATTCGAGAAGAGAGCGACGCTACCAGTTCACCGGTTTTACCACCTACCAAACGCACCCGTATAAGCAAAAGAGATTCGTCTCCTGCAAACTCAGTTACTGATTCAATTACATCTAATAACAACACTCCCGAACCCGAAGAAGGTTCGTACTCCCCAAAGTTTCGCTTTTCTTTTAATACCCCCACCTTCTAAACTCATTTCGTATAGGCAAACCATCTCGAAAATCTTCTCGCTCCAACCCCAAATCAACACCTGAACCGGCAAGTCGAAGTGGAGGACGCAGAGCAGGCAGATCATCCAGCACGGCATCAAATGCATCAACGAATAACCGAGGCAACAAAAGACAGACCAAAAGAAAATAAAATCAACTATTTTTTCATTGGTCAAATCAATGATTCTACAACAATTGGGGCCAATGTTGTGTTGAAAACTTACAATAGACACATCCTCTTCCCCCTTTTTTAACCCTTTTTAAGTTACCGATTGCCTTCTAATTCGGTCGCATCAATTAACTTTTTAGCTTGCTAGCATCGTTGCAATTTTTGATTGTACAAAATGGAAGGAGCCTCGTTATCTTGAAACAAAATCTATATAAATACGGTTAATAAATCATTCCCTCTCTCTTTTTCTCTCTTTTTTTTTTCCTTCTCTTTTCTTTTTCAGGGGCCAAATCACCATCTTAAATTAAACATTGCCATGGCAACCAAGAGAAACGTTACCTCCAATGCTCCTGCTGCAGAAGACGTCAGCATCAACAACAAGGCTGTGATTGATGAAGCTATCGAAAGAAACTGGGAGATCCCTAATTTCACCATCAAGGAGATCCGTGATGCTATCCCAGCTCACTGTTTCCGTCGTGATACCTTTAGATCTTTTACACATGTCCTTCATGATTTTATCATCATCGCCATCTTGGCCATTGGTGCTTCCTATATTGATTCAATCCCCAACACTTATGCCCGCATTGCTCTCTGGCCCTTGTACTGGATCGCTCAAGGTATCGTAGGCACTGGTGTCTGGGTCATTGGCCATGAATGTGGCCATCAAGCCTTCAGTCCCTCAAAGGTACATTTCGAGGAATAGAGTCATTGGATTGTTCTGGAGTGATACTAAAAAATTTTCCTCTTCACATTAGACTATTAATAACAGCGTTGGCTACGTTCTCCACACTGCTTTATTAGTGCCTTATCATTCATGGAGATTCTCTCACTCAAAGCATCATAAAGCTACTGGCCATATGTCAAAAGATCAGGTAAATATTTAGTTATTACATGGGGCGGTACCTTGATTTATACTGCCGCTCTATTGTTGTAGCCATCTGAAACTAATGTACCATGATTAGGTCTTTGTCCCCACTACTCGTAAGGAATACGGTTTGCCTCCTCGTGAGCAAGATCCTGAATCTGATGGACCTCATGATGCCCTTGATGAAGCTCCCATCGTTGTCTTGTACCGCATGTTCCTTCAATTTACCTTTGGCTGGCCTCTTTACCTCTTCACCAATGTCTCTGGTCAAGATTACCCCGGCTGGGCTTCTCATTTCAACCCCAAGTGTGCCATCTACGATGAAAACCAATTCTGGGATGTCATGAGCTCTACCGCTGGTGTTCTCGGTATGATTGGTGTCTTGGCTTACTGTGGCCAAGTCTTTGGTTCTCTCGCTGTCATCAAATACTATGTTATCCCTTATTTGAATGTTAACTTTTGGTTGGTTTTAATCACTTACTTACAACACACTGACCCCAAGTTGCCCCATTACCGCGAAAACGTCTGGAACTTCCAACGTGGTGCCGCTTTAACTGTTGATCGTTCTTATGGTTTCCTCCTCGACTACTTCCACCATCACATTTCCGATACTCATGTTGCGCATCACTTCTTCTCCACCATGCCTCACTACCACGCCGAAGAAGCCACTGTTCACATCAAGAAGGCCCTTGGTAAGCACTACCACTGCGACAACACTCCTGTCCCTATTGCTTTGTGGAAGGTCTGGAAGACCTGTCGTTTTGTCGAAGATGAGGGCGATGTCGTCTTCTTCAAGAACTAAATCTTTTAATTACTTTCCTCTTATACATATATATTCTTTACTATAAAGCAACCCAAACATCTTGCATCTAAATAAACAATAACATTTGACATTCATCATGATTTTCTGCTTCGTTAGCCATTGATGTGTACTCTAAACACACAACACATGCATTTTTGCGCACCTTAAAATAGATCCCGTCGTTGAGAAGAGCAACAGTAGCAGGGCTACCTCCCTTTTTTGTGTTTTCTCTCGTATTTCATGTCTCAAACTACTGTACCAGCGACCCTTTACATTGGAAGCCGCATCCAAGTAGGCAACGACCGAGCAACCATCAGATTTATCGGCGCAGTCAACAATACAAAGGGAGAATGGCTTGGTGTTGAATGGGACGATCCTCACCGAGGAAAACACAATGGCACACATCAGGATGTGAAGTACTTCAGTTGCAGGTAACTTTTCCCTTACTCGAGAAAAGCTCGTGTATCAACTGCTGACCTCACGCTAGATACCCAACTTCTGGTTCCTTTATTCGATTCCATCCAGAGAAAGTCAAAACTGGCACCACATTCATGAACGCGTTGGAAGAGCGATACTTAATCAAGGAGGATATCGCAGCAATACATGAAAAGAATTACGATAAATCCAAGGACATCGGCGAACTCTATTTTGGCGGAAACAAGCAGATCGTGGTAGAGACATACGGCTTTGATAAGATCCAAAAAGCACAAAGGTAAGCCAAAAAAATGTAACCATGAGAGGCAGTTGATATTCACATGTTTGTGCTAGACAGTTGAACAATTTGAAGGTAGTTGGACTAGCTGAACAACTGATCTCATCTGCAGGCGCCAACATCAGAGACGCTCATCTCAGTAAATAGCTTTTCCATCATGAAGCACCTGATCTCATGCTCAACTCTTATTTTTTCTCTTATTTTTAAGCTATCGAGGATTTAGATTTATCTCGAAACTTGATCTCCAACTGGGAAACTGCATTTGATATCGTCTCACAACTGCCTCAACTCACCACGCTAAGATTAAAGTAAAGCAGCAAACAGCAGCGAAATGTGTCGTTGATATATACTGACTACTGCTTGGAATTATAGTCAATCAAGATTGGCATGTCCTCCCGTGGATTTACAGCCCTTTCACATCACAACATTGTCACTAAACCAAACTCTGATCTCATGGCAGCACATTGACATACTCTCAAAAGCTCTGCCTCAGCTACAAGATTTGCAATTGGGTGGAAACGAACTGTCTCAACTAGGTAAAATGGAATTTCCAAAACTGAAATGCCTTAATCTGGAGGACAATGTCATCAGTGATTGGAGTGGTGAGATCAACAATCTCAGCAGTTCTCTACCCAGGTACGTCGCTTTTCTCATTGGAGAGAGCCAGTAATTCTGACCGGATCAACCCCATAGTTTGGAGACACTTTACCTTAACGACAACCAAATTAAATCAATCCAAATCGCAACAAATAATATGTTTCCCAACTTGCAATTCCTCCGTATCGAACGCAATTCGCTCGATAATTGGAACAGTCTAAACGAATTGAACAAGCTACCAAATCTAACCAAATTAAGATGTAAAGAAAATCCAATCTTTAAAGGTAACAAGATTGCTTACGTGGCTAAACGACTTTTCGAGTAACACTGCAGCAAAACTTCAGATTTTGATAAAGAATTAGAGGCAGCACAGATTGTTGGAAGAATCAAAAACCTATCAAATGTCAATGGTAACACTGTAAGTTGCATCTTCTGTTTCTACGAATACCATGGACTCCGTTTTAATAGGTTGTACACACTGCTAGTTGACTAATAGGGAGAGAATTGATCTAGAACGATACTACATCAAATCATGTACCAAAGATGGTTCTACGCACGAAGAAATTGCAGTTATTCATCCCAGATATAATGAACTGTGCGCTGGTAAGCACTGCATCCATCGCTCATAAAAAGCTGTATACTGATACTATGCTGCGATAGAGCATGGCCAGCCTGATCTACAATCTTCCATCTCGCACGCATCTACCGTACTCAAAGATAGACTGATCAACATTACCCTAAGCACACGAAACGCTGCATCTGTGGACGAGATTATGTTGATTACACACAAGAAGGATCTGCCGCCTACATGCACCTCCATATCCAAAAAGTTTCTTCGCACCATGACGATAAGAAATGTCAAGCATATGATACAGAAACTGCTCAAAATACCCGCAGCAAAGCAGCAACTGGTTTTATTACAGTCAATTGAAGAAACGAACAATGAACGAGATGTGATGATAATGGATATAACGGATGATTTGAGAGATTTGAAATTTTATGGTATCAATAGTGGGGATGAGCTGCTCGTCATAGTCAACGATTCGTAATAAAGAGGCTTATCTGTCTACGCTAACAAAAATGGAATTAGGCTGTGGTGTGGTTGCTGATGTTGCTGAATGAACAGTAAGCTTGCCAGCCGTACTGATGGTAGCAGGAGATAGCTTGAGCTGTTGTTTACTATAGAATTGGTTCCATTCAATCACAAATCTCTCTATGCTCTGAGCTGCGATTTCGCCTCCATTGTGCGGTACTCGCAGTTGCGCATCCTTGCATGTGCCTGTCATTCGAGAGGCTTCTTCGATAGCAGGAGCCCAGTTTCCTGCTTCAAAATCTTGACGGGATAGCTCGACAGCACTGCCTTGGTCTGACATTAGCTTTAGCAGCCCATGTTCTTCTATAAACTGAGGTCTTGGTACATAAACAAACGGAGTGCTATGACCAATGCATTCAGAGCAAGTACCATACCCCAATTTACCCAAGAGAACATCACACGCATGTGTCAAATCAGGTACATAAGCATCCTTGGCAGCTCTGAAGAATCCTGCTGGCATCTCCACCGAATCTGGAGCAGCACACACAATACAAATCCACCCAGGTGGTAATGGACTGCCTTTCAAACCACCATCGTTGCCTAGCAACTGGCCGCCAAATGAAAGCAGGAGGATTTTATGCGTGTTGTAGACGTCCTTGGGTATACCTACTTGATCCAACGTTTCCTCTCGAGACTGCTTGTATTTACGGAAAACAAGGGGAACATCAATAATCCGACGTAGGAATGGGGAATTTTGATGCGTGTGTTGAACGTTTGAGACACTGGTACAAGGCAATTGCGTTTTACCATTAGCTACACCTTTGCGCTGGTGGGTCTCGGGAAATTTGGTATTGAAGGGTGTGTGAGGTACAAGCCCCATGGCATCGTCAAAAGATGGAATACGGATAGCGCCTGGTAATCGAATCAATAAATCTGCATTACGGTAATCCGCTATCACTTGTTGCACCATTCTGTGTATATCCTGATCCAATTCATCCCCTTCGCATAGCCCATAATAGACTTCGTCAAATGTAAAATTGCTGGAAATGACAGCTGGTATACCGACTTGTTGAGCAGCAGCACTGTGGATTTGTTCCATGTCAGTCTATCTCTGTCTCAGGCTTCACTTGAAACACTTACCATGGCAAAAACGGAGCATCGCATATAACACAATCTGCATTGACTTGCTTGAGCCATTTGATCTCGTTCTCCAGAGTGTTGGATCGTCTTGATAAGAATGCCTTCAAGTTTCTGATAGTCTGGTCACGATCTACTGTGTAAGGGAGTGGCTGAACAACCCCAGCATCGATATCTGCATGTCGATAGAAAGCTCCTACTTCTATGACGCCTTGAAAGATGAAATCTGTGGCTGTAGAGATAACATATACTTTGTGATGAGCTGGCAATTTAAGGATATCCATAATGACTTGGTTAGCACGAGTTGCGTGACCCCATCCTATATTAATTGTTCACTTTTTGAGCTTTTGCTGGCGACAATCAAGCTTCATTACTTACCATGGCCAGAGACATAAAAGCAGAATGTCATTGATTTTGTTGCGAAATTCGAGGTATTAATAGATAAGCCTGCCATGATGAAGTTTCTATTTTTAAATCTTGAGAGATAATGGATGATGTTTGCTGTGTAAAATGAGATGTCCAAGTATCAAATGGTAGCAGAAACTGAGCGGATTGACTGATATCTAGAGGTGAATCGCTCCTGATAGTTGAGCGATGGCAAAAGATAGAGGGAGGAAAAAAGAGGTGGGGAAAGAGAGAAGGAAGAATATCGAATAGTAAAAGCTACTCCTATTTATAGAATTTGAATTAACCAGAGCGGAGCGGATGGATAATAACACTGCTATCAGACACTGGTTCGAGTAGAAGGGATGCTTTGTCCTACTCTATTGCTATGTTTCAGTTCAATGTAACTAATACGAGACTTAAGGTTCTTTTTGGTTGACTTTTGACCTTGCACAGTGCGCTTACCAAGGGTGTTGTCATTAGAGAAAAGGCATGAGAGAAGCTATAAGCAACATCACATCCTTCAAACTCAGTGCGTCTATTATAAACAGCATACAGTCGATCGAATCCCCTCCCCTTTCTACAGAGCAAAAATAATTTTTCGTAACCCTGGCATTAGTCAACCCCAATGTTGAAACATCTTATATCAAAGCATCATATTACCAGACGATGTTACTCAACAGCAAAGCACCATCTAAAGAGTGAATTCCACATCCAGCCTAAATTAGACTTTACTCAATTAGCAGAAAATGCGTCGATCATTGAAAAGAACATGGTCGACAGAAATTACGATACAATTGACATGGCACTATTTACGCAGCTCAACCAGCAACGTTTGAATCTATACAAGCACCTTGTTTCACTTAAGACAAGACGCAACGATCTCTCATTAGCCACCAGAGCCACCTCAGTCAAAGAAGAGAGAGCAGAGCTTATCCAGCAAGGAAAGCAAGTAAAGCAAGACATCAAATTATGTGAGGAGCAATTGAACCAAACAGAGACACAGCTGCTAGAGCAGGGCCTCATGATTCCAAACAATACCCATCGAAATTCTCCTATTGGATCCGAAGAAATGGCCCGTATCATCAAAGTAGTGGGAACACCCATCGAAGCTAAGGGCAAAAAGGACCATGTCACTATAGCCACCAAGTTAAACATGCTGGATCTAGAGCAAGCTGCTGTCACAAGTGGATCCAGTTTCTATTATCTACAAGGCATGGGCGCATTTCTAGAATTAGCATTGATCCAGTATGCAATGCATAAAGCGGCCAGCAGAGGTTTTTTGGGCGTCCTGACACCTGACATTGTCCGAACACAAATGGCTTATGGATGTGGATTTCAGCCTCGTCGTGGAGAGAGCTCGCAAATATACGATATTGCTACAAAGTCGTCAGCAGACACTGGATTATGTTTAGCCGGCACTGCAGAGATTCCATTAGCTGGCAAGTTCGCCACAAAGCTGCTGAACGAACAAGATTTGCCGCAAAAACTAGTTGGATTTGGTCATGCGTTCAGAACAGAGGCTGGTGGACGGGGATTAGAGACAAAAGGTTTATATCGAGTGCATCAGTTTTCCAAGGTGGAGCTATTTGCTGTCACTACCCCGGATCAAAGTGAGGAGATGATGGAAGAAATCAGATCGTTACAAGAGGAAATGTTTACAGAGTTGGGCTTATGCTTTAGGTAAGTGAGTCCACGAGTCAAGTATTGAGGATCTATTAACGTATATTGTAGAATTCTGGATATGCCCACAGAGGAATTAGGAGCAAGCGCCTATAGAAAATATGACATGGAAGCTTGGATGCCGGGACGAGAGAAATGGGGAGAGGTATGGCAAACTTATTCGAAAGTAGCAATGCGACTGACATGCTTGGGCTACCCTTAGATATCATCTACCTCCAACTGCACAGACTATCAATCTCGACGACTGTCAATTCGTTATAGGCCCAGATATCAGGTAGACAAGAATACCCAATTTTGCCACACATTAAATGGAACTGCCATTGCAGTGCCTCGAGTCATCATCGCTGTACTGGAGACATTCCAGCAAGATGATGGTTCTGTTCGCGTGCCTGAAGTACTGAGAAGATGGATTCCGGGAGAGCCAGAGTATTTTACGCCCACGAGCAAGTAGACCGAGCTAGCGTTTGTCATTATCTTGAACCGTTTCCTTGTAGGTGCATCCATCATCTCAATCAATAAATATGGTTGTCAGGCGCCCTTAAAGCCTTAATAAGGAAACTTCCCCTAGACATATTTTAATGTCAAGCCAGGCTTACTGGCGCTATTGTATATAAGGCTGTATAGCGGAAGCAAGCTTCAGTAGTCAGACTAAGCGATAGTGTTGCTGAATTCGCAATACCTTTCTTGGTAGTTTTACACACGTCGATTTCCTTCATGAGAAGCGTTTTGCCACAAACCAACACACAGCCAAAATTAGTTCAAATCCCGCTCTATATTCTGCTCTGATTTGTTTGATTTTCATTAATTTGCGACTTGATTGATCTATTTTTTAGGATTTGACTATGTTAAAAGTGATAATCATCTCATACTTCTTTAAACTTTCTACAAGTACTTTCCAAGGCGCATCCAATGATACCAATTACACTAAATGCTTTGAATAAAGTTGTTGGGTAATTTATAAAAATATGAAATGAGGTTTCTGGCCAAAATGTCAAAATCCTGCATAGGAAAACCTCATAAAAGTGATTTCAGAGGTTGCTTTGCGTCGAGAGGATCATTTTGACCTGATATATGCTATAGCAAAAGTCTCCGTTTTCAAGGTCAAAAAAGCGATTATTTGATTTTTGATGACAAACCATGAGGTACCCCTCATGGTTTTTTGGTCGATTTTTGACGATTCGAAAAAATTCGAGTAAAGGTGTCCAAAAGCAACTGCCACATCAGAGAAACCGCTTGGTGCTACTCTGGCGGTCTAAAACGGCTTCTGGTACAAGAAATTGCTGTTCAAATGCACCCAGAATAAGCTGTATTTTGCATGGTTTTCAGCAGTAATAGGTAATGCAAGTACACTATCTGCTTATGTATGAGTTATAGTCATTGGTACAAATGTAGAGTAAGGCAGAAAAATCAGGTGGGCAGTTACAGAGAGTTTTTGGGCGGTGGTAGGGATACTCGATGAAGCATACAGTATTTCAATCAGTTGGACAAAGCGTAAAGGTCTTCGTTAGAGAATGCTACATACAACCTGCCAACCAAGAATTGAAGATTACATTCACGGGAGTGGAAGCAGCGATATATGTATAACTCAAAGCGAAACAAACGAAGACCTACGATCATATACGAAATCGAAAGTTTATTATCATAATTGAATAAAGCAGTGTTCATTTGCCGTGGATCTGACAAAATCAGTAACGCGATTTTGTAGTATTTAGTGCCGCTTTATTTACAAAGCACTTTGCCAACGCTGATATCAATGATTTATCATAATAATAGCATGTTGTACTGTATTACTGCTTCCGTGACATATGCCATCTTGATGAACCTGATAGAAGCAGATTTGACTGTTGATTTTACTTAAATTTTAAAGCAGGAACAGTTTGGCTGAACTCTTCCTCTCTGTCTCTGTCTCTCTCTTTCTCTCTCTCTCTCTCTCTCTCTCTCTCTCTCTCTCTCTCTATCGTATTATTTATCTATATATATACAGCAGCAATTTAGAATGGAGAAAAGTTCTGCAAACTACAACTGGGGCTCTTCAAAGAAGCGTTACGAATGGAAAGACGAGTATCTCACTCAAGGCTTTGCTCCTCGTGATGAAATGTTGGAAAAAGAACTGTTCGGTATTGATAATCATGTGCACAGCGGCCTCAACTTTGACAAGTACGAGAAGATTGCCGTCAAGGTTACTGGTGAAAATCCTCCTCCTGGATTCAACAAGGTAGGATGTCCATTAAGAGCTGATTGCCGTTACTCAATATCTAATAACGATGGCTCTAGTTTGAAGATGCCAACTTGCATCCCTGTATGAAAGAAAACGTTGCTTTGGCTCGTTACACTGTACCTACTCCTGTCCAGGTAATTACGAATCAGCGTTTATGTCAATGCTTATACTAACTGTGGCGACATAATAGAAACACAGTATTTCCATTGTCACAGCTAATCGAGACCTTATGGCTTGTGCTCAAACTGGCTCTGGTAAAACTGCTGCTTTTCTGATCCCTACCTGCTCTGCTCTCTTTAGTCAAGCCCAACAACTGATCTCTCGTGCCAGTCCCCGAGACTACCATCATTTCAAGTCTCGTCCTTTGGTATTGATCCTCGCCCCCACTCGTGAACTCTGCTGTCAAATTTTTGATGAAGCTCGTCGTGTAAGTAATTGCTTATTAGTGGCATTTGATACCTTATCGACTCATGAATCAATCTATAGTTCTGTTACAGAAGCATGTTGAGACCTTGGTATGTAACTGTTTTGCAATTGATGGGTGGTTTGTATATTGACATATTAGGAATTGATATACAGCGCTGTTTATGGTGGAGCAGGCGTACAAGGACAGATTCGTGAATTGGAGCGAGGTTGTGATGTTCTAGTCGCTACTCCTGGCCGTCTTTGTGACCTCATTGATCGTGGCAAAATCGATTTGTCCCACTTGAGATACTTAGTCTTGGATGAAGCTGATCGTATGTTGGATATGGGCTTTGAGGGTGTCATTCGTGATGTTGTTGAAAACAAGGGTAAATATGGAACAAGTCTGGAGCAAATTGTTGCGTATTAACATGGAATGTAGGCATGAATAAGAATCGTGTTACTTTGATGTACAGCGCTACCTTCCCTCGAGAAATTCGAGCACTGGCTAGAGATTTTCTTAAACCAAACTATTTGTTTCTCAAGGTAGGCAGAATTGGAGGAACCACTACTGACATTACTCAAAAGGTTATGTGGGTAGAGGAGGGAGAGAAGCGGGAGCGTGTCAAGCAGCTCCTGATGTCACAGCCTCCTTGTCGTACGCTCATCTTTGTTGATACCAAGCGTGCGGCAGACAGCCTGGATCATTACCTCTTTGAGTCCAAGTTGCCCTCCACTTCAATTCACGGTGATCGCAGTCAGATGGAGCGTGAGGATGCTCTTCTTGCTTTCAAGAAGGGTACATGTCCTATTCTGGTAGCAACAGCTGTGGTCGCTAGAGGCATTGATATTAAGAACGTCATGCACGTTGTTAATTATGATATGCCTCCTACTATTGATGAATATATCCATCGTATTGGTCGTACTGCTCGTGTTGGCAATGCCGGTTTAGCTTCGTCTTTTTTCAACAACTCAAGCACTGGAATCGCAAGAGACCTCACCAAGTTACTGGTTGAATGCAAGCAAGAGGTGCCCGAGTTTCTCAAGCGCTATGTCACTTCGAATATGCGCTTTGAAGATGATGAGGATGATTTGTAGATAGCTGTTATGGCATATGTCATTCTTTTTTTTTTTTTTTTTTTTTTTACTATGTAGAAAATAAAAAATCTATTTCTCTGTTGAATCATATGTAAATTTGCGAGAGTCTAATTCCAATGTAACAGGGCCATCATTTGCAATGTCGACTAGCATCATTGCACCAAATTCACCATCTATGACTGCATGTTAGCAGAAAATCAATGTAACTGTATCTAAGATTGTACCTTGAATTTTTGAAGGATCGTAAGACTTGCCCAACTTTTGGAGGAATTGCTCGTACATTGCTTTGGCTGAATCTGCCTTCATTGCTCTATGGAAATCAGGTTTGTTGCCTAGTATAACGTAAATGAATCTGCTTGATCTGGTTACTTGATTTATATCATGTACCTTTGATGGTCAAGCCCTGGAGTGTGAATTGAGACACTGTAGAAAAATGTTATATACGCAAAAATGCAATTGTCAAATCAAGAGATGCATACCACATAAAAGCTCCAAGCCAGCATCCTTGACGCCCTTCTTCCACATGATACCATTGTCATCAAATACTCTGACATTGAGGATCTTATTGACCATGTAGTCGACGTCCTTGTCAGTGTCATCCGTGCCAATACCCAGAAGAACACAAAGGCCCTTCTGAATGGAGCCAACCACTTTTTCGTCAACTGTTTGCGATGAGATGTGAGCCGTAAAAACCAACCACAGGCTACACCGGTTTTACCTGTAACGCTTGCCTTGGTCACTCTTTGAATTACTGCTCTCATACTGAGGAATTTACGTTGCAAAGGGGAGGAAGTGAGTCTAAAATCTGTCTTGACTCATTTTGGATTGCCAGGAAACGTGCTGGTGGTGGGTTTTCTCGGAGCTCAAAGACATCGATGGTTGTTTTAACAAAAACAATTTTTTCTTCATTTGTTTCGTCTTTCAACTCCTTGTCTGCACAACTAGAACCAAGCGTTATTATGGGATCGCCAGAGAAGAGACGTCGATTGATAGAAGACTTGGACGAAGCTTCGGTATCTGCACCTCCTCCTTCCAGGCCTCCTCTAAAGAAGAGATTTACTGGTACATTTCAAGTGCCTCAAGCTGCTCCTTCAACTTCATCTACTCTGGTCAAGGAAGCAGCACCAGCAATCGCTAAGCAGAGAGCACCTTCTCCCTCCATCACTGTCTCGGTAAGATATAATCAGAGAAGCCTAGTCGTTGAAAACCTCCAACTTTCTGTCATTTAGGAGAATCTGGAAGACTACACCAAAGATGAATTGCTGCAGAATATGCGTCTGACCAAGGTAAAATGATCGACGTGGCTAGGTATTCCGTGATATTTACATCAGCACCATTAGGATCGAGTTGTACAGAAAGAAACACTGTACGAATCTGTCAAAGACAAGTATCTGAGCAAAGAGACTCGACAGGGCTTGTTCAGAATTGATTGGGGACTAGTACGTAGCAAAATGAAACACATGCCACATTAATAGTTGACAGTTCTGTATTTCAGATTCAAGCTGAAATCGTCTTTATGGCTAAAATTCTTATTGGAGCCGAATTACCAGAGCCCTCAGGTAGATATCGCCATGCTGAAATAGATTGCGCTTTTTAACATTTATGTCTCGCCAGAACTTCCACATCGCAATCTATCAGTCGAACAGCAAAAAGAGTGGTGTTATCGAAATCAACTCGCCCTCAAAGAAATTGGAACAAAGTCGCTGACTCGCCTTGAAAGCTGGAGTCAACAAGCAGATTTAATACAGAGGAAATATCGTTTAGAAGACGATATCATGCTCCAAAAAGTTATTGTCTCGGATTGGCTCAAGACAGAGATCCAAGACCTACATACTTCGTACAAGAGAGGACAGCAAGTGATGATTGAATTGCAAAAAAGCTTGGATAGTTTATTGGAACAGATCAACCTCGTCAAAGGCAATGTGAAGATGGCTACCACAGAAGTGAAATCAGCTGCAGAACGCTTAGACGACTGTATTCAGGAATTAGCACTCGCTTGCAAGCGCCAAGATCGCAGTAAGAGCCAATTAGTGGCAGCTCTGAGCTATGGTGGATTGGGAGATTTAGCAGAACGTCCAACAGACACTGAAACGACTGTAAAGGAAGAAACTAAGCAGATTCAGCTTAAAAGGGAAGGTGTTGAAGATTCAATGGTAGTACGGCTTGTCAAATATTTTTAATAGAGTGACGCTAATAATTTATATGTGTAGTCTGCATCTATGAATGAACAAGCCATCAAAACACAATTTGAGGAGCATAAACTGATTTTAGCAGCCAGAGACAAGGAGTTTGACAACCTGAAGCGAGATCGACAATTGCTGCTACGAGATGAAGAGCGATTATTGTCCATGTTCACTATGGGGGAAGATCGACTATTGGAAACAGAATACGTCAAAACTTTGAAACTGTCGATTGAACACTATAGAGACAGATGCTATCACTTGGAGCAAAGACGCACAGATATTGAACGAGAGATGGACAAGATATCTGCCAGCAGACAGCAACTCGTAGAACAAGTCAAGTCAGAAAAGATGGCTCAGGGCATCACCATGGAAGCAGAAATGCGCCGATTAGAAGGCGATTTGAACCGTATTCGAGGACAGCGAGACCATTTCCAGCTATTGGTGGAAGAGCAAAAGATCAAAGAGGGTCGTGAAAGAGAATTGCAGGAAAAAATCATTTCATTTGCAAACCAAGGCAAATTAAGGATTGCGTCTTTGAAAGCTCGCATCAGCAAGCTGAAAGCAGAGCAAGAAATGGCTGGTCCATTCGCTAAAGAAGCAAACACATTTAACGAGCTAAAAAGCAACTTGAGGTACATTTTTTTCATTAGTATGCATGATGATCTTGTTACTGATTTCATGCATATAGTCATTTGAAGATCATGCTATCCTCGCTAGAAATGATTGAGAGACGCACAACGCCCATGCACCTATCTTCAGTATCTGTTTTGGAGGAGCAATTGAACAAATGGAGCTCGAATGCATTGATTCAAGCCTATGATGTCGTATTGAGTGAATCACAAAAGTCAAGCTTGATGATTGATTTTTTGGAGGAAAATGAAAGTCATTTACTGAAGGAAATTGATCGAGATATCAACAGTGTATTAGAAGAGCAACAAGGCAAAAAAGAGTTTGATTTGGCGCCAAAACGAGAACAGGCATTGAAGTTACAGGCAGAGGTAATTTCTACATGGGATTTTTTTGAACCAGTCATTCATATCATTGATACTAGAAATCAAAATATGCGCAAACATTTGCTTCGTTGCTAGCAGCCAAAGAAAAGCAGATTGCCACAGTATCGACACTAAGAATGACTAAGGAAAAGCAGCAAGAATTAATCAGACAACTTGAAGAGAGGGAAAAGGCACTGGAGGCGCAAGTTGTATGTAATTTAGAAAGCTTATGCACCATTCGCCACTAACCGTTGCGCACAATAGAATGACAAGGAGAATGAGATTCGCAAATTATACAAGACCATCGAGGAAGACAAGACAGACTTAGAGGACATTGGTCATTTATGCGAAGATTACCGCATCTCTATTGACCAGAACGAGGTTATGCTCACTGAACTTCAAAAGACGTTGAAAGAAAAGACTCGACTTTTAGATGAGGAAAAACGACTCAAGGAACAGACAGAGGAAAATCACGAAAAGATGAAGAAGAAGTGGGACAAGATTTCGCAAGGAGACAATCCAGCAGAGCAGCAATTGATAGATGAATGCGAAGAGCTTAGAGTAAGTTACCCATATTAATTGAGTGCTCTTGAATACTAACATAAATTTGGCAGGCACTGCTAAAGTGTAGCACTTGTCGCCAACGATTCCGAACTCATATCCTTACTCGTTGCATGCACACATTTTGTAAAAACTGTATAGATGCAAGATTGGAAACTCGTCAACGAAGATGTCCAACTTGCAGTGAACCTTTTGGTGCAAATGATGTTAAAAATTTCTATCTGTAACACTCCTTCCCCCATTATTTAAATTACTCACTTCATTAATTCCTCTCATATCATTTTTTCTCTTGTATTATTAACGCACTAGCAATCAAACCAAAAAACAAATAAACCATTGACTCAACGTTTAACTTGGTCTGTATTTTTTCATCACATTTTCGAGTTGGATAATTCGTATCTATTCAGGGCTTCAGCAAAATCTGCCCTTGCCAACAGGAATATCGTCTTGAATGCATTTTCTAAACGCATTGTTGGTTTGTTTGTTTTGGAAAGAGTATGATGAAAATATATTTTTCAGTAAATTAGCTGCCGATAATGAGGGTAATAATATCGCTAAATGGTCTTAACAACCCTTGCATATAATCATTATGATATATACAGGAAAACATGAACACAAAAACGTCGTCGTAACCAGTCAGAGATTAAAAGCTCCTCTCCCAAGAACATAATGCATATAATTCAATTGACTTCTCGTCTGCTACTTGGTTGTGGATTGAGTGATCTGTGGTCTCAAGGCAACATTTGGTAGCACTGGCCTTGAGAGGGTTTACCGTAGCGAAGCAAACGTGAAAAGCCATAGTAAGCAAGCAGTAAATTTGGTTTTTCGTTTTCATTATTAATAAGCTCACCAACAACATAGCGCATCAAAATATGCGTGAATTAGCTTTACCAAAATCAATTTGCCTCCTATTCGAACTAAAAATTGCATATGCTACGGAACTACCCTTCCAATAAATTACAGCTATCAAAGATGTGATTCATGCCGTGTAAATAAAAACTATTATACAGCAAAGATATTACCAAATTTGACAGCTTTTAAGCCTTTATATCTTGACATGTAGACCTTTCTGAGCCACCGGAATAACGCCAAGCAATTGTATTCTAGTAGTAGTAACTTCCTGACATCTTTGCTCAACTTTTTGGGGCCAAAAATCGACCAAAAACCATGAGGGGTACCTCATGGTTTTCATCGAAAATCAAACGATCGCGTTTTTGACCTTAAAAATGAAGACTTTTGCTATGGTATATATCAAATCAGAATGTTCCTCTCGACGCAAAGCAACCTCTGAAATCACTTTTATGAGGTTTTCCTATGCAGGATTTTGACATTTTGACCAAAAATCTTATTTCATATTTTCTAAAAATTGCTCAATAAGTTCAGTCAAAACATTTATTTTCCTTGGCATCATTGGAAGCGCCTTAAAAAGTACTTAAAGAATGTATTAGGAGGCGTAGGCTGATTATTACAGTTTATATAGTCGGATACCGCAGAATAGATTAAAGAAATCGAAAATAAACAAAATCTGTCCAATCTTAAGCAGACTATGTGTCTGAGTTAGAATTGATTTTGGTTAGTGGGCCAGACTGGCAAACTCAACGCCCTTCTATCCATGAAGGCAATAATAATGCTATTTTTCTCTAGAGTTTTGCATCTAAAAATAACGCCAGTTCACCGAGACACTTGTAAGATCAACTACTTTTCACTCTGAGGCTTCGAAAGTGGTAGGGATGATAAATATATTATTATAAGAAGTATATTATGATAGCCAGTCGATCTCACTACACTCGATGACAGCGTTGCCCTGCGGGCCATCTCTCTGAAGACATTCCAAATCAAAGGTATCAAAATCAGAGGTATCATGTAAAATTTTAACAACCAATTAATAGTAAAAGAACGGATATATCAGAGTCAGGAAGGGGAGGTGTCCATTCGCTGATGCTACTCTTGGAATGATGACATAAAGCTGGTCATAAGTAAATACAGGACTTGTGTAAGATCTACAGCGACTTTTTTGAGATATAGTCATTGCAAAATACAGCTTTATGAGGAAAAGCTTTCCCAAAAAAAAAGCATTCGAGCTAAGCAACTGTCCTTTCAATTCCACGGTCCCCATTTAATCAGCATCGCAATCATCATTGTCATCAATAGAAAGGCATTTAGGCCAGCCAGCAGCAATGCCGCCGCCAAAATTGATTCAAACTCAGTTAATCTTTTCTGTTCAAGATTGGACAGATGTTGTCTTTTTTCGACCTCTTTAATTCTTTTTGTGATATTCGACTATATAAACTGTAATGATCACCCTACGCTTCCTAATACATTCTTGAAGTACTTTTCAAGGCGCTTCCAATAATGTTAATTGTAACAAGTGATTTAACTGAAATTATTGAGCAATTTAATGAAATTTGAAATGAGGTTTTTAGCGAAAATAGCCATATTTTGCATACGAAAACCTCTTAAAAGTGGTTTCAGAGGCTGCTTTGCGTCGAGAGGAACATTCTGATTTGATATATACCATAGCAAAAGTCTTCATTTTTAAGGTCAAAAACGCGATCGTTTGATTTTCGATGAAAACCATGAGGTACCCCTCATGGTTTTTGGTCGATTTTTGGCCATGTTTTTTTTGGATCCCCAAAAAGCTGAGCAAAGGTGTCAGATAGTTAGTGCTGGGTGAGAGCGATTGTTTGGCGCTATTCTGGCAGTTTAAAACGGCTTCTAGCGCGAGCTAGCGCAAAATGTTGAGCCCATAATCCACCGTGTACAGCTGGGTAGGTACCTGCCAGTTTAATAGTTGTTGTATGATTGTAAAGTCCACAAAGAGACGAAAGCAGCATTTGGCATGTAACTGAAGCCGCGTTTTCTCACACTTCAATATCGTCCCTTCGGATTAATTTCCTTCAAGGTTTATAGTTGAGATTACGGATCGTACTACTCTATTTTCTCTTGTAAATGTACTTTTTATGTGTCTAACCAAGACGCTTTCTAGAGTAGAGAGGTTTGCTGCCTTACAGCCATCATGGCAACCATCAAATATGGAGACTCCGCTGTGCATGTACACAATTGTAATGTGTAATCGGTTAGTTCAGCAGTGCAGGCGAAAAATGCATATGAAATTAACAAAAATGGAGAGTAAATCATCATGTGAAGAATGATATTTAGTGTAACAGAGGATTGTTTCTTGGTTTAATACAAGAAAGAAGGTCAGAATGTCTTTGGCTGATTCATGAATTGAGGACAGCATCTTTTGTTATGCATGAGCAAGCATACAGAACAAGGCTGATGCTTAATGGCGAGGTGAATAATTGTTGCTCTCTCAAAATCCTAAACCCACCCACAGGCTTGAATGATGTAGATGAGAACTTCCATAATGTGGGGTCAAATCTGGTTTAGTCATCGTTTATGGTCCATATTTTCATCGGAGTAACTGGACATCTTGAACGCGATGATGCTCGATTCTTGAATGACCTCTAAGTAGAAGGGCCTTCTGCGCTGAGATCCCGTCAATGTAATTGCAGCACGCAGTACAGACACCAGCATCTAAGCTAGCAAGGACATGGAAGCAGAGAGAATATAGTTTACTCACCCATCAACAGCCTTTGATATCACATGGTGATTGGTTGGAATTTCTTCCACAAACACCCCCCACACTTTCATGTGAAAGCTATTGCTCTTATAAATTCTATATTTATTGAAATAGGGAAAAAAAACTTAAAACTACAAGAAAGCTTTCTCTGTCTCTCTCTGTTTCTTTCTCTTTTCTTTTCTTTTTCTACTTTCATTATACATACAAAGCATAATAAAATGACCAACGATATTCGTTACGACGGAAGAGTAGCTATTGTTACTGGTGCTGGTGGAGGTAACATTGAATCTGTAATGACCATTACCACCGTTTGACTGACACAAGCTTACAGGTCTTGGTAAGGCCTATGCCCTTTTCTTTGCCAACCGTGGTGCCAGCGTTGTTGTGAACGATCTTGGTGTCTCTGCCACTGGTGATGGTTCCAGCTCCAAGGCTGCTGACATTGTTGTTGACGAAATCCAAAAGTTGGGTGGTAAAGCAGTAGCCAACTACAACTCTGTTGAGGATGGTGACAAGATTGTCGATACAGCCATGAAGGCATTTGGACGCGTGGACATCATTATCAACAATGCCGGTATCCTTCGTGATAAATCATTTGCTAGAATTACAGACTCTGATTGGGATCTCATCATGGCTGTCCATGTCAAGGGCTCTTATGCTGTTACCAAGGCTGCTTGGCCCATCATGAAAAAGCAAAAGTACGGTCGTATCATCATGACTGCATCTGCTGCTGGTTTGTATGGTAACTTTGGCCAAGCCAACTACAGTGCTGGTAAATATTTACAAATGACAAGTGTCTAGTGGGAATATTTTGTGTCTAAATTTGCATAAATTTTAATTAGCTAAGCTCGCTCTTGCCAGTTTCAGTAACTCTTTGGCCAAGGAGGGAGCCAAGGATAACATTCACTGTAACACAATTGCCCCCATGGCTGCTTCTAGAATGTAAGATTGCATTTGACGTTGAAAAGCGATCTACATGTTGACTCTTCTTTTCATAGGACCGAGACTGTCATGCCCCCAGAGATCCTCGCCTCTCTCAAGCCTGAATTCGTCACTCCTGTTGTAGGCTACCTCTGCGCTGAAAACACTGAGGAAACTGGTGGCATCTACGAAGTTGGTGGTGGTTTTGTCTCCAAATTAAGATGGGAACGTTCCGCTGGTGCCGTCTTCAAGGCCGATGAATCCTTCACTCCTGCCGCTGTTGGCGCCAAGTGGGAAGAAATCACCGACTTTGAAAAAGCCAATGAGTACCCTACCTCTGTCATGGATACTGACTTCTTGGCTCTCCTGGAACGTGCTAAACAAGCTGATGCTAACCCCAAGGCTGACGATTTGAGATTTGATGGTCAAGTTGCTGTTGTCACTGGTGCTGGTGGTGGCCTTGGTAAGGCTTATGCTTTGCTCTTTGCCAAGTTGGGTGCCTCTGTCGTTGTCAATGATCTCGGAGGTTCTGCTACTGGTCAAGGATCCGACAGCCGTGCTGCTGACCTGGTTGTGGATGAAATCCGTAAGGCCGGTGGTAAGGCTGTTGCCAACTACGATTCCGTTGAAGAGGGCGAGAAGGTTGTTGAAACTGCTCTCAAAGCATTCGGCCGCATCGACATTGTTGTCAACAATGCTGGTATTCTTCGCGACAAATCCTTTGCTCGTATGACTGATGCTGATTGGGATCTCGTCCACAGAGTCCATTTGAGAGGTACTTACAAGGTTGTTCAAGCCGCATGGCCCCACTTTGTCAAGCAAAAATACGGTCGCATCATCAACACTGCTTCTGCTGTCGGTTTGTACGGTAACTTTGGCCAAACCAACTACAGTGCCGCCAAGCTCGGCATTGTTGGCTTCACAAAGACTTTGGCTCTCGAAGGTCAACGCAAGAACATCATTGCCAACGTCATTGCTCCCAATGCTGGTACTCGTATGACCGCTACTGTCATGCCTCCTGAGATGGTTGAGGCCTTCAAGCCCGAATATGTTGCTCCTTTGGTTGCTTACTTGGGTCACAGCAGCAATGAAGACACTGGTGGTATCTTTGAAGTGGGTAGTGGTTGGATCGCCAAGGTTCGCTGGCAACGCACTGGTGGTTATGGTTTCCCTGCCAACCGTGAATTGACTCCTGAGCAAGTTGCTGATAAATGGGCTCGTATCACCAACTTTGAGGATGGTCGTGCCACTCACCCTGAAACCACCCAAGACTCTTTGCAAAGCTTCATGGAGAACTTTGGTAACGTGGAAGAAGAGGCACCTAAGAAGGAAGAAGGTGGTCTTGATGTCGAGGCTGCCAAGAAAATGGAGTTTGAGACTCTTGAATTTACCTACGAAGAGCGTGAAGCTATCTTGTATGCCTTGGGTGTTGGCTGCAAGCGTACTGATACTCGCTTCGTCTATGAAAATGACGAAAACTTTGGTGTCTTGCCCACCTTTGGTGTCATCCCCTCCTTCACAACCATGAACACTGTTCCCATTGGCGATTTCCTTCCCAACTTCAACCCCATGATGTTGTTGCATGGTGAGCAATTCTTGTCGCTCAAAAAGCCCATTCCCACATCTGGTACTCTTAAATCTCAAGCCCGTGTCATTGACATCCTCGATAAGGGCAAGGGTGCTTCTGTCATCATTGGTGTCACTACCAAGGACGAATCCAACGAGATCGTCTTTGAAAACGAGTTCACATTGTTCATCCGTGGTAGCGGTGGATTTGGTGGCCATTCCAAGGGTGCTGATCGTGGTGCTGCTTCTGCTGCCAACAATGTTCCTAACCGCAAACCCGATGCTGTTGTCACTGAAAAGACCAGCGAAGATCAAGCTGCTCTCTATCGTTTGAGTGGTGACTATAACCCATTGCACATTGATCCTGATATGTCTGCAGTTGGTGGATTCGATGTCCCTATTCTCCACGGTCTCTGCTCGTTTGGCATCTCTGGCAAGCACGTCTTGAAGACATTTGGTAATAACGATCCTGCTTCATTTGCTAACATCAAGGCACGTTTCGCTAAGCATGTCTTCCCTGGTGAGACTCTCGAGACTTCCATGTGGAAGGAAGGCAATAAGGTCATCTTCCAAACCCGTGTCGTTGAGCGAGATGTGATTGCTATCTCCAATGCTGCAGTTGAGCTTAATGCCTCTGCTGTTCGTGATAGCAAGTTGTAGATTTCTTTTTTCCTTTTACCCCCCCCCCCCCCCCACACACACACACATAATAAATATCATTTGTAATTAAATCTACTTTACCTAGTTTGTCCTCAAGGCACCTTGTTTTGCTCTAGCATGAAGAATCCAGTTGCAGTAGTGATTCTATGGCTGGTATGTGGCTTTCGTATCACACGCTGTGATTCAGACAGAGGGCTTGTTTGTGTAAACCCTTAAAAATGCATCAAAGACAAACTGGGCTTCAAAAAGCCTGTCAAACAGAAGCTGGATTCTCCCAGCAAGAGACATCATGGCATCCCACTAGCGTGCGTTTTGTTTGGACCACAAATCCAACTCCACGGCAAAATCATTCTCCACGGAAAATTTCAGGGCGGGAAAGGTTTTAGGTTGATATCATAAGCTAGTAAAGTATAAATTGGACCCTTGGGCCAGCTGGAAAACAACAGCAGCTTCTTTTCTTATAAATACATTATTACACAATATGGTCACTCGAACTTTAAAATCAACTGCATTCATCTTTGACCTTGATGGAACTTTAATCGATACTACGCCTCAAGTTGTCAAGTTCTGGACTGACATTGCATTGGAGAACAAGCTGAATCCAGCAAAGGTAGGGTACACATAGACAAAGTTAGGTATACAGGGCAATGGCCGACATGTCACATTTCATAAACAGATCCTTGAAACCTCTCATGGCCGCAGAACCATTGAAACCTTGCAGCGTTGGGTACCTAAGTTGGCTACAAAGGAATATGTCAATGAATTAGAGGGGAGATTAGCTTTAGAGAAGGAGGGCGTTGTCGTGTTACCTGGCGTGATGGATCTGTTACAAAGCATCCCGGCTGAAGACTGGACAGTGAACACGGCTGGCACCAATCTCATGGCGACTACTCGCCTCAGACAGTTCAATATCACAGTGCCCAAGCAGATGGCAACTGGAGACATGGTAAGATGTGGGCCAGGATGATGCAGAGATGGTATGAGACTAACAAGAAGAGGTAGCTCACGCATGGCAAACCTCATCCTGAAGGCTATTTGAAAGCAGCAGCCATTCTGGGCAAAGACCCCAAAGATTGCTTAGTATTTGAAGACGCACCTTCAGGCGTGATGGCTGCTATTGCTGCTGGAATGCAATGTATCGCTTGCACAACAACGCACACTCTCGAGCAACTAAAGGAGGCGGGAGCTACTGTCATTGTGGATCGATTGGATAGCGTCAGAGTCAAGAGAAATGAAGATGGCAGCTATAGCACAACCATTGAGAATGCGTATGATTTGTAGTTTGATAGAATAAAGAAGCGTACCTGAAAGAAGAGGGACACGTTGCCTTGATTAATCATCAGTACGTTGACCAATGAACCCGTATGCAATTATATCAGCTTAAGTGTTGCTGCTGACAGGAATGTATGTGTCTGTGTGTGCGATATTATAGCTACAGAGCTTCATCAACTAATAGCGTTTAATCTACACTATAGGTGTGCTTATTTTTAGATGCTGTGTGTGTGTGTGTGTGTGTATTCTCTGCTAAATATACTTGTGTGAGTAGTATTTTTACATGTACAGAGTGTCGCAAGTCTTTAAATAACCACATCCAGCAACACTATCATGCACAGGGTGCTTGATTTCAGGCAAATGAATGCAAAACACCTTTGAGATTACTCCATCTTAAATGTTTAAATTAAAAAAGAACCAATCTAAAAATAAGTTGTCTCAAATCACACATTACATCAGTTGGTGATGGTGGGATACCAGCCACGAAGCAACACTGCAACTGGCTAAAATCACAACAACAAAGGCTCAATTGCTAATTCTTCCCTATTTGGATGTCCAGATTTTCTAAACCTTGAAATGGCAATTTTAACCTGTGCGACGATGTGTGCAATTCAATACGACGTGAAACCTTGACTGGATTTTATCACTTTCAGTGTGCCATGATCCGGGGTATTCCTTGTGAGATTTGCTGGACGCAAGATACAGAGCCAGTCAGCCCCTCTCTGTTGGCCAGACATGTCGGGTGTTTTGCGTCTGAACCATGGCTTCTGTTTCCCAAAAGTGAAAGCACACTTATGTATGATATGTAGTACGATCCAGTTGAAAGTCTATCTGGGATTAAGATAGTGCACATCTCTTTGTGTGATATGGAGATTGGCAATGACTAATCAACGCAGTAAAACGGAATGATGTACAAGCAAAAGCAGTGCCTCTTAGTCGTCGATGCTCTCTTTCTCTGCTTGAAGGTATACGCCCTATTAAGCATCAATGCTATTTGATAGAGATGCACACACACATACACACACACACACACACACACACACTCACTCACTCACTCACTCAAAAATGTATACAGTCATCAAGGTCACATTGCTTAGCAACACAACCACAATGTGTAACTTGTGATTTCTAAAAATACCTTTTGAATAGAGTATAAAAACCATGCGATACATTCATTCAAACCTTACTCTTTCTCTCATCCTTCTTACATCCTCATTCTACATGCAATCTCAACAGTACAGTAACAACTGGAATCACCAAGATCCATACTATAGCCACGACGCAACCGATAATCTGGATTACCTCTATCAAGAACACAATGACATGCCTTCGTTGATCGCTCCTCTGGCTGCTCCTTCTTCCTATCCACATACTGATAGCTTGACTGATGCTGTTTCTCGCATGCAAATGCTGGATAATCCAAACAGCTTGAGCCTAAAGATTGAGCCATGTATCTCTATTACTGAACCTACACCTATCCATCCAAATTATCAACATCAGCAACAATCATACCATCATCATCAGCGCTCTGCTTCGGATTCTTCCTTGAATTTTGTAGATCAGTTTATAGCTCAACACTCTAATCAATTAGATCAGCAGCAGCCTCAACATCAGCAATCTGCTTCCATGGACATTCCCTTCTCAGACATCCTCAATTCTACAAACTCTATTCTGGACAATCTCTTGTTAGCTCAACCTGGCACCAACACTGACTGGCTCAGTTGGACGCCAGCCAGAGGAAACTCCCCAGTGTCAATGGCAAGCAGCTCATTTGAGGATCCCACCATCTTCCAATCAAATACACCAGATCCATCTGCTTTATACTACAATCTCATGATATCTACTGAGGAGCTCCTGGGATCTACTACCCCCAATGTGGGTAATATGGAATATCCATCACCTTCCATGTCAGACTACAATGTGATTGACAACAATGCAACCTTGACTGTAAAGAAGGGCAATCGATCACGTAGAGTATCTGAGCCACCAAAGTTGTCCAGCTCCATTCAGCAAGAATACCAAATGGCATACAACACTGATAGATCAGTCCGCAGAAGTCAAAGTGATAGCAAAAAGAAGGGCGGCAGAGCAAGATCCAACTCATCAGCGTCTTCTTCTGGTGGAAACCATCTCTGTCCTCATCCTGGATGCGGTAAATCGTTCACTAGACCCTACAACTTGACATCACACATGCGCACACACACAGCAGATCGTCCCTTTGCTTGTTCAGAGTGTGGTAGAAGATTTGCTCGTCAACATGATCGCAACAGACATGAAAAGTTGCATTGGGGTATCAAGCCTTACGCTTGCATGCACTGCCATAAACCTTTTGCTAGAATGGATGCTTTGAACCGCCATCTCCGTGTGGAGAATGGCTGCCAACAACAACAGCAACAACAGCAGCAGCAGTTCAATGTTGTGTAAATCACATTCACACATAGCTTTCATTACACTGTACATAGTCTCACTCTTATATCATATACACCATATCATATATATCTTCTTTAATGATTAATCCCCACACACACACACACACACACACACACACACACAAACACATCAAATAAACTTAAAGTATACATGTTTGTAGTACCAAAATACCTTTATCTCGGTCCTTGTCGCCCTGTTCTATCCGAAAATTATCACTTAAAAGTAAAGTTTTCCAAATGTAACATAAGATCCGTGTTGGTCGTTTTTTTCATTTGTCATCTGAAGAGTCGCGGACAGTGGCTATTCATTGCGCTATATCGTGTCTAATTCACTCGTTATCGAGATTCATGATTGAAGTGATGTTTATTCGTGGTATACTTGTGCGTCATGATGGTGTGATTATTGTAGCAGTGGCACAATCACTTCAGGGGAACTTCGGGGTGGTCAATGATGCTCTGCATAAGCTCTCGGGTTCTGATCAGCTCTTTGATACTTTCATGAACTGAACTCATGGGTATCTAATAAAAAAAAAACAAATCAGCATTGCGTCAAACCACCCAGTTGCTTTATACTTGCTGTCAGATCGTTCATCTGGCTCAAAATTACGGCCAATTCCCTCCTCTCTTCAACTACACATTGCGTTACTCTAGGATGCTCCTGTGGCCACACAGGCATTACACATACTCACCCCAATCGTAGCTTTTTACCGCTATTTTCTCCTTGATTCTGTTTGCTACCTTTTGAGCCTGCTGCACATACTTTCGAACATCCCTATCGTCCAGCATGTCATTTTTTTCCTTGAATAGGGCTGCTTCTCGTTTTCGCTTCTCTTTTACTGCTTCCATAGCGATCATCAGCTCTCTCTGTTTAAAGGAATCAATATGCAATGATCCAGATCATCTCGAACTTCTCTTCACCGCACCTCAATTGCCTGTTTCTTATGCTCAAACGCAATCTTTGCTTTGTTGTTCAAGAATACCCATTGCAGATATTTGGCATACAGATTAACCCTTTCAAAATTCTCCTCATCGGCATCATCGTTATCACAATCCGTTCTGACAGTAGAGGCTATAGAAAATACAGACGATTCTCTTGAGTCCTGCCGGTTGAAACGGTGCCCGTCATATGTCTAATATGGTTGCAATGACTTAATGCGAGTGATACACATTGTAATTACTGCGAGTGTCTTACCTTTGTAGGCACCACATTGTTTGTGTTCTGAAAACGACGTCTTTTCTGATGTTGCTGTCTATCCTTACTTTCATCATCCTTTCGCTTTATATTCAATTTGCTGTTTGAAGAGGTTGTTGTTCTGAGGTATCCTGGAATGCTGAAATCGCCACCAGTCGACTGTGAACTAGTGCTTCGTTCTATTGTAAATTGAATTAGAAAATGTAGAGGTTAAATACGTTTGTTGTTTTGTGAACCTGTAGATAAACTGGATATATGTTAGTGCTGAGCATTAGGTTCTTTTAAATGTATCTACCTTCGTTCTAAGCGACTAACAGCATCATGTACACTCAAATTACTTTCTTCTTCCATTATTCATTTGCAGGAAAAAAAAAAGGTTTGCAACAATCTCGGCCTGTCACGTTAAATAATATGAGTTACACTCTATACATGGATGGCATGGCATGTGGCGACCTTTTCTCCCAGACTCTATGGACACTCGATCACCGATGACGACTATACATTTTCACATCAATATTGCACCTGTAAGGCTCTTTGTAATTACCTCAACCATCGTCGCCTCTTCTATAGCACTCGAAGAATTCCATTCACATGTTGTACAATATCTTTCAAAAGCCAGTATGATGCTGTCATTCAATTATAAAGGTGTGTGGTGCCTCAACCATAATGCTTCCATACAACTCTTTCTCACGCAATGCAACAAGAACAACAGCCATCTCACCCTGGTCTTTTTAAAGTTTTGCGCCAAGGTGATCCCACTTCTTTTAGCAGTAAACTTGTGGCTGAACGTGATTTCAACAAAGGCGAAACGATCGCAGACTTGACAGGATTGACGCCTGGCCCTAAAAGATACTCTTCAGTCCAAATTTCACCTACTGAGCATGTCGAGTTGAACAGCGATCTACTCTACTTGAACCATTCATGCGATCCCTCTACCTATTTGGATATCACAAAGAGAGCTATTGTAGCCTTGAAGAGTATCAAGCAAGGAGAGGAGCTCACATTCTTCTATCCTTCTACAGAATGGGATATGGGTAAGTTGATCGTCGTAATGTGAGGGTGCATGGTATCTGACAGCATGTTGTATTCAGCTCAAGCTTTTGATTGCTGGTGTGGTGCTGATAAGGTACAGTGGATGTAGTGAATATCAGAGGACTGTAAGCTAATCACCGTTTAATTAGTGTGTTGGCAAGGTCAATGGAGCAAGACATACGCCTACAAAGGTTCTCAACCAATTCACCCTGAGCGAACACATTATCCAGCTTGTAAAGGAACGAGATTCAAATCAATAAAGTATAGACATGTATAAGGAATGGATATGCTTTTTTATTGAATGTACACAAAGTGGTTGCTTTCGAAACTATTGGATAAACGTTAAAAGATGGAATTAGCGAGATCGCTACCGACTACAATCAGAAAAAAAGTTAGTACACATGATAAACTTGATGGACGCATAAAGTACTTACGCGTGGCACCGAAACCCCATGTTGCGGCGTTACCTACAAGAAATGAATTGCTGTTAGTCCATATTCGTAAATACATTCACCATTTGCGCTACTTACCAACATTTGCCGCCAGTTTTTTACCAAAGGACGCTGCCTTATTCTCCTCGTGAGGTTGTTCCACTGCAGCTGGTGCAGAACAAGTGCTAGCAACCTGCTGAACAGGAGGAGGGGCATAACTATTGACTTGATTTTGAATGGGTGGATGGGCATATGAGTTGTTTTGTGCTGGAGGAGGAGCATAGCTGTTTTGTTGTTGAGGTGGTGGTGGTGCGTAGCTTCCCTTTTCCAATTGTCTACCAGGAGGAGCAGGATAGCTATATGGGTCTTTGTTGACGGGTGCAGGTGAGTAGCCATAGCTATCCCGCTGTTGATTACGAGCAGGTGTAGGAGGGGGGCTAGGTCTCTTCTCGGATGGCCTAGAAAAATTCCATGTGTCAGTTTTGACGTATCCTTATCGCAAATCCCGCCACCATATACACTTACTCCAATTTCTTGACATAATTGCGAGGAAAAATACCTGTCTTGCCATTCAATGTTCCCTTCCACCAATCGTCGTTGATGAGCTCTGTTAATTGAATAATATCACCACGACGAATTGACAAATCACTTGGGTTGTCGCCAGAATAATCATACAGTGCCTCAGCATGACCGAGTTTATTTTCAGCAGGAGCATTGTAAGCAGGAGGAGGAGGCATTGCAGCACCACCAGCAGCAGGAGAGGGGGCCATGTTGGACAGAGGAGATGGCATGGCACCGGCAAATGGAGAAGCAGGAGTAGCACTTGGAGGGAAACCCATGGCTAAAGGAGGAGAAGCCATGTTGCGACTACTTACATCTGTGGGTAGCAATCTCAAGATATCATCGTAGGCCTGAGGTTGAATGTAATTGTGAGACTTGAGCAAGTTCAATTCGTTATGGATTGAAGCAAGAATGTGTTGAGCAAAAGCTGCTTCTGACATAACGTATTGTATGTAAAAAAAAAAAAAAAGAATTGAACAGAGAAAAGAAACAAACAAAGAACAATTAGGCCACATTTATAGCAATCTACCTTGAAACGGAGAAACTACTGCTATTGAAACATTAATGTTCATAACTTCGGGCCGTTTTCCCCCTATAAAATTGCCAAGAACCTCTTCGTTTGAGCTTGTTTATTAATATCAAGATTCTAATTTCTGTTCTTTTTTACACCATGGATAAACAATTCCAATTGTTGTGACACCTGACGGATTTAGTGCTTTTCCTTTGTAGCATGTTTGTAAATGAAAAGTCTTGTCAGTGTTAAATCCCAATTGAGATTATTGCCATTGGCTGGCAACAGTGAATTCATGCTACTATGACAATCAGATTACTTAAAAACGGTTATATAAAGATTACTCAACACAATGCCTGAATGGATGGCATTGTATCGACATTATAACTCAAACCATAACGCAAGACTAACTCGCCCGAAAGGCGCATACAGTGCGTATGGCAATTCTCCCGCTTACTGATTTAAAAAAATTCTGGCGCCATTGTGAGTAATTCAAGCTAGTAGCTAGACAGATTTACTATCTAGAGCACAGTTACAACAGATAACTGATGACGATCCAGCATTACCAATATCCGCTCATGCTCTTAGCTGTGCTACACAAATCAGTACGTTGCTGAGCTGTGCTAGTTGATCAATGTTTCTGACAGAAACAACACTCGACATCAATTACATTTTCTGGAATACCTAACAGCGAACTAGACGTTGGGTTCTTGGGATTTTAATTGATTTCAATGAACAGAATGCATTTGCCATGCGTAAATCGCAGTAAACGCTCCCTTGCTGCTTCAAAAACATTAATTATAGTGTTTCCAATCACTATTGTCTACTCTCGCAAGACATTTTCTATGATTGGAGTGGCACTGAGCTATCTACCGTTCCTGAAACCATCAGTACAGTTGAAGATGCCATAGTGAATGCAACAAGAGTCTGTTACCAATACACAGCAAGAAGTATTGATTGCTCCTTTATTTCTGTAATGCTGCCCAGCTTGACTATAATTGCAGCTTCATGTTATTCTCGCATTAGCCTACATTTGATGAGTGTTGGTTCTCAGTATAGAGCCTTTTATGATGGTCTTGTGAATGGATCCACGCACAAATATGTATATTCACTCATTACAGCTTGCTCTTCAAGTGGGACAAGGCCAATTTATTCAAATGCTGCAAGCAGCCGTGTTTGGATACCATGTATGGCTGAAAAAAACTGACTCAAATTTTGTGAAAATGTGGTTTTGTCTGCCTTGAGTTTAAACTTTTTATATTAAAGCTTCTCCTTTCTCTCTTCTTCTCAACACATGCTTTGTTTGTCTGAAAGAAACTGATATGCATTTGTATGTTATTGTACTAAAGCAATGGCGGCTCAATTGAATTAGTACTTACTGTCTCGATAGATACGTCAAGCACGCTACTCTCATCAACAACTGCTACCCCGAGAAAGAAGGCGAAAAGGGGCCTCGTTCCTCTGAGCTCAGTTACCTCGTCTTCTATGCCAGTTCAAGACCTGTAAAGCTTACCAAAGTGGGTTTGTTCTTGGAAAAGAAGGCTGAGCGCGATATTGCCAAAGGCAGAAAACAGTAAGTCGCCTACATCAAAAGCACTCATTGAACCCAGCACTGAATCCGCCTTCCAGGAACAACCAAGTAACCTTGGAAATCATCAAAGCATTGATTGAAGCTTGTCATCGTGACCTCAATCTGTTCTCAAAGTACGTTGTGAAGATCATCGATATGATGTTGGAGACAAAGGAGATTGAAGTCATTGACCTTGCTTGTCAAGTGGTACGTAGATGCTTGTTGTAAGGGGACGGATCAAATGCTTACAATGTGCTTGCGTAGTTTGTCATTTTCACCAATTATCATGATGGATCAACGCTGGGTGTCGATGCTGAATTGACAAAGGATTACGAGTTGCTGTTAAAGAAGTTTGCAGCCTTCTGTTCTTACGAAAATGCCGACGATACCTTGAAACTACAGTACAGTGTTGCAAATAGAATTCTATTCAAACACATGTAATTGACTAGATTTATCCGACAGAACTAGATACATTGGGCAAAGGGCTTTGCAAGCTGCAGTTACATCCGCCGCATTGCAAGCATCCGATTACAAGGTTCAACTTGATCTGATTCTATCTCCTCTCATCAATGCATTATCCAACTCCAAAAACCCTGCAAATGCTTTGGCCCAAAGGTAAGCGCCTGGTGAGGTCAACTGAAGTGGGTTCGGTATTGATTCATGCTTCTAGCAGTAACAATGAGGATATCGACATTCATCAGTCAGCTATTGGGCATGAAACATTGAACGCCCATTCTGTCGAGATCATTGCAGCAAAGACAACTGCTCTTTTATTCAGCAAAGCAAATGGAGTCGCTGTAAAGCTCTCCTTGGGCCCGTTATTTACATTTATGGACACAAATGAAAAGTGGTGGCCCGCTCATTTTGCTGCTTCTATGATGGAATTAGTGCTCGATTCACTCCAACCTCAATACCGTTATTTACTCGTTTCGGAGATACTCCAGCAATTGGAAGCAGTTAAATCAGCAGCTAATGCGGATCAATACAAAATCGAAAAGCACGCATCGCTTGTATCTATTTTGGACACCATTTTGAATGCAAATATACCTCTCGTTGGTATCTCAGTATTGGAGGTATTGAATTCCTTGTTCACAGGTCTGATCAAATCAGTGCAAGAGTTCAAGACATTCAGGGACGCCGAACCTGCCTCGTCCAATAATGTGCAAGCAAAGCTGGAATATGCTATTCAACAAGGATTGGCACACAGTATTGGAGGATTAGCTTCGCAGACCTACTATTTGAATCAATTGAATGATATAACTGGTTACATCATTTCTAAATTGAGAGTGGGTAGCAATGGGCTTGAGACCATTGATGGTTTGCCTATTCAGGAATATAGAAATGTGGTTCTCAAATGTTTAGATCTGGTAACAACTGCCTCATCCACCAAAGAATCACAAAAGGAAGACACTGAGAGCAACAACGAAAACACACCCGTCTATAACCATACTGTGACATTGGATGCTTGGATTCCTGCGTTGGGATTATTGACCGAGAAGACACCAGAGACAAGAGTCAATTTTGCTGTTACGCTGGTACATTACTTGGAAGCTACTTCTGAAAATGAGATTGCCATAGAGTAAGTTTATTTATGACCTTTATAGACTTTTGTTACTAACACGTGCCTTTCCGTCTGTGTAGGCCATATCCAAAGGTAGTTCAAGCACTCCAATTGAGTGGCTGTGTGTACTAAATTGCTGTTTGTTTGTAGCACACACTGAGCCAACATGGCGATGTTATGCTGGTCAATGCTTTGCATCAATCTATTGTAGACTGGATCCAACTACCAAACATTGGTGTACACGATATTGATGCTATTCACATGATTCTGTCAGCACTGACTCGCAAACTTGGCGCAGACGAAACTATCAAGGCTGTGCCTCTTGTGTTCAAGATCCAGGACTTGGTAAAACAGACCATGATCCAGCACACAGCACGCCAAAGAGCAGTTGCCGCTATTGTGGTCGAATGGCTGTCTATGGTGGGTGAGTTTTACCGCATTGACAGTCTGGTTCAATATGCAGATGTGCTTAAGAGTGAGCGTATCCGACTGAACGAGTACTCTCCCGTATTTTTGGAAGGCTCTAGTGATATAACCATTGACAAACTGGAAGATTTGGAGCCAAACAACACAACACCTGTTGACAAATTTGCAGACAGAAAGCTGGTCGTCCAAATGCTCTCCAAGGACGGACCACTGAGAGACGAAGATGACACAGAGGGAACTGATTTGGAAGCCAAATTGATGATTGAATGGGGATCTGATGACTATGTCAATCATGATCGCAATTACAGAATTAGAACTTCTCGCAACTTGAATGATTTGAAGGCCAAGTTGGCAACTCCTTGGACCAATACAGAAGTTACAGTAAGTTGTATTGCTTGTGGAATAAGCTTGTTAATTAATGTCTTTCTTCTAGCGTAATGAGCCAGGAAAGAAGCAAACTATCCGGGTGGAAAACCTCAAAGAAGCACTCATTGGTCAAACACAGCAACAGAGCGATGCCAATGGATTGCAATCCTTGACCAACGCATGCCTCACCAAAAGACCCAATGAAACAGTGGCTGACATGAGCTCTCTTCTTCAATCTTTATCGCTAGGCACCGATGTATCGAAGTAAGTAGCTTGGTTCATCATTCGTATCTCTACTAATCAATCTATTATAGCACTACATCCTTGGTCAACCCACCTTACAAATAAATCTTGTGTTAGATGAATTTACGGCCGCATTTTTTGATACATACCTTTCCTTCAACCATCGACCAGCCATTTGAGCTCGCCTCCTTTTGAACATCTACCAGTGTAGCTTATACAGTATTGGTACAAAACTGTTTAAAGACATAGAGTTTCAGATTTAAAAAAATATAATTTTATTCAATAATGGATGATAAGGGCTAAAAGTATGAAGATGTGTATATTTATTGAGTGGAGTTGATGGCAGCTTGAGCACCATTGAAGGAATCCATGACATGAGCATAGCTGGGCATACGCTTAGCAAACAAAGCAGCCATGCCGTTGATATCGTGTCTCCAATCACGACCCAATTCACAAGCAACAGCAAACCAGTTCATGAGCTGGACACCAGCTTGTTGCATTCTCATCCAAGCAGCTTCGCGGACGGGATCAGTAAAAGTACCAGAGGCATCAGTAACAACAAAGACCTCGAAACCAGCCTTCTTGGCAGAGAGAGCGACAAAAGTAACACAGACATCAGTAACAATACCAGAGACAACTAATTGCTTCTTGCCAGTGGCACGAACAGCATCAACAAACTCTTGAGAATCCCAAGCATTGATTTGACCAGGACGAGGAATATAGGAAGAGTTAGGGAACATGGCCTTGAGCTCAGGAAGCATAGGTCCGTTGGGGCCATCTTCGCGAGAGGTGGTAAGAACGGTAGAGACGTTAAAGTACTTGGCAGTATCAGCAAGACCCATGACATTGGTATAGTAGGAATCAGGGTTGTAGTCTTGAACCAAGGAGAAGAGGCCAGTTTGATGATCGACAAACAAAAAGGCGGTATCGTTGACATTGAGACGATTATAGAGGTCAGCAGAGACAGAGGATACCAAGGCGGCAGCACCAAGAAGAGTGGCAGTGAGAGAGAAACGCATTGTTAAATGGTTTGAATGAGATGAATTGAATGATGGAGAAAAATCAGGAAGAGTGCATTCTGTTAAGCCTTTTTATACTGGTGGATTCATCGGTTGATAATATTCTTGTAGTTTAAAATCCACACTTGATCTATCAAAGCATGTTTCATTCTTCCCGGATCCTGCTAGGATTCATAATTGCTTGAATAAGCTTTCAAGAGAGGGGGTATAGTCGCTTGGAGTATATCAGAAAGACCGCTTTTGCTTACTCCTGTCTTATAAAGCAAGCAAAGAAAAGTGAAACTTTTACAATTAAAGGAGCTTCTTCTCTGTTTCACTCATGAAACCAGAAATTACGATCAGATTATTAATTTCCTGTCAGATATCGTGATCTATTATATTAAAGGATACATCTCTTCGTGGGAGCTAGGCAAATACGATTAATATGATACATGTCGAATCAAACTTCATTGGTATACACTGAATGAATATGTGCACAGCAGTTCTTTCCCTGTCTGCTAGTATGGATGAGTGATGGAAATCTATCTGGTATCTATTCTCCTCGTATGCGGCTATGCAGAAAAATAGACTATATGCCTAATAGGCTTCATCGAGGGCGAACGCAATAAAATCAAGGATTATACATTGTTAGACATGCTGGAATGTCCCTAGCCAGAAATACGGATAGCTTTCTGCACCTGTTAGCTCAAAATAACACTGAAATGTAGGCACGGAGATGTCCAGATGTGCTAAACATCGCTTATCAAATCCATGTGCTCAAATCATCCATAGGTAAACATCTCGATTGTACTACACTTCTACACGCTTCTCGGTAACAACAAACGATTCATGCATCCTAGGAAGCTTTTTCTTGCCACTTTGCACATATTATCGAAACATTAGGGTACTATAGAATTCTCTTCTTAACGATTACAGGTGTTGTTCTGTTATCAATTTTGCTTGACTGACGAATTTACTTTATATGCACTTTTGGTTTCTGAATTGTAACATTTCACATCTAGGATAGCTTAAACACCACTGGCGATTGAACCTCATTCATTAAGTAATTTCTTACAACTGAAACAAGATCCCTGTTATTTTCTCCACACTCATTTTCCTACTTGCAAAGTGGAAATTTGTCATTGATTTGACACACAAGTGTCATGCATGGCGATAACTTAAAGCTAAACATATAAAACTGGTAATTAATCATTACCGCTGGTGTCGTTTGCCATATCAAATAGAGCTCTTCTGGGACAAGGAATTGATCTATAGGAATCATAGCTATTATTAATCAACTGTTTTGCGGTCAATAGCCTGCTTAATTCGAAGAAGGTCGTTGTTTCGAGACCAGTGTTATGCTTTTCAGTAAAGTCTAGTATTTCGTCTATCCAAGTGACTATTTGCTCTTACGAGTACACTGAATGAATACTATGTATTGCGTCTAAAGTGTCTAGCGTGCCTTACAACCACCATCATCGCGGCACTACTAAGCTGTGCCATTATGCAGTAATGCAGCGATACAACAGTACCCTTCAACCTAATATTTCTGGCTGAGTATTTGAATGTAACAGCATGACCTGAACCTAGACTAATGCATATCATGTCTACACCTTTGTGTCATAACTAAAGTGTGCCTTTTCATAAGCAAGTGTATGAAACACAGCCAAATTTAAAAGCTTTCAAGCTTTCAAATCTTGACATGTAGACCTTTTTGAGCCACCGGAATGATGCCAAATAATTGTACTCAAATAGTAGTAGCTTCCTAACACCTTTGCTCAACTTTTTGGGCCAAAAAAAAAACATGGCCAAAAATCGACCAAAAAGCTGAGGGGTACGAGGGTGGCTAACGTACCAACAAAAAATTTCCTTTTTTGCTTAACGTACCAACAAAATATGATTTCCTATGGACACACTTTGGTCCGGCAGCGCTTGTTTTGCCTGCCATACACTCTTTTTTTTTGGATAACGTACCAACAACATATAATTTCCTATAGACACACTTTGGTCAACGTACCAACAAAATATCGTTTTCTATAGACATACTTTGGCTAACGCACTAGCAAGATATTCTTAAAATACCAACAAAATGTTCTTAGCGTACCAACAAAATATCCTTTCCTACTATAGACACACCTTGGCTAACGTACCAACAAAATATCCTCTTCATTTGCCATACATTTTCTTTTTCGATCCTGACATGTCAACTAAATCTAACAATGTATTTGATCTCTTGTATAAGACAAGTAGCCAATTGATCTTCCTACACTGGATGACGGCGTTACCCTGCGGGCTTTCACTGAAGACATTTCAATTCAGAGATATCACATAAATTTTAGACATTCAATTAATAGTGAGAGATTATTGTCATTGCAAAAGACACTTTTACAGGGAAAAACTCTGAACAAAAGTAAATATATATACATATATTTGGACTAAGTAACTGTTCTTTCAAATATATGGTCTCTATTGGGTCAGTATCGCAATTTAACAGAACATAAAATGTGTTTAGCGAAAATAGCCATATTTTGCATATGAAAACCCCAGAAAAGTGGTGTCAGGAGTTGCTTTAAACCGTGAAAAACGTTTTGAATTAATATCATAACATAATGTTGAGAGGGTGCGGTAACGGGATGTAAATTACCTGTGCTTTTAGTAAAGATTACGCTTATTCAACTATAAAGAATTTGGACATGTCAAATAGCTATTACAATCAATACTACTTCTCTAGTGTACAAAATAAAGACTACACAGAAGAACAAAACTAAAAAGGGGATTTTCTCAACTGTGTTTATTGATATGGCATACGAGTGATATTTATATATAACGGCTTTGTTTACTTGCTTGCTTACTGATTTTGCTAACCTCCCAGATGTAGTCTCGATGCGGACATCACCGCTCACAACAATAATAAATGTTCAGTCCTTAGACATTTTACAACCCTAATATGGAACCTGAGTTTCAAGGCATCTGTCTGGCCTGGCTCATATGAGAATAATGATTTTACAATCAATCAACAAAAAGCACTGTTAGTTCTACTACCCTCTTTCCTCTGCTCAATGCTGTCAAGATCCTCTTTAAACGACGTCTTGGAGCCTTAGAGATTTCACTACTTACTGCAGACATCTTACGCAGCCCATGAATCGTCAATGTCCAGACTAACGTTATTAAATATACAGTGCGCGAAAAAAAAAACGTTCCAGTGTTTTGCCAAATTGCATTTATTACCAATTTTCTCTGTAAATATCAAAGCTATTGGTGTACGCTCAGTGTTCATATATAGTTTAAGTAGTTGGCTACCAGATGGTATATTATGCGCCTTAGTCACTAGATTAGAAAAAGAATGGTAGCCTCATGAAGGTGGAAAGTGGAATTTATTTAATTTTATAAAAAAGCATAATATATAGTTGGACCACCTTTACTCTTGATAATCGCTTTAATTCGACGTGGCATACTGTCTATGTATTTAAGACAGTCTTTCGTGAATGTATACCATTGCTATTTAATTGTCTCCTCTAGTTCAGAAGAGCTGGTGGCTCTAGTAGGGTACTTGTTCAAACGAAGTTTTAGCTCATGTCAGACATGTTCAATGGGGTTAAAATCAGGGCTTTGGGCAGGCCAATCAAGAACAGTTTGTACAGAGAATCCGTGATGTCTGAACCATTTCTTAATGGAACTAGAAGTATGTTGTCTTGCGTTATCTTGCTGGAATCTAAACTTCTCTTGTCAACCCCATAATACTCCATAGTGTCTAGCAAAGATGACTCCAGAATTTCAGCATAAACTTCTGAGTTAACAGTTCCATCGGTAAAGGTAGACCTATAATTGAGTTCCTCCGATGTTATCATGCCGCAGAAACAACACCACCATCTCCCTGGACTTGAGCCTCAGCTTGATGAGGCGTCAACTCAGTGGGGCTGTTAGTCCAGTAAAAAGATTTGCCGTCAGATCCCCACATGTTGACCCTGGTTTCATCGGAAAATTCCCATTTACGTCAGTCGTTCGTAGTCAAATGGCGATGTCTCTTGGTCTACACAAGACGCGTTTTCCGGTTCTCCGCACGCACGAAATTGGTCTTTGCCTTCCTTTTAGACTTGAACCCTTTGCGTTTGAGTATATACTAACTGTATGTTCCTCAAAGTCATCTGAATTCTTATATGAGCAAGGTAACACCGCACACCTCTGGGGCCGCCTAAATTATTATTGCGGAAATTCCTCTGGATGCAGTTTGTATTCTGCGTAGTGATTTTGCTTCGTTTTCCCGGTTTGGCATGTCTTGATGAACGAGAAACTTTCTCCTATAGCGAGAAAGTACACTGAGGGACAAATCTGGGAAGATTCTTTGAATGCCATGGAGGGAGCAACTCTGGTTGAAAAGAGACTTGACAGATTCTTCAGCCTCCTGAGGAATAAGACGCGTCATGTGAAGGAGAGTGTTTTAAGTCAAGATGGTGAAATATTATGAGGCGGAAGATCAAAACCTTAGGCTCGTTTATACTTCTTTAAGCATTCCTCAAATAATTAACATATTAAACATGACTGATGTAAAAAATTACGACTCGCGGATCATTTTTGTGGAAAGTATACGAACAATAAGGTCATCCAACGATATTTCAAATTTTACAAAATCGATTTTTTTTATTTTACGTCATTCGCAATAGCTAAATAATTATTATATCAATTACTTTAGTAGCTCATTTTGTGGCTGTCAACCCAAGGTTGAATAGCCTTACTTTAGTTTTAAAATTGGAGCAAAATTGACAGATCTGTAACTGTAAAACTACGAATTGACAAAACACTGGAACGTTTTTTCGTGCACTGTAGAATGCAAGACGATGTCATTATGAACAATACAGAACGCAATAAAATATTATTATAAATGATAGCTTTATGGCCTGCCACCTACTTTTTATATGCTTCAAGAGCATTTACTACTGTATTGCAGTATGAAAAAGGTATTGAGTTTGCCAGCTGGCCCCACAAGCCAAAATTAATTCAAGCCCAGAATCATAATTTGTTCT